ATTAGTTGGTGGCTCACTGATGAAGCAGCCAATGACCGATACGATGGTTCGTATGAGGCGGGGCCCGTATCAAGGTGGAATTTCGGATGAGTAAATTTAATCCATAAGTGGGATATAACCCACTTACTAAGTGGGGTGAGCTGCCAAGGATGCTTTTTTTATATATATATATACATACAGAGAGAGAGAGAGTTATGAATAGTTCCATCCCCCTTTGTCAAACAGCCCCAAAAAACCATGGTTGAATAGAGAATTTCTTCATATGTGGGACTTGTTTTGTTTAAGATCAGCGGGATGTGATTATATGTACGTAAGTACGCATGCATGCATACATACATTTATTTACCTAAACCCTCCAAATACTCCAAAAAATGGTAAAGTACTTAGATTAACGCGTAAAAGACACCCTTTTTTAATATGTTATTATGTTAAAGGTAGACATCATAATTACATCAACACATATATATATATATAGATATGTAAGGTGTTTTAATGAATAAATAAATCTATATATAAATACATAACTTGACAACTACACATACACATTATAATGATATATGATATGCATATATATATAGGATACATGGAGGATGTCTGCCTTGCGTCTTGTGCTTTGAACACTCACGACTGAATGGATGTGTGGAAGGGCTGAGGAAATCAGTGGATTCGGAATCTCAGCCAGTATAGTTAGGGGTTTTCTGTTAGTTTTCCCCCAAAAGATACCCTCTGGTAATTTAACATAGCTATTGAAAATGGCCCAGTCGAAATAGTGGATTTACCCATTAAAAATGGTGATTTTCCATAGTTACGTTAGTTTACCAGAGGGTACTTCCATTGAATGGAAGATGTTGCAATGTTGAATTGCCAGTTTTAGAGGTCACTGTATGTTGCTTCATGGTTTAGAAGCTGTTCCATTCAATTTTGCCATAAATTGACATACATTCCATGAGAGGATTCCAGAAGCCTCCTGGTATCATGGTATTCCCATTGGTTTCAGCTCAAGATCATCCCAGTTGGAGCCACAGATCATTTACAACCATGGGTTTAACTACTGTGGATGGGCCAGCGAAATCCGATAAACCACCAATTTTGGATGGTTGAAACCCTAAAAATAATGGGATGTTTACCATCTAGCAACTGGTGATTCGGATTTCACAACCATCCACATTATGAACCATGTTCATTTGGTTATAAATGATCTTGAGATATCTTGAGCCATTCTCATCCCATGGTTTGACATAACCATGCTTAAAACATGTTCGCTGCAACCCTGCCGTTGCGCATCTTACTTCAGGTGGATATGAAGATGTTATTATCCCAATCAACATATTGTTCATAGGGGGTTGCAAGTTTTGATCCCTTATGAAGATAAAGCTGATGTTATTACCCGAATCAACATACTGTTCATAGGGGTTGGCGAATTTTGATCCCTTATGAAGATAAAGTTGATGTCATTACGACAATCAAAATATTGTTCATAGAGGGTGGCGAATTTTGATCCCTCATGAAGATAGGGGGTGGCGAATTTTGATCCCTCATGGAGATCTAGTTGATGTTATTACCCCAGTCAACATATTGTTCAGAGGGGGTGGCGAATTTTGATCCCTTAAGAAGATAAAGTTGATGTTATTACCCCAATCAACATATTGTTCAGAGGGGCTGGCGAATTTTGATGCGATGATGATCATGATGTGATGGTCATGATGTGATGATGATGATGATGATGGTGATGATGATGATGATGACTATGAAGAAAAAGAAGAAGAATATGATGATGATGATGATGACCATGATCATGATCATGATCATGTTGATCCTGACGGTTGTAAGTGTGGATCAACGTCCGGGTTGGGGCGAACATGTCAAAAACCCATGGTTACTTTGGTGTCCGCTCCATGGCTGGAAAAATCATGGAAGAATTGCTGATCTTCCAGCAAGCCATGGCTGTTGTAACCCGTTTCGTTCGATGATTTTACCAGCTATAAACTTCCATTTATAGGAGATTGTTAGGCAAGACATCCGAGTGATTACCTGAGGTTAGCCCCAATTTTGTATGGCCACTATTCGCCATTCATAGCCATTCAATATCATTTCATAGGAAAAGCGCGAAACCGCGAAACATGATTCACTTCTATGATTCACTGTACCTATTTTCAACATACAGGATGTGGACATAAACGTGGAACCTCCCAGCATAAACGTCGGTTATAACGAGATGGTCATGTCATGTTCGTTCCCCACATCGCAGAACTGGGAGATGCTGCTGGCAGTGTGGGATCATCTACTTTGTCGGGGAGCCAAGGACTTACCCATCATGGGATCTACAAGTATCGGGATTTAAGCACCATCAACAATTGGCGAGCAAACCTTTAATATGTCTGATATGATATGGTTTTTTTTGGGAGGGATTGAATGTGATATACATACATAGAATATTGTATAATAGTGTATACATATATCATCATATAATATCTATATCTCTTATTATTATATATATATATAGATTTATATCATAACCAAAACTATTTGAGTACTTGGGTGTTGAGGGTTCTTATTTTTGTTCGCATGGGTTTGTCGAGAACCTGGTCTTTCTTTCTGACACAGCACCATGTCGGGGGTTTCCTGAAATGGGGATGCCCTACAAATGGATGTTTTTTTTTCATGTTTTTTTGATGGAAAATCCTACGCAAATATGAATGAACAGGGGTACAAACCTCCATTTCTCCATTTGCCAGAAATTGGACTCAATTCACTCAGATGTCTGCACTTTTTGATACACCAACTGTGACATGGCCTGGGCATCCTCCATTTTGAGACAAACCCATGTGCCGATGTTGGTCGATGTTGGTTGTATATCCCATTGTCCCATGATATCCAGATCATATTCCACTATATCCCAACTACACCCCATGAAATCTATACAAAATTTGGATCTAGTTGGATTAGTCATACCTAGACCATTGAAATACACGAAAATGTACTTAAGTATTACATAGTATTACTAAGTACTACCCTCTGGTTATGACATTCACAGTTCGCCATGGAAAGATCCACCATGCTATTAAGTTCGGTAAACCATCTATTTCTATGGGCTATCAAAAAACCATGGCGAACTGTTAGTCATTACCAAAGGGTACCATTTATAGATGGTTTATGAGGATTTACCCATTAAAAATGGTGATTTCCCATGGCGAACTGTGAATGTCATTACCAGGTTGGGTAGATTCATGGGCTCAACAGATGACCTGAGGTTTCCACCTGGATGATCTCACGGATTGCGGTTTCGACCACGACGTGGCGCGGCGCTTTCTTGAAAGGTGCCGTATCGTGCTGCGATGGCCACGGTGACGGTGAGTTTTTTTTTGGGGGGTAAAGTGAGGCTTATAGAAATCTAGAAATCCGACACCTCCTGGTGATTTTTGATGATTTTTGTGTGTTTGGTCAAACTGGATGATCGTAATTTACAGTGACGAGTAACGTGTGCTGTATGTGGAAGTAGTATGCACATACATGTTACATTTTTTCTTATGTGTAGAAAATGTTGTAATGAGATGCAAAGACATGCACATGATGGTTGCCACTTCCAAGGTTTGTGAATTTGTTGGTGGGGAGGATCGCACAAACGCCGGTTCAAGAACTGAAAAGGAACCCGCCAGTGTATACATGTTCAAGAGTCCCCACATTGATTGAAGTAATGTAAACATAACAATCTCACTGGCCGATGTCACTATATATGATTGGCGACACGAGAGGTTTGGTAAGTCCATGTACAGAGTGTAAGTCATGAAGGATGGCTTGTTCCATTACTGGGTCAGACAACAATGGTTATTCAACGTTTTCAACCCCTTCCTTATAACCTTCCAGAACAATCATCAGTTTATCAGTTTCCTGAGAAGGTTTCAGTAATTCCAAACCCACCATCTTCCCAGAAGCCCCGGCAGTGAACTCGGCCTTTTTTCCGAGAGGTGTTTGCAGTTCCGTGTGGGTGATGTGGCTCGGGTGAAGGAATTGCTAGACCCCTTGATCAATACAGTGGCACTGTGGCTTGGAGCTGAGTTGAGTCGTTTTTCTTTTTTTCGGTCAATCTACCGGGGGAATTTGCTGGGACTAATTTGTGTAGTCACAACTAAGTCAACTATCATTGTTAGTCTTATCATTGTTTTGCTTATTCTTCCCAGAATATTGTACCCTCTGGTAATTTAACAGTTTGCTATTGAAAATGACCATAGAAATAGTGGATTTTCCCATTCAAAATGGTGATATTCCATAGTTTTTTGTATGTTTACCAGAGGGTAACCCTTTATCTTTGGGTGACGGTGGTTTCACGGTCTACCAGTCAGAAAAAATCCAAGGTGACGATGAACCTGCGGAGAACGCGTGGCAGGAGATCTTAGCTATGTAACAATTGCAAAACACGAGAAGTAACAAGGGACAGCAACTGACAAGATGACGGTTTTACTTAGTTCATGTATATAGATATATATTATATAAATATATAATTATGGATATATAGTTCATATTATTTATTTATTTATGTTCACTTATCATCGGTCTGGTAGGTTGGGATAAGTGGGTCAATCGTTAGTTCTTTCAACCTAACTGTTCTTCCCTTTTCTCTGCATTGCGATCTACTTTGATCTGTGCATGACATGTTGTTCAACATGTTGCTGCTTGTATTTCAGTGATGTGATGTGCATTGATCATTGCTTGACATGTTGTTCAGCATGTTGCAGTCTTTATTTATTTTATTTGATCTGATGAATCAAGGGTGTTCACCCTTTGCCAAGATGACATGAGGTCGCTCGAACCTTATGCCATTTTGGCTCAAGATCGATCCAGACTGGCCAATTTGATCTGGGCATGGCGGACGCCGGGCTCTTATCCGTTGAAGTTTTCGCCATGCTCGGCGATGCGGCAGGTCCTGTGAAAACGTCTCTCCAGACCTTGCTTCCAACTGATGCTCTTGGGGCGAACGCCGCTGCACAGGAGCTATCGCTGATGCAGCTGGCAGCCGTGTGGCATTCATGTCATGCGCTGCAAGGCCAGTTCGCCACGAGAAGAGCTCGAATGGAGGAGGACCCAAAAAAGGTTCCCGAGATGGCCCAAGAAGACCACGCGGAATTCCGCTCCAGGTTCGTGACGGCTCACCCCGACGTGATCCTCCTGGATGCCACGGAGCCGCACGAGAAGTTCGTTGAGAAGCTCAGCAGAGATTTCCTTGTTCACGGCATGGTTCCATTTTATGCCGTGGCAGAGATCCGCACCAGGGCAGATAGCATTGTTCAGGAGTCAGGTCTGTCAAAGAACGCTGAGGATCTCTTGACGATCTCCAAAGCCGAAGAACCTGATCAGGTGACAGACGTGCAGACCCTGCTACATCGAGTTCATGTGCTGTTTGTGGCTCTGGAGTTTTTGAACATTTGCACGTATTCACGTGCTGCAGGGCCTTTGAAATACATGCAGGAGCTCGAGCAGTTCAAAGCAGAGTGCCCAGGTCTTCCTTATCTCCTGGCAGCCGACTCGCTGGTCCGCAAGAAAGTGCACCGGCTCCAGGCTGAACAACGCGAGCTCTACAGCACTTTTGAAGCCGCGCTCTTGGAGGTCCTCAACAACCACAAGTACCTTTGGAACGATGCTCGCACAAAGGCAGTCCTGGCGAAGGTTGATCACAAGAAACCTGAACCACATGATCCCCAAGATCGAGTGGTGGAGAGCCAGGACAAGCCTTCCACCCCAAGCCGCCGCCAGCGCAAGCGGCGCAACAAGAAGGGTGGTGCGGTCGACACCAAAGACATCAAGCAGGTGAAGAAAGATCAGTTCGATAAGAAAAAGGACAAGGACTCCAAGATCGACAAAGACAAGCGGATCCCCGAGTCCGAATGGAAGCTCATCTCTCAGGCAGCCTCCTCGGTCTCAGGGCCCAAGCGGTGCCATTATTTCAACTCTTCAATGGGCTGCGCTCTGGCAGAGAAATGCCGGTTCAAACACCATTGGATGGTCTGCGGTGCTGCTCACCCGATGGTGGGCAATCATTGAAGCCAGACTTGCTCCAAGACGCCCCAAACGGAGGGGGGGGCGAATGAAGAGCTTGCCGCTCGGACAGTCCTCTCTCGGCCGTTTTGGGGCTCAATGGTAGTGCCGATCGGGCCTGCATTTTTGGAAGTTTTTGCTGGTGAAGCCGGGCTCTCGCAAGCAATCAGCGCGCGCGGCATGCAGATCTTGCCACCCATTGAGATCAACACGAACCAGTTCGTACAAATCTCTGTGGACATTTTGGAGCCACAAGTTAAAGCACGTTATCAAGCTGATTAGGGCCAAGGTGATCGTTTTTATTCATTTTGGCACACCTTGCTCTTCCTTCAGCATTGCTCGGAAGGCTGATGGGGGTCCACCGCCCCTACGCAATCGCATGCATTTGTGGGGGCTCCCTGGTCTTGCTCCACGCGACCAGGCCAAACTGCAGTTGGGCCATGAGTTCATGCACCTCACTGTGCAGTGGGTGCGATTGCTCCACGCAAGTGGTCTCGGCTGGTCGGTTGAGAACCCTGCCAGCCCCTTTCTTTGGGAAATGCCACCTATGGTCGAGTTGGCGGCTCTGCCCACGGCCAAGATGTTCAGGCTCGACATGTGCCGGTTTGGCTCCCCCCACAAGAAGCCGACAGCGGTGCTCTCCAACGTCGACCTACGGGAACTGGCTCTGCTTTGCGATCAAGCTGAACGGCCACATTCTCATGAGCCACTGGTCGGCACAGTGCTCTACGAGGGCCAGAAGGTCTTCAAGACGCGTTTAGCACAGGTATACCCATCCGCTCTGTGCAGCGCTTGGGCACAGGCGATCGCCGCAACAGGCATGGATCCTTTGGCGGCTACATTCCAGATGGTCACCCCTGCTGCTGAGCGCAAACGCCCGGTGGGCCAAGAAGTTCCATGGAAGATTCACAAGCAAAGGATCACAGCTGAAAAAGCCAACTCGGCGGGCTACCAACTGAAGCGATCGGCATTGCCGCCGATCTTAGCCACCGAGATGGAACCGGGTCAAGCAGTGCAGGCGGCTCATGCACGTGATTCACCCGTTCACAATGGATCCTGCCCTTGACCCCGACCTTCAAGAAGTTCTCAATTTGGTGTCATCGCAGCCACAGTTCGTGCTTGGGCATCGTGCAGGAGCTCTCCGGTTTTGGGAAGCTCGAGCTCACGAGCTGCTCCCCGTCACTGATCAGTGGTTGCGACAGGTCAGTGATCCTCACCTGCGGCGCCTTCTTCGCGGTCAACCGGACGGGCAGCCCTTAGTTTTGGGCCAATGCACCCATGTGGCGCTCTGGCAAGAAATGCTGACTGCCGCTCGCTGCATCGACACGCAGCTGCCGGCGGCATTGCTCCACGGTTTTTCGATCGTGGGTGCCATTCAGCGCAGTCACAGGTGGCCTGCTCTTCCTGTTCATGACGACGGGATCTCCGTCCATGAGTTGTCGGACAGGGCCTGGGAATTTTTCAACAAGGTAGTCCGCAATGTCAAGAAATGTGAGGTCACGGAGAACACCGAAAAGATCTGGGCAGCCACTATGGAAGACGTTGAGGAAGGGGTCACAGTCGGCCCGATGTTCTCCAGGGATGAGGTCAGTGCATTTTTGGGCACTGAGCAATGGATCCCCACACAGAGATTTGAAGTGGTTCAAAAGAATAAAGTTCGTGGTGTGGACAGCGCCACGGTCAATGGCGTCAACATGGCCACTACGATCACAGAGAAGATCGAGCTTCCATCAACAGATGTCAACGTGGCTGCTCTTCGTTGGTTGCGTTCTCATGTCGACAAGGACGAGAAGATCGAAGGTTGGGTCCTGGATGAACGAAAGGCTTACCGCCAGATCGGTGTCAAGCCGGATCACAGAAGGTGGAGTGTGATATCGCTCCGTGAGCCTTCCACTGGTAAGGTCTCCCTCCTTCTTCGTCATGATCGGTCACTCCTTCGGTCTGGTGTCGGCAGTCTATATAACTACAATCGAAGATCAGCCGCCATCACGGACGTTCTGAGAAGAATCTTTTTGGTGGCAGCTTTCAATTATTTTCTATGATGACAAGTACGGTTTCGAACCGTCAACCACTTGCTCTTCTGCGTTTGAGGTCGCTCAAAAAGTTCATCTTTGGGTTGGGGGCGCAGTTCGACCCGAAGAAGTTGCAGCAGTGTCGCGACCCCACGATCCTCGGTGTCACCTACGACCTCAACGATATGTTGCTGAAGATCAAGCCGTCGCGCAAGTTGGAACTGGAAGAAGAGATCTCTTCCATCTTGGAATGCCAGGTCTTTCCGCCGGGTCAGGCAGGGAAACTTCGCGGCAAGCTCATGTTTGGCGCGTCACAGCTCTGGGGGAAGATTGGGAGAGCTTTCCTGCGTTCGCTTTCTGAACCCCAATACTCCAAGATGAACCACACCAAGCTCAACAAGGCGCTGGTGATCTCGCTGCAGCAATGGTTGTGGTTGATCAAGGAAGGACCTCCACGGCCCATTGAGTTCGCCAAGCCAAGAACGCCGGACTTTGTGATCTTCACTGACGGCAGCTTCCCAGATGGTTCCAAGGGATCCCCCACTTTACCGTGGATCGGGGGCGTTCTTTTTCAGAAAGGTGCTCAGCCATTGCAGTTTGGAGCGGCTGTCGAGTTCTCCCTCATTGAGAAGTGGATTCCGAGGAAGCCGCAGATCGCGATGGTGGAGCTCTTTGCTACGGTGGTCGCTCTGCGCACGTTTTCTGAGAGGCTGGCAGGATCCTGGTCTTTGTTGTTAGTTGACTCTGAACCCGTACAGGGAGCTCTAGTGAAAGGATACTCAGCCCGTGAAAATTTGTGCGAGCTGGTAAGCGTATTCTGGAACATAGCTTTGGAGCTCAAGGTTCAGTTGTATATAGACCGAGTTCCGACAGATGCCAACCCGGCCGATCACCCGTCCAGAGATCGGATGCAGGTAGGCGCGAGATTCGGTTGGAAGACGGTCGATCCAATTTTTCCTAGTTTGTGACAGCGTGGGTGAAGTGATGATCTGGTCATGTGAGCGGGGATTCTTTTTGATTTGCGATGATTTTATTTTCGATTTATGTATTTGATCAATTTCGCCTGTGATCATCAGGCCCTTGAATTTTTGTGATATCAACAGGCCTCAGATCCAGAGGCATCTCATCCAGGGTCTGTCATTTCATCTGGTGGATCGACCAGCAGACAGAACCATGCGATTGATCAACTCCCCGTTCTACCCACGTCGCTGGGGAGAGAAAAGGTGCTCTGCATGCAGTTCGGTTGTAGTGCTTGTGATCACATGCACGTTTGGAACGTTGATTGGTTCACTTATCATCGGTCTGGTAGGTTGGGATAAGTGGGTCAATCGTTAGTTCTTTCAACCTAACTGTTCTTCCCTTTTCTCTGCATTGCGATCTACTTTGATCTGTGCATGACATGTTGTTCAACATGTTGCTGCTTGTATTTCAGTGATGTGATGTGCATTGATCATTGCTTGACATGTTGTTCAACACGTTGCAGTCTTTATTTATTTTATTTGATCTGATGAATCAAGGGTGTTCACCCTTTGCCAAGATGACATGAGGTCGCTCGAACCTTATGCCATTTTGGCTCAAGATCGATCCAGACTGGCCAATTTGATCTCCCACCCAGCCCACCCTGGTTATCCGGGGGGGGTTGGGAGCCAACCCACTCGTTTATTTGCCATGCTCTGACCAGCTCTTTCCTCCGATTGAGGTCTATGCAGCATTCTCTACGCGCGATGTGGCTCTGCGCTGGATCTTCGCGCTGTGCTCGCTACTGCGCTGGCGCTGCAGCTCGGGATCTTGGCTGCTCTTGATGTGCTTGGGTGAAGTGATGATCTGGTCGTCATGTGAGCGGGGATTCTTTTTGATTTGCGATGATTTTATTTTCGATTTATGTATTTGATCAATTTCGCCTGTGATCATCAGGCCCTTGAATTTTTGTGATATCAACAGGCCTCAGATCCAGAGGCATCTCATCCAGGGTCTGTCATTTCATCTGGTGGATCGACCAGCAGACAGAACCATGCGATTGATCAACTCCCCGTTCTACCCACGTCGCTGGGGAGAGAAAAGGTGCTCTGCATGCAGTTCGGTTGTAGTGCTTGTGATCACATGCACGTTTGGAACGTTGATATATATATATATATATATATAGACAGTTCTATTTGCAGTATACTTCCCACCATGCATCCGTAGGCTAATTTTCGCTGGTTTCGCTTCCTAAACCTGGGTCCACCCCTGTCAACCCGCCAAACTCTACGGCGACTCTGGCCGATTTCAGGTAGCGATTTATTGGAGGTGCCTAGCATATAAGATCTATTTCCAAGGCATGTCATGGGATATACTGTATACCCACAAAATATGGCTTTATAGAGTACAGTACCTCCAGTTTAGGCAACTGTGATGGCCACTGAATAGAGTTACCTGATCCACGAAGCCCCAGTTTAAGCTATCTTTCGCGACTGGGGATGGTGATTCGGACTGGGTCATTGGGACGGTCCGCGACTGGTGTGATCTCTAATGCCACGTGACGTGTGTGCATGTGCAAGAATTCGTTTAAGCTTCCACGAGCGATAACACATCGACGAACACAGCTGGAAGTTGTTGCTTTTCTTTGATACGAGCAATCGGGGGCGGCTGGTAAGACTCATAGGAGACAGTGCCTGATCGTGTCCCAGAGTTTGTTCTTCACCTCTTCGCTCCAAGATAAACATATAATCATTAATATATATATATATACATATGTATATATATATGTACATATGTATATATATATATATGTACATATGTATATATATATATATGTACATATGTATAACTATATATATATATGTACATATGTATAACTATATATATATATATACACAGAGTATTGTATAGTATTTGTTTTGATGCATTAGTCATTTCCAAAAGTGTTTTCTGCAACTTGGAATCTGGAAAACACTTGGATAACACATCAACTTGTGGGAAAAAGCCGCCCCCTGCGTAGAATGGACCTGTTTTTGTTGCCCCAGCCGTCTGGAGCCCAACGTCTCCCGGTGCGAAGCACGGGACGTGCTGCTTTTATAAGAGCCGAAGATCAAAACCTGGGGACAACAGAAGAGCCATGAAACAGCCACTGTCGGCTTGGAAAATCTCGGAAATCATGGCTGTGGAGTTATGGTGTCTTAAGGGAAAATCCATGGGAAAATCCATAATTGTAGAGGTTTTAATGGAAACACATGATATCTATACAGTTTATACATGTGGTAAACATGCTTTGCTGTCAAATGTCCATATAAATGGTTTGCTTCATAGCTGGGAAAATCATCATCATCATTTTATCATCGAAGTAAATGGGGAAAACATGGCTTCAACAAAGGGCTTGCTAAAACATCCTAGCTGCAACAAGTTCCACTGATGGTCGATTTATATATGTTCCAGCCATGTTTGAGGATACCGAAGGCAAATTTGAACGGAAATGTTCACCAGATTTCACCAGGTTTTGACCATATCAAACTCGAAGGTGAACCATAGCTGGACCACTGAAACCGCTAACATGTGTGTGCCATGTTGGGCCAAGGTCTCACTTTGTGGGAACTATTTCAAAACATTTTAGACGTAGGTAAGATATGGCTGTGTTTTTTGAAAGTGGCCTAGACCTTTTTTTTTTCGCCCCACAGGGCGGCAAGATATGGGGGAAAAAATCATGAAGATGGTGATCATCCATTGGAGTAGGGGATGGCCCATTTCAGACGAAGCCATATGTAGCGGTTTGAGCAGGTCCAACATGGTCGAAGCAAGCGCTAGATCCAACGAGTCTCATCGCTAGATCCGAAGTGAGAATCGCAGGACATCAAAAGTGACGTACGTCAGACAGTCTTCACTCGACGACGAATCCCGTGGGATCACTATTTTGAAGGGGAAAATCAACTATTTCGACTGGGCCATGTTCAATAGCTTTTTGACCTTTTTGTATGTTTACCAGAAGGTACCCATCAAATACCAAGCAATTTCTTCAGCCATCTGGGAAAACCCAATCTGGCCTCGCGGGTCGATGCCACATGGATTGTGTCAAGTGCTGAGCTGTGCTTTTTTGGAGCTACACATGAGCTGCCCATCTTGCTACACACACTTCAAGTGCTGAGTAATATGAAAGCTGGAAACCCAAAAGATGCGCTTGCAGCATGTTTCTTCCAATGGAGGCCACATTTTAGCGTTCGAGATTGAGTTTTCAGGGGACAGGCCATGCTAACACCTCATGTAGCCAATCCTGAGCCATGCCGCAGCCAGTGATGAGATATTTGGGGCTGAAGGCTGGATGGCAAGGACCTCTACTGGTTAAGGGTTCTGTTTGTTGATGTTGTGCTTTTTTGCAGTAAGAAGTTGTATGACATGGGGGAAGCATCTAGGATGACAGCTGACTCGCATGGACTTTCGGAGGATATCAACGGTTTGCTATTTTCTATGCAGGCAAAATACATGTTGGATCTTTTTTGCTACTTCCAAGAGTGGTTTCAATATGTTTTTTACTGCTCAGGATGAGTGAAGAAGAACCCAAGTTGAACACTGCAGCCAGAATCGTAGCTGTGGGTGTAGAATTTGCGACCTCTAGCCGTAGATGTTTGTTTTCTTTTCTGACTCAGCAACATAAAGCTTGTATGCGTAAAAGTTGGGTTGTCCTTTCTCAAGAATCAGGGCCTTCCTTATTTTTTGGAGGCCTTCCGGTCCCCAGATCATCCACTAGCATCAGAAGCATGTAGCCCTACATTTGCCAATTTCATCTGTAGAGGCCAATATAGATAAAGCAATGGTAAAACATGGTAGATAATGATAGATATAATAGGTATAGATATGACATACCTGTACCTAGACCCTCCAAGTACCCTGCAAAATGGTATCAAAATGGTGTCTTGCCTCAAAATCTTAGTACTTTTACAATTTTGTTGTGGTATTTGGAGGGTCGTCCTGTAATCTAATTGTACATCCTCACATCTCAAAGTAAGCATCCTTCACCATGATATCCGCCATGTTCATTTCAATGTTTTTTCCCTATTTTTCCCTATGTTTTTTCATTTTCCAACCAGCTGTAGTGTGCATACTTGTAGTGCGCCTACTAGAGTGCGCCAATTGAAGAGGCCACACATGATATGATATAAGCATATATATAAGCTTTATTAATCACAAATGCTAACCACTGTTTTCACCATGTTCGAATGCTGGTGTGCACCATTAGCCATACAATGTGGGGCCCCCCCAGTTATAAGTTGGTTTAGAAATCCCATTAACTCTGGTTATAAGTATCATAAACCATAGTTATTGGAGTTATAAACCAACTTAGCTATCTAGGGGGCCCCACATTGTACATATCGGATGATGTGTCCGAGCTTCGTTTGCCGGAGCCGGACCTCCCCGCAGTCGGATCTCATTCAGCATCTCTTGAAATTGGTCCGGGCTCCTGTGTGAAATGCGCGCTGCAAGGGGCAAGGGGACCACAGATGCACAAAAAACACAAACGCATCATGTATATATGTATATATAATAATGCATATATGTTCATCATATATCACTATATATATACTATACTATTATATGTGAAATATATGTGTATATACTATTATATTTATGATGTATACATGTATATACATACTCCCAATCTTCGGCCTTTCAGTATAATTGAGATAGCCATGAGATTCCATGATCTCAAGGGCAGCTACGGTTCAACGGGTTTGGGCTGTCAAGCTAAAGATTGACGGCAATCTGGTTAAAAGAAATTTGGTTGACATCAGTAGCGATAGAAAATAACAATTTTAATGGAAGGCTTACCCTTTGGTAAACAGCTTTCGGTTGATAACTGGTTGGGGAGGTTTCCATTTGGTAAACTAACATAGCTATAGTTAAAATAACTATTTTAATGGGTAATTCTTCTACAAATGGGCCATTCTCCATACAGCAACAATCCCAGGATGAGGTAAACAGCCCAGTCGAGACAAGATGCAATACATTACTCGTGCCACTATTTTCTTCCAGTGCTACACGGCTAAGTATTACATAGAATGGTGATGAATGGTGTATGTAGATATGTAAACGAGTGTGTATACATATATAATATATATATATATATATACATATTTACATATATATATATAGATATATACATATGGAGATACATATGTAAGGTAGAGAGAGGGAGAGAGCACATGCATTTTTACAATGCTTCGGGGTGCTGGTTTCCTGACATATTTTGGCGCCTGGCCAGGGAGGGAAGAATCGGAGCTACCGGCCACTCGGCTGTTCAGAAAGAGATTGAATTAAGACGAATGGGGGCTCAACGTAGAATAGAACATATGGGGATGGGTCAAAACCCTGGCACCTAGTGAACATCAAAATAGCTGGTAAATGGATGTTCATCCCACTAAAAATGGTATTAATAGGTATTGATCCATAGCCATATATATATATATCATATTCATAATCACTGTGGTGTAGAGACAAGATCGGGTTAAGCGACTACGTCTCCTGAGAGGGGGAGCTAGGCCGTCGACCCAGTGGCAAGGTCAGGAGAGGAAATGATCACCAGACATCACTAGATATCACTGCAGTGTGGGGCCCCCTAGATAGCTAAGTTGGTTTATAACTCCAATAACAATGGTTTATGATACTTATAACTATAGTTAACGGGATTTATAAACCAACTTATAACTGGGGGGCCCCACATTGTAGATATGATGTGTGTGCCTTGATAAACACTATACCCAGGAGATCCAATCATATCTAGTGATGGTATGGGGAATCCATGGGAATCCAGTACCTTAGTACCAGGACAAGATTATTCTTTGAACACCCCAATCATTCTGGAAACCAACTGGTTAAGCCTGTAGTCTGACTGGTGAAAGATACCGATTGGACACCACCACTTTTGATAGGTATCATGCATAAATGGAACATGTTCCATAGCTAATATATATATATTATATTATATATATTATATTATATATATATATATGTATTAGTTTACTGGGGGTTATATGCCACATTGTCCATAAACGCAAGGGTCCAGGGTCGCTTAGGGAAATGGCGATTTCGGGGTCTGCAGGGTCTGCAGGGTCTGCAGCTTTGCTCGGGGATGGGATTGAAATTTCTGCTGAGAGCCATCTGCCAACTTCCCAAATCCAAGGGGAACGAAAAAAATGCAGGCTTCAGAGGCGCATCTGAATCAATAGAAATAGGTCAAATCTTGCAGGAAAGCATCGTTTTGACTCATCAAAGTGGCGCCCTGCTTCAAGTTTCTGCAGTTCTTCCATAACCAACTCTTGGATGGTTTTCATGCTGAAAACTGAAACTGAAGCGAGACAAAAAGACCCGCTTCGTGCCCCTCAGGCACAGTAAACAGACCTGTGTGGTCACGGGCACAAAGCTTGTCAAGGACGAGGGGCTGGATTCTTTGTGACCACCACATACATGTTTTTTTGGGGGCATTCAACAACAGCCTTTGGCCAACTTTCAGTCCTTAACATAACTAGTGGATACACTGAAAACTGATGAATACTCTCAGTTGCTGTGCCGCCCTGAACTACCCAAAAAACGACCAAAACGTTGATGGTCGTGATTTTCTTGGGTCATCCATGGGTCATCCATGGGTCATCCATGGGTCATCCATGTACCTTCCTTCAGATCTTCAGGATCTCGGACGACGATTTCATTTCCAGCAGCTGCTGTGCAGCAACGCAGATCATCCGGACCTGGAGGTTTGGGCACCGAACGTGACGAGGGTGTGGTGCGACCTCAACGGAACTCATGGTCAAAATATGTCAAGATTGGGAAAGTCGAATTTTGGACTTGTTAATTTGTTAGATATTCTCCAGATGGGATCGGGATATGTTAATTTGTTAGCGGTTTTTTAGTGGATATCCTCACTGTGGTTTTGACGCATTATTCGTTGTGGGATGGTCACATCCAGTGGCCACCTTGGAGCATTCCAAGTTAGATGGTGCCATGACCAGACCTTAGGATCTTGAGTGCCACATGTTTGAGCCTTGCCGATCATTTCATCCAGCTGGTACCACAAAAAAATGTACCCTTCTATTCGCGTAAAAAAAAAAGCGCCCAGAAGTTTGACAAATGCTGAAGGGAACCCGCAGCAGCAGTAGCTTTTCTTTTGCTAGCGTTTAGCGGCTTTAGTGGCTTATTCTGTGTGTGTGCGCCTTTTTGATGCTTCCAAATAAGCTATTTCGTACGCCATGGATAAAGGTTCTGGGCAAACGTGGCAAACAATGACCTAACTGCGACCTCACTAGAATGACGGTTCATCTCTGCATAGAGGGGGGGCAGGCCGAGTGCGAAGACGGGTGGCCTTATTTCAGGCGAATAAAATATCATAATTCACCCAGATAGACATATACTGATTGGTGGTTTGGAACATGTTTTTATTTTTCCATATATTGGGAACAATAGTCCCAACTGACTTTCACTCCATCATTTTTCAGAGGGGTAGGTCAACCACCAACCAGTGATCTCATGTTGCAGGTGACCAAATGTTCCGTAACACTCCCGGGATAACCTGGGGTTGTGATCTCCAATCTCCAAACTGGGAACTGTTGACATAAGGAAATGTAAGGAACTGTTGACATGGGGAGCCTGTAATAGATCCTCCAAATACACAGAAAAAAGGAAGGTGATTTTTGGAAAGAAGGGAAGGCAGGAAAGAAGGAAGGAACGAGGAGAGGGGGAGGGAAGGAAAGAAAGGGAAGAAATGGAAGGACGGAAGGAAGGAAGGGAGGAAAGAGAGGAAGGAAGGAATGGAATGAAGGAAATCCTAAAAGAAACGCTTTTTAGAAACCCCAAAGAAAACCTAAAAAATACCCTAAAGAAACCTAAAGAAACACCAAAGAAACCCTAAAGGAATAAAGAAACCGTAAAGAAACCAAGCTCCGAGATGTTGCAATGCCATTTGGGTGAGAGATCCAAACTGCAAAATGCTGCAAATAGCAAGTAAAACCACCTCGCCCAGAAAACGGGGAAACAAATCCCAAACGATCCAACAAGAAACGGAAAAAAAACAAAACAAATTGCAGCCCTTAAGATGTTGGTATAAAACTGAATTTTGAAGGGTACTTGGGGGGTTCTAGGTATGAGCAAGTGGCAGCCTATCAAGTACAGAGCCATGTCCCTTTTGCACTGATCCTACGGTCCAAAAGTCGAATGGGAACATCCACCATTGCTGTAGTTTCTAGATTCTACTTGAGATTAAACCATAGAACTCTCATGAACTATCACCCATAGGATCCATGGTGCTGCTATATATGGTAACATTTACCATCAATATACCCCCAATGTTAGTATATATACCATACATGGATCCTATGGGTCACAGAACCTCCATATTATTCACATATTCACATAGTTTTGGTGTATTGAAGCTCCATGTGTCACTTTTTCTTGAGCAAACGCTGGGTTTTGCAGGGGCTCCAGTACGATGAACTCCATTTGGCGGACGGGCGGACGGGTGCTGGCTTAGCCGCGTCTACCCTGGGTATCCCTCCAAAAAAGGTGGACTAATGGGGATTGAAAGGGGGTACAAGGCGGATAGAATGGGGATATGGTATAAGTATATATTATACTATATTGTATTATATTGCACTATATTATATTATATCACATTGTATTATATTGTATTACAGTATATTATATATATATATATATTATATTATATATATATTATATTGGTTCATATGATATGTTATTTTATGTGTTTGTGTACTTATTTTCTATATTACACATTATAGTATACATTTCATTGTGCATTGTTTGTATTATCTTGTTTTTAAATGTGTATATATATATATATATATATATATGTTTATTTTTTTATGTTTCATTTTATTATATATCATGTATTTTGGTTATTATATCATTTTATATTTGACTTCACTATGTTCTATTATATGTTGCATTATATCATATTATTATATGTTTCATTTTATTTTATCAAGTTGTATAATATATATATATATATATATTATAGTGATATATAATGTATCTTATTCTACTATACTATGTTATATTGTAGTATATGTTACAATATTATAGTATAATATAGTATCTTATGTTTTTTGTTTAATATTTTATCTTATTAGATCATGGTATATATATAATATTGTACACTATATATATCCACACACCACATATAGCCAACAATTGGAGATTACACGCAGGTGTCATCAGCTATGAGGCGATTCCTGGCGAATTGTCAATGAATCTCCGTCTAAGAAGACGAACAGGTAAAATCATGTTTGATGGGATCCACCATCCCCAATTTTTTCCATTTTTTATGGTTGGTATTCCAACTATCAATCATTTTAGGATGGTGTATGACATTGCTTTACCAACATTACGACATGATTTTGCGATGGCATCGGGTCCGATCTCCCGGAGCCGGACGCATCTGGTGATGCCCAAAACTCATCATGGCTGTTTCAATCCTACAATGTGGGGCCCCCCAGTGATGTTTGTTGGTTTATAAATCCCATGAAAACTATAGTGATAAGTATCATAAACCATAGTTATTGGAGTTATAAACCAACTTAGCTATCTAGGGGGCCCCACACTGTATTTTACATATTTTACGGTCTGACTTGGATAATTTGAAGGTACCCCCCCCATGACTTTGGAAGCCTCCATATACTTTTTGTGGTTAAATATCCAGATAAAGTGGAAATATGTTGCAATTTAAGGTTACAATAGGCATTTTGCAATGTGATCTTTACTGGATCTCTCCGTTACTCACCAATCGAACTGGTTGCCATGCTGAAAGAGCATGTAGCTAACACCCTCATCACCCTGTCATCGCTCTGGAATGCTTCATGTGCCCATGGTGTAGTACCTTCTATTATCACGATGTTTGATAACTATAGTTCACCTTTTTCCAAGGTATCTACGATAAGTAGTTAGCCATGATGCAGCATAGACCATTTTTGTTGGACACGTGCCTTGGTCCAGAGACCTTACGTGGAGACTCACAAGTGTGGACTGCTGCTTTTCTGACCCACCCTTCATTCAGCAGCGTGACCCTGGCGTTTTTGAGTAAAAGATAGGTACTAGTAACACTAACACACAATATATGTCACAACATCTTTAATTTTCAGCAGATGCTCACAACATATGTCACCAACCATTTGTTAGTTTGTCTTGCATAAATCCCAGCAAAGCCCAAATGAGCGGTGGCTGCTAAAGCCATGTTGCTTCATGATACTAGCCAAAATATTGAACAGTGTCACAGTCCATATGACGGAAAATCTCTCAACCGACCACTACAAATAGGAACGACATTTCGGATTTTGAACATTGCTCTTTTTGTTTTCGACCAGGAGCCTCGAGTCTTGAAACGTTTGGCACGAGTGCATGACTTTGCAGCCTGGTTGATCCCGGGTCTAGCTCTGAGAAATCTCACTGGGGATTTGGTTTATGAATAGGATAGTTTTTCCATTTGTACTCGATGGTGTTTTACCCCATCATTTTTGGTATTTGTTGATTTGTTCGGGTATTTGGAGGGCCAAGGTAAGGATCGAAATCTCAGCTTTCCGGATGAACTTTGACACATCTTCATTTCTAGTTCTTCGCCAGCGCAAAACACACGTCCGTTCTGAACAGTTCATCGTTCCGGGATCCGAAGACCAATTTCCTCTGAAAATGATTGGCAGGGTCTAGATATGTCAATTCAGAGGATGGAATATGTCAATCATTTGGCTGCAGAATTTGAGTACGATAACGACCTGGAGCCTCGTTAAGCCCATAAAAATGGATCAAAGGGCCAACACAAAAGACCCTTCCTGAACACTTGTATGTTCTTCATTGGTGAACTTTTGCCAGTGAAGCCCTTTTTTCGGGATCGAGTTCAAATCATAATTTTGCTCTGGAATCCCCCAGCACTGTTCATCATTCTGTTTGTACGCCAGTAGGAGGAGACTTGTGGCGATCAGAATGCTCCTCTTGTCACCCTGCAAACCACTTGTCACACAGTGGATGTTCGTCTCTGGGTCTTTTGTCGGCGGTTCAATTCAGTTCAAACCTATGATTCCCATATTACTGGGGGAATAAACATCCATGAACCATCCGTTATAGGGTACCTAGGGTACCAGGGTTTTGACTCATACATTTGGAGGTTTCCTGAAATGGGGGTACCTCTGTTCATCATCCATTTTCGATTGGGATTTTCCATGAAATAAACCAACCAGTTATTGGGGATCCCCCGATGGAAATCCCCATTTGGGAATGCCTTCGCATGCTTTAGAACACTCGCGGCATTCTCGAGGATGGATTGATCGCGACCCTTCCACTTCCCGAGAAGCTCTCTACCTGGAAGGCCAGCAGATAGAGGTCCAGTCAAGCAGAAATCTTGTCATTGCGGATGATATATGAGCGTTTCCATAGTCATGGTGGTGCCCCAATAGCTGGATGGTTTATTTCATGGAAAATGCCAATCTAAGATAGATGACGATGAACAGGGGTACCCCCATTTCAGGAAACCTCCATATTTATTTCAAAGTGCCATGGTCAATTATAGGAAGGACATATATATGTAAATGTACCTATGATGTTTGGGTTCCCATTATGGCATAAGTGACCACCAACCATATGGCATTTGCTTAAATAATGAACAGCAAAGCTAAGCCGTTGTACCATCCAAACCCTGGATGGCGACGTAGGGACTTCAGACCTGTGTTGTAGTGTTTCATATTCAAGTGACCAACAAACAAACATCGAGGTGCAAGTTAGTAGCCTAGGCCTAGAGGTATAGTGTATGGAGATTATAGATATAGGATACAGTTTTAAAATGTTTTAAATATATATATAATATTTTAAGTGTGTGTATATATATAATAATTAAATACAAGTATATATATAATTGTATATTTAATTATATATAAGTATATATACAAGTATACATGAGTATATATAAGTATATATATATATATAAGTATATCTGAGTATATATGAGTATATACATATATAATTATATATATAAGTATATATAAGTATATATAAGTATATATAAGTATATATAAGAATATATAAGTATATATAAGTATATATAAGTATATAATTAAGTAAATATACAAGTATATATGAGTATATATAAGTATATATAAGTATATTTGAGTATATATGAGTATATACATATATAATTATATATATATATATATATAAGTGTATATATATATAATTAATTATTTAAGTGTATATATATAATTGTATATTTAATTATATATAAGTATATATATATAAGTAAATCTGAGTATATATGAGTATATACATATATAATTATATATATATAAGTGTGTATATATATATATATATGTAAATCAACAAAGATTTCGGGAGCGCCTCAGGGCCCTTGATAACCTGTTCAATCTCCAGGACCTTCAGCCGCGACTCGTGCTGTGTCTGGAATATGTGGAGGAGTGCAGCGATCAATGGGAAAATACCATGGAAACCATGGAGGTTTATAGCTAAATTACTGATTGTTGGTTGGAAAATTACTGATATGAAGTGGATATGAAACATTGTGACATAGTGAAACCTGGTTGTTGGTTTGGAACCATGGAAATTCATGACTGTCCATATATTGGGAAGAATAATCAAAAAACTGACGAACTCCATCATTTTTCGGAGGGGTATACCACCAACCAGATTAGCTAAATGATCGAACTAAAGACTGGGAAAGTCATCGATCTCTTGCTGGGAAATACCCAAACTAATTTGTAAATGGAGGTGTTTTTGGCCAGGCAAATCATCAAACTAAATGCTGGAAAATACTGGAAGGTATTGATGTTGAGTTTGTTTTTATGACTAGACCTTACCCAAATATAGACTAATTAAGTTGTGGAACACATTAAAACATCAACAACATAATTTCACATCTCAGATGTTAATAATTTGCCAAACACTTTTGGTGTTCCAAAACATCTGTGAAATTGATGCTCTACACATTAATTTTACATTGTTTTTATTTTTCTAGCCAGTACAATGAGATTGCTCCTCGCAGGAATAAGAAACCCTTGATGATTTTGGAGACCAAGAATAGAAACTCCAAATATATCCCAATATATATATATCCCAATAGAAATACTATTGCAGATATATCCCAAACCAACAATGATTTGATATATCCCAATTTCCAGACCCAAATACCCTCTGGTAAAGTAACAGTTTGCTTTTGAAAATGGACATTTATTTCATGAGTTGTCCCATACTGCTTGCGCTAGGCCTATGTGCACCTTTGGACCCGAAGGCGCACCGCTCACAAGCACCGGCGGACAAACCGAAGTGTCCTAAAGCCAATAGCAGGATTGTTCAAGAGGTCCCGAGGCCCTTTGCAGACCAAGTCCAATGGCAGCAACGAATCCGACAGATGCGTTTTCTGGATCTACCCTCTCCTAGAGCTTGTCCCAAGTTGTTATTGCCCAATGGTGAAGAGGCTTTCTTGGTGATACACCTCTTTAGTGGAAGGAGGAGACCGGACGATGTCCATGACGCTCTCCATGAATTTGCGACCTCGCGTCAACTCAAGCTGATTGTCCTATCGCTTGATACAGCAGTCTCAAGTGAGTTTGGTGATTTGGCACTTGACAGCGCTTCCTGGCGAATTCTGGAGCAGATTTACGCAATGGGTGCTGTAGGAGCCACGCTTGTAGGTTCCCCATGTGAGACGTTTAGTGAAGCCAGATTTATGATTCCAGAAGATTTACCCCCTGGATCAACTCTGCCCAGGCCACTCAGGTCAGCACTTCGTCTCTTGGGATTAGAAGGACTTACCGCACGCGAACTTAGACAGTGTCATTTAGGAGGGAACTTTTTTCAACAGGGTGCATTAGTTCTCTCCTACCATATGAAATTCGGAGGCTGTTTCGTTTCGGAACACCCCGCAAAGCCCAGTGATGACACGCGGCCCAGCATCTGGACTAGCGCCATTTTGCAGGTGCTCATGAGGCACCCGGAAGCCAAGTTATCACATATCTGTCAGTTCAAGTGGGGTGCGACCGTCACCAAACCAACAGGACTTTTACATTACCAGATGCCGAATTTTTGCAAAGACCTGTATCAACATGCTGATACCACTGCCTTGAGGCCACAAGAGGTCGCGATTGGCCGCGACGCTACTGGACAATTTAAAACGGCTAGGCATAAGGAGTATCCAGCACGCTTTTGCAAAGGTCTTGCTTTTACCATCTCACAAGCGTTGGCTGCTGCCACCCGGAAGCTTGCAGTCCAACCAGTGATTTTGCCTGACAACCTGCTGAGCTGGGTCCACGGAGCTGCAAAAGCCAGTTCGTTTGTACATCGCCAGTCGTGGATGCCGGACTACCAGGGGACTTAGGCGTGTCTTTTGTATGTTAATTAGAGAATGTTGCATGTGGCAGCAAAGGCACTGACCTTTTCGTGCACCGAAATGGAAAAATGGAAATGGAAAGTTGTCCCATAAAAATCGCATGGTGATTTTCCATATTTGTTGTATGTTCACCAGAGGGTATATCATATCCAGCTCGTGATTCAAATTTCTAGGTGTGACCTCAAAGGATCTCGCCATGACGACAACATACTGCTTGATTTTTTTGTGCGATGAACATATCCATGGATTAATATGGTTATATAAGTTATAGTGCTATTAATATCCGTTGATGATGGTATTATATGGTGTTCTAACATTGTTTAATGATGGTTTGTTATATAAACAAAAATCAATGAATAAATATGCTTAAATCATTTTAAGGAATGTGGCGAAACCTTGTTTTTTCAAGCTGAAGGCCCCCACGATCCACTGAGTAAGTTGGCAGATGCCAGCTTTGATGCCATGAGTCGCAGGATGGATTTGGGCAAAGCACCGAGATGGATGAGACGGGAAAACAACCATGCTTGGTTTGCCGCACGCGCATGGTTTGCGCAGTCATTTGGCGGTGCTTGGCGGAAGCCTTGTCGGCAAGCGTGCTTGAAATCGTCGGCTTGGAAGTTATCTATACTGTCCAGGAAGGATGGAATTTCTTCAGCCTGGCGGTGACTTCAGAGTTGTGCCATGTTTTGCCCCCCCATTGGTTGATGGCATTCCTAATGTTGACCGGAGACGCCGGAGATTCATGACATTCCCAAGGGATATATTATATAGGATGTTTCTTTAAAAGAAAACATGTTGACCCATGTGAATAGACGCGTCTTCATTTTGAATGGTCACGGACAGGGGTATGCACCATATGGAACACGTTGTTTTTGAGGACAATAAGAGGTGCATCAACTATGTGGACGTATGTGGCAAGCTTTTCATTATGGGGGAGCGGGATGTTGCAGACTCTTGCAGAAATCCGCCGGGGGAGCCCAAGAGGATCCAAGAAGCGAACCCGTTATCATTCAGATGGTTTGTCTCCCCTGAACGGCTCATTCGACCATTAATAAAAACGGGCTAGGGGATGCTAGGGGTTCGTTTATCTTATATAGGTTGAGGTTGTTTTATGTTGTTCCCCACCTGCCAGGTGAGAGTTGTTAGATTTTATGTCAGTTGCCTGGTCCTCCTCGTCCTCCTCGTCCTCCTCCTTCTCCTCCTCCTCTCGTTGTCCTCCTCGTCCTCCTGCTCAACTGCGACTCGCGATCCACAGTGTTCTCTGCCGGACCTCCACCACGACCATCCACGCCCAGTGTTCCCTGCCGGACCTCAACCACGACCATCCACGCCCAGTGTTCCCTGCCGGACCTCAACCACGACCATCCACGCCCAGTGTTCCCTGCCGGACCTCAACCGCGACCATCCACGCCCAGTGTTCCCTGCCGGACCTCAACCGCGAGTATCCATGCCAAGTGTTCCCTGCCGGACCTTATGCCAGAAAGTGTTCCAGAAGGTATGAGATAAAATGTCAGATAGAATGCCAGAAGATATGCCAGATAGAATGCCAGAAGATTATGCCAGATAATATGCCCAGAAGATATGCCAGATAGAATGCCAGAAGATATGCCAGAACATATGCCAGAAGATATGCCAGATAGAATCCCAGAAGATTTGCCAGATATAGATATGCCAGAAGATATGCCAGAATAGATATGCCAGAAGATATGCCAGAAGATATGCCAGAAGCCAGATAGAATGCCAGAAGATATGTCAGAATATATGCCAGAAGATATGCCAGATAGAATGCCAGAAGATATGTCAGATAGAATGCCAGAAGATATGCCAGATAGAATGCCAGAAGATTTGCCAGATAGAATGCCAGAAGATATGTCAGATAGAATGCCAGAAGATTTGCCAGTAAGAAAATGTAAAAATGTCACGGTGGGGATCACACGAAGTAAAGTAATTTTTAGCTGGTCCTACAATACAATCAATACAGCATATTATATACCCATGCTTGGGGGAGCATGGTCCACCTCAGAATTTGAACTTACCTATGGAGACATGATCACTTACCTGAAGATGAGCATTTGTTCATGAAAATGCGGTCTCCTCATCAAGACGAGGCGGTTCAAAACCTGAAGGCGAATGGCTTTGCCCAAAGCATCCCAATACAAAATGAATCCAAACTCTGTGAAACACTCTCTGGTCTCAATCTATCTCAATGTTCTCCCGGAAAACACAAAAACACATCAATATTTGGGAGTCCCGATGGATTTCGGAGAGACCACCTCGGTTCTTCGTCGCAGGACCCCCACGTCCTGGGAACGCTGCTGCGGACAGCCATTGCCTTCCAGTGGCAGGTGCAGCAAAACCCAAGGAGCCCAACCATCCCTTCGGTTCTTACTTGGATTTGTCTGAAAATAGTGTACCCCTACACCCAATGGTTAATGATCATTATCCCTATTAAATGGCTATAATTGAAAATATACCCTATTTTCAGACAAACCCATCAGATTGTTTTGGGATGCCTTTTGTGGGGGGGCGGTGTAACATGTTGTTACTTACCATTTGCAACTCATACCACAAAATTATGTTGATTTCAACATGGCCAAGGAGTTCCTCAGGTGTCCCTCAATCTGTTTCCATATGGATAAACCAATGATTATCAATGATGTTTGGATTCCTATCGGATGGATGACCATACATGAGGGCTATCACTTTGGAATATTTTCCCAACAATAAACATCCCATTATCGTTGGTTAAAATCACAGCAATTACCCAGTTGAATCACAATTAAAAAAATCAGCATCCCATTACAATGCAATTAAATCCCAGTAAACAAACACCTAACATAACAAAAAATGAAACGATGACTTGACAATTTTCCCCATAAAAATGACGCGCCCTGCGACGCGACGAGGCGGTTTACTTTCTGAAGTATTGCGCAGATCCGTGGGTGCGTTTTTTGCACTGTGAGTTCCGGTGGCAGAATAGGTTTCATGGGGAAGAAGACTGTGTATTTGTTTCAACATGTTTTTTTTAGCAAGTCAATGGGTTTATAAGAAAATGTTGTTTTCAAATCGGAAGAATGTGGTTTGTGTCTTTGCTTGTCTCAAGGTCCTAAGGTCCTAACCCTCTGGATGGGGAGTCTAATCCGCTATAAATCTAGTAACCAGCTAACAACACTTGATTTGTTTCAAGGGTATCTAAGGTTGGCAATGAGATGTGGTCTACTCCAAAAATGGTTGTTTAATCGGGAACCTGATGGAAAACCAAAGGATTTAGGGACAGCCTATGAAAGCAGACAAACCCACATGTATTCGCTTTGTTTTTTTTGATATATAATGTACGATTCGCATACATATACTCTTATATATAAATAATGTATACACATACATCAGAGTGCATATGTTTTCATAGTCGTGTTTATTTACGCATATTCATACACATAATCACATATATAGATAAAATGCCTTTACGGAACCATCATGAACGGTCCCCGTTGTGATCTTCTGCCAATCTCTTGGGTGATTTCCACAGTGGGATGAGAACTGGAGGGCTCTGAAATAGGTTCCTTAAATTTTATGGTGGATGCTGCGTCCTAAAATTTGTCCTTCTAGATAAATTGCCCCAAACAATTACATTTTTTGATCCACGGCAATTTAAGGCAACTATATCCCATATGCTCCATGGTGGTGGAATACTTATCAAATCATATCAACATTTACGCCCATGAATGTCCCAAATGGAAAAGCAGCAAAGTTATTTACATCCATGGTAAATCATCGAACTACCGTGGAATAAACCATATTATGGAATTTTGTGGGTAAATGTTCTGGGTTTTCCTCGTGGGTTTTCCAGTTCCTATATGGAATACTTGTCAACATATACCCACGGAACACCCGGAAAACGTGGCCAGGACGGGCGGTGCATACGATCCTCTCAAGGCACGACGCCGTGTAAAAGACAAAAGCTTTGTGGGTCAACACTTGGGGAAACCTGGATGGTACCCTAAGCCCCCAAGCCATAGCTGGTTCATGGATGGTTATTCCCCCAGTCATATGGTAAGAATATGTAAGAATAGGTTTTGACCCATCCGGAGATAAAGCGTGACAAGACGTGTTTTCATTGGAAAAACAATATGTCAGGTAAAATCGACCAGAACAGATAGGCCCAGATAGGCATATTATCAAAGAAATGCAATGTACCTGGGTTTTCATCATCAAGAACTGGGTTCTAATGGGATGTAAGCATAGCCATAAGGAATATGATTGGAATCCTTTAAGGGATACTATCGTCGGTAAAATCAAACATTGCTGGCCATGGGAAATCCACAGCAAACTTGCTGTGAATACAGGAGGGCAAACCAACCAGAACAGATATCATATGATGGCATACTGAAGCAACATCAACCAACCAGATGTGGCCTTGGGTTTGAATCCTGGCCCGGCCCCAAGCAGGGTTTTTATGGTTACTACGAACATCTCTAGAAACTGTGCACGTTTTGTGGGTTATTTTTTTTCTGGGCCCTATGCCTAGTAGTGGACAACTACAGTCATAATGGATAACTAATTACGAATAATCTACGGTTGATACTAGATCACGGAGTATTTTGATGTACAACTTGGGGGTCTGAGTGACCCAGCAGCTACCCGCATTCTGGTTATACAAAGAGAAGGACGACTGGTGATTGGTGTTAATTACAACCCACATATCTAGGTACATCAAGATACTATCTTGATCATGTTTGATTTGATTTTAGCAAACCATATATCATCAAATATCATCCTTATGCATATATAAGTATGGAACCGTTCTTTCCCTATTAAATCCTGGACCTATCAGACCTATCAGTTTCGAACATGGCATTCTTTGCTGCCTGCAATCCAGCCTCAAGTTCTGGCCTACTCGCCGTCCAGGAGCATTGTTGGATTTGCCTTACTGCAAGGGAGATTTTCAGGAGCCGCTCCAGGGTTCCAACACGAAGGCGTTGAATCGGTCTCTTCTGGTTGAGATTTTATGATTTTTATGGGATATTCAGATATATCTATATCCCCTGGTAAATTAACATAGACCCTGAAAATCACCAATTTTTAATGGAAACTAGTCTTCCAACCCCTATCTGCCAGGGTCTATGTTAATTTACCAGAGGGTATGTACTAAAACTTTGAGGTCAAACACCGCTTTTGAGGCTACTTGGGTCTAGGCTCAGATACTCAGATTTCATATCCTGGAAGGTCACACCTGGACCCATAATGGATCCATAGCCCCGATCCATAGCCCTGATCCATACATCTCGGGATATGATCCATGCCCTTGATCCATACGCAAAAATGACATAACTACAAGTTATACCAGGCCAATTTAGTACACCTTCTCAATAATTAGGTCCAGAGCAAACCTCTTTTACACAACTCACCTGTTCCATACATCCGGATCACCGCGGAACGATCCATACCTGTTTTTTGAGCCGTACCCCAATGAATGTGAGTCGAACTCTGCCAGAATCAAATATTGCAATATGGGGGGTTCCATAAATGGGGGTCCCCAGAATGGTTGGTTTATGATGGAAAATCATTTTAAAATGGATGATTTCGGGGTACCCAGGAAACTTCCATATAGGATAAGACTCGTTAAATATTACCATCATCAGTAAGTTCGATTATTTTGCATTTTGACCAGGTATAACAATATGTGCAATACATGAATATCAACTTGGCATAACTTGATGATTATACATTCGCATTGCTATATATATATATACACATGTATCAATGTGTATGTGTACATATTGCAATATATATATATATATACACACACTTATCAACGTGTATGTATATATGTTTGCACATATGCATATTTATTTACATCGGTTTGAAAACAATACATGCGTAGATTTTTGGAACCATCACCCGCCTTTGTTTCCTTGGTTGTTGGTTTACTTTTTCGACGGTGCAAACGAGGATCTCTTGAAGTTCTGCAAGCAAAAGAGGCATGGGTTGCATGTCAAGGTTGAGACCCGGGGATCTAAAGATGTCGACCACGACGGCCCATTCTGTGGGTGTTGGAAAATTGTCCAGGTTGCTTATGAGCGGTTGGCAAGATTTTACCATTGATTTTGCAGCTGCAAGTTGGAAACTTTGTGTTTGCATCTACTTTCCAATTTAATCCCATCCCCCTGATTCACCAGAGCATGAAGGGGTCCCAATCTGTCTTTTCATCCCTTGTATCCACCATAGTTTCTGCCGGGGGTGTTTTGTAGCGGGGGAAGGGATAAGTATGGGAAGTTGATGTGTTTGCTCGGGAAACGGTCCATGCTGGAGAGGAGAGCCCCAGCGCATTTGTGAGTGAAGTGATTGTAATTTCTCCGCAATCTTGAAACCAATACCTCCGTGGTTTTCATGTTTTTTTTTCTTTCGTGGGTTACAGGATGGGCCCCCCAGTTATAAGTTGGTTTATAACCCCCATGAAGTATAGTTATCTGCTTCGTTATATCATAAACCAGAGTTAATTCAGCCACAGCCATATCTCAACTGAACGCTATCGCTCGCTCACGGGGGCCCCATCCTGTACTTCATGGGAGCCAGGCTGATGCTGGTTACCCCACATCACCGTGGGGAGTCGCTGGAAGACTTGGCGGATCGGAGAGGCAAGGCTGTTATAAAGCTACTCTAGGATAGTAAGAACTTAAAATTACTATTCATTTAATAACTTTATTATAACAACTTAGTTTATATGTTTGAATATTCATGATTCTCAGTTTAACTCAGTTATTTATTGATGAAAACATCGTTAACTAAGCGATATTGCTTTAGAAGTAATAGTTATCATGCTCGGTCATTCATGATTATTGACAGTCTAACTGTCTATTATTATATGTCAGGGAGAGTACTCGTGCTATCAATAATTTGATTGCATTTTGTGTTGTATCTCTTTTACTATTATGATTATTGTTGATGCATTTGTTGTTGTTTAACTATAATGTACTATGATTGATTATTGTTATATCATTAAGAGTTTTATATTACGATTGCTAGTTTCATGAAAATGTCTCTTGTTTTGATTTGTTTCTTAGTGTAACATATATATGTAAATATATTGTTATTGGTATTTATTGTGTTAGATAGAACAAAAAACACACACGCATGTTGATATATGATGTTGCATGTGGGCGAATGCGCTCATATACCTGAGATCTATGATGCTCATTGAGAATACCTAGACCCTCCGTTTGCCAGCACCCGTAGATATGCTGATTTTCCCGCATAGGTGTAGTACTTTTTACAATGTTGTAACCATTTCTTTGGAAGGGAGGATCCAACCGTATTTACATCTATTTACACATGTTCTTTTAACACCCGGCATCGGAGATCTTGGCAAATCCTGGATTGAGGGGGGGGTGTAGCCTTTTTGACCCTCCGTTTACCCCCAAAAAAAACATGCTAAAAGGACTACAATAAACATGGTAAAACATGGTAAAATGATGTAAAATGGTAAAATATACCTACAATCATTGGGTAAAACATTGTATATGTTTATTTTAAGTTACGTCTCGCTGCAAAGTGTTTTTGCACGACAGAAATTGTTCGAAATCTCCTTCCGCACAGAACTTGGCGCGCTGGGCAAGATGGGCCCCCCAAGATAGTATGAGCTCGCGTTCAGTTGAGATATGGCTGTGGCTGAATTAACTCTGGTTTATGGTAGATATAACATGATATAATGAACTATAGATAACTCTACTTTTCATGGGGATTATAAACCAACAAATTCAACATTCACATCACTGGGGGGGGCCATCCTGCGTCGAAGATGGTGTCATCGGGGTGTCATCGGCTCCGGTGTCATCAGCTGGCTGGAAAATCCACCAGCAAGTTCGATGAAAACTTCCCAGCTAGAAACTTCCATCATATATATATATATATATATATCGTATATATATATATATGTATATATATATATTATGTGTATATATATATATTATATATATATCCATTTATAGAGTATGTTCCAATATGTTCCCTTTTTTTGTTTTCATATTTCACATTATTTTTCCTTCTGAAAAGGTGGGATTTCCCTTCTTTGATTTTGGGGGAGCCCTTGAAAAGTTCTGTCTGGCTCTCCCAGAGCCAAACTGTGAAGGCGTCGACCAGAGCGTAGGCAGGGATGGGAGATCAATCTCCTTGTCATTGGTTGTATAGTGTGTACTTGGGGGTGAACCTCAGGTTCATAATATTGTTTTTTATTCGATGGTTGTACATTGTTATTAATTGCAATAAATTGGTATAACAATATTATGAACAATTGATATCTACAATAATAAGATATTTTGATATTCCCAACAATTGATAATATTGTTCACCGCGGGAATTGAAGATATCTGAACCCCCAAAGTTGGGATATACCTACTCCAACTAGTTTTTTTTTTTTTTTGCCACTTATTAGTGGAGCTACACCCCCAAGTAATGACCAGAACGTTGTTGATTGCATCACAAACTATATGTTTTATGTATATATATATACTGTACATATGCACTTTATGAACCAAATAGATTTGTTTGATTATGTTTGATGGCTTATGGTTTTAATTTATATCCCCCATGTAGATTTGTTTCTTTGGGTCAAATTCATGGGTTTTAATCTATATCCCCGAAAATGTGATGTCATGATTCAACCAGATGGAGGTGAAACTTCTAACCGATGCCAAGTTATGGAGGAACAGGGTCAGAGTGTGCAGTGGTCCATGAAAAAATGCTTTGTCAATGGGGTATACGGATGTATACGGTATACCCTCTGGTTATTAAACATAGCTATGGAAGCTATGGCCCTTAGAAATCGATGATTTATGATGTGTATGTTGATTTTCGCAATAGCAAGGCGTTAAATAACCAGAGGCCAAGGTATACCAAAAGGGCTATATCTTTTTATGGGGAAGCTGATGAAACTTCAGTGGATTCAAGGGTACCCCATATGGAACCCACATCTTGGGTAAGTTATAGTGACCTCACTGGAATGGTTAGGATCAAGATATTAAGGCTATTAAGGCTATTATCCCAATAAAGCCGAACATTTCAGGTGAGTTAATCCCATCACCCGAGGCCATTGGTACCTTGGGACCTTGTTTCGGGAATTTACACATTCCATTGGGACCATGGGGCTGTTTATTTTTGGGGGATGGCAAATGGGATGATGATTTAGCGATTTTCCCAGTTTCATATGTTTGGTTGTTTTGGTCATTTTCACCATTGCCAAAGCCACTTGACATTTTTATGGTACGTGAAGTTTGGCGGGTGTCAAGCGGGACGGGGGATTGGTACCGGCTTCGTGTACCCCCCAAAAATGGATTGATTCATTCCAGCGTTCCTTGAATATGCTGGTTTGTAGGTCATGAATTTGACCCACCCTCAGAAGTTTCGGAAACAAGTCGGAAAGATGATATCACCAACATTGACATGGTTTTATAGGTCAAAAATGGTCAAGAAACAAAAGACCCAGAGAATCAGAAAGAATTTTCGATAGCCGAGCCGTGAACATGTCCTTGAAGAGTTTTTTGTTTTTTGATATGTGTTTCCCATCTTAGTGAGCGAGTCAGAGTGGCCCCAAACAACTAAAAGGGGCTGATGGCCCCAGAAATGATGGTTATTAACCGTGGGAAAAACCAAAACACATAGATGTTAAACATGGTTAATAACCATCATTTCTGGTTTATAACCGTTAAATGGGATTTGCTATGGTTTATAAGATGTAAACATGGTTGTTCAGTTTACAACTCCCCCGGAATCCTCCTGAGATGTGTTTTTTTGAAATCTGCCTGGCTTTCTAGTTCATCAATTTATCAAGAAGGTTTGAGCTTGGAGACAATGAACTGAAGGATCATCTCAGAGTGCACTCTTTGATGCTAAAAAGTGCATTGGAACAAATGATATGTGAACATGTGAACATGAGCAAAACAGATCCTCTGAGCCAAGCTTTCATGATCTGATCCAACTTGGAACCTGCGGTCAGAGGCTTCGCCTTACTCCTACGGGAAGAATATGCTGCGCCCTTCGTGTGGAACCTAAAAAGTCCTGTCCGGTCGACAAAGTTCGAGAATTGGGAAATATTTTGGTGGTTAATTGGTGAATTCGATGCCTTTTGGTAGAATATATCGAACATACTATCGAACTATTATAATAAATGGGGTAAAACATGGTGAAACAAACTAAAACAAGAGACAGAACTGTGGGGCTGTAAATCCCTTGATGTAAATCTTGACGTCTTGACGTTGTGGCGAAACCTTGCAAACCATCTAGAGATGAAAGTTGGGTTGGCTGGGTTGGATGCTTCAGAATTCATCTGTTGGGTTGTTTATGGCTAATCTATGGGAAATAAATTAGGGTTGGTTCAGACGAATCTAGGATTAACCTCGGATTGGTTTAGGCTTGCTTGAGTTAACCTAGGGTTAAATCAGGGTTAAGTGTTTATTTTGAGGTGTTTTTGGGTTGATTTAGTATTAGTCCTTTTGCTGAAGGCTTAAAAGTGTGCAAATTGCAGGGACATTGTTTCACACTTTGTTTACCTTGGTTCAGAAGGTGGTTTTAGCAACATCTTGGGTAAGTGCAAAAATGCCACGGGGCGCAGGCAATATCAATATCTATAGGATATAGTTCAAGCCTATGGCTGTGGAAGACACGGGCAGCAACAATGCAATAGGCAATAGGTCAGAATGGAATACAGTGGATTTCGGGTTATTTTGTAAGCCCTAGAGCAAGTTTGATGTCAAAACAAGAATGGCCAAGGGTATCCGGGTTTTGATCCATGGCCACATCAGATTGAATTAGCATCTGGTTATGACTAACATAGCCATGGAAAATCACCATTTTTAATGGGAAAAACCCATGTATACCATCTATTTCGATTGGGGCCATCTATACCATGGCTATGTTAGTCATAACCAGAGGGTAGCTATCGTAAGCTAGTCATGTTTTGGCTCCAGCCATGATCCAAGTAAAGCTTGAAGACAATTGCTTTGTAATGTTAGGTCTGTTAGGTTGGTAAATCGACAGCTCAATGGTTATTTTTTGATGCTTAATGTTTAGCCGTAAAGAACCTCACACTTAATAATGTCAAAAGTGAAGTTGTTTAAGGGATGCAGCATGATATATCTAACTATTAGCCATGTTACTGGAAGAAAAACCAACCATTTGGGTCATTTGTTTGATATTGAAACCACTTTTTTTCTGTTTTTTCTTCACCACTGTTGTCCATGATGTTTTTCTGTGTTCCAAAGTACACAGTTTGTTGATGTAGTTCTGTGTCAACCCATGAACCAGATGAAATGATAATTGGGTATCGCGCGTCCTAGATGATCAATGCGGTATATTTACCAACAGAACAACCACATTTAAGTAACTAAACAAACCTTGCATGGATGGTATACAATTTGATCAATTTGGTCCGTCACCATGATATAAACAGATGTGCTGTTTGGTGCACCTTGTGACATCAATTGAACTTAAGTTTAATTTGGTACTGAGACGTACCGACTATGTTATTGTGCACTGAAAATGATATTTAATGGCTATTAAATGTTAAGAGACCCGTTACATATGGTCTCTGTCTCAAAATGTGTGAAAATTCAACGCTTCCAATTTGGGGAAAACTATTGCCTTTGGTGATGTAAGATAGCTATCACCAATTTACCTATCGAGAACGGTGACATTCCAGTCGTTGTAGTCTGTCTCATCGTTTCTTGGGACAGTTGACTGTGCACGTATATCCAATGAATTCCAATGATCAAGCATCATGGTTTGATGTAATCCCTTCCCCTGCTTGACCAAAAAAACACGCCCACATGAAACCATGGTGGTCACCCGTACGGGATTGACACTTATTTGGTACCATAGGATGTGGCTGTTTCGGATTGGGAGATTGGATTGATTGGATTGTTTTTTGTAGATGTTCACCACACAATTCTGTGAAACAGAAGTGACCACACAGTGACCACACAGTGACCACGACATACCATGCCCACGTGTTGTTTGCTGCGTTGCTATTCTGACCTTTCCATGTTAGGCTGACGTCCATAGACCATACTGAGCCATACTGCGTGTCGTTTTTCAAATGTTTATCCAAACATGATGTTTAAACACAGCATGACCATTTCTGTTTTTTTGAGAAAACTCTTCCACCATTTATTGGGTTTCGAGGCGGCTCGCCGCCCTTTCGCTGAGGCTCCACCAAAGGATGCCGTGAAGATTCAGGTGTATGGCTACCCCCAGGACTTTTTGGAAACCTCCAGAAACACATGTTGCACATACATGTTTGTGCATGTCTGTATATATATATATATGGCTAGATACAGATAGATAGATACACATATTTATACACATGTATATGTATGCACGCATGTATACATAATGTACCTATACCATGCATGATGCCAGATGATTATATAAAAAAAGGTAGATTAGAGTATATGCATCACTCCATGAGTTAGTTTGCAGAATAGATGTTATTGTTCGTTGCACATAAACGGTGTATTCGTGTGTATATATATATATATAAGTTATATGCTGATTAATGTTGTTTCATAATGTTCAGTCTAGTTGTACAATATGTACACATACACTCTGTATCAACAAGCACACATACATACATACATACATACATACATACATACATACATACATACATACATACGTACATACGTAACTACGTGACATTACAACACATCACACAACATTGCCGACATGTTATACGGTGCAGACAAATGCATACAATACCAATGTGACATACATTACATTACATTGCATTACGTTACGTTTTGCTACATTTCATACATTACATGTATTTAGATTACATCACGTGGTATACTATGATGTCATATCATGTTATATGTTTTATTGTTTGTTTTTCAGTTTGTATTAAATGCCGTATTTAGATCGTTTATGTTATATTGCATTCTACTACATTAAATTTCAAATTCTATTTGATTGCATTACATTAAGTTCATCAAAGTAATTACATTGCATCTCAAATCATTGGCCTTGCAGACTGCAGTGTAATACACGCATACACTTACATAGGCATGTTTCTCATGTTTCTATACTATATACAGATGGCATACATTTACTGTAAGTAGTGGCCGGTTGGACGTGCCGTGCCTGTGCAATTCATGATCCAAATTCCAAATCGTCTGCGGTCAGCAGGTGCCGGATCCATGGGAGTGGGGAACTCAGACCATGTGATCAGAAAGATGTGCCCACTCGATGTACACTCGGAACATAGGGTGCTCGGTGGGATTCGGTGGGTTCAATCGCTTTTCATGGCTTTTTTTTTCCAGGTGGGCCAAAAAAGAAATAGCTGGCTGTTGCTAGACATTGGTGACTTCTATGGTTTATGGTAGATATAACGAACTATAGATAACTCTACTTTCATGGGGATTATAAACCAACAAACATCACTGGTTTATGGTAGATGATGGTAGATGTTTCACAGTATTCATGAGGTGCCGCCGGCATCCGGCCCAACGATTCACATCACTGGTGCCCACAACTTTTTTTAGCATGCAAAACCTGCCCTGATAGAAGTGATATAATGTGATTAATATCATACCATATATCATATACTGTATATATATATATATATATGTATGTATATATATATATATATATGTATGTATGTATGTATGTATGTATATATATATGCAATTGTATCATATATCCACACATGTGCCTTTTACATTCATATCCAAAACTATAAATTGTGTATATAAACTACAGGTACTCAATGTATACATGACATAGGACATTGCAGTTTTTTTTGGGGGCTCCCAAGGAACCATCCTCTGGAAGATGGGGATGCCTTTGACATGCGAGCATTGGATACGGTGCCGCAGAGCAGAAGTTGGGGTCGACCGGATGACAAAAATGTGGATTTAGCCAACAGAATTGAAGTTACTAGTGGTGATTAATGGTTAATAGTGCTGATTATTGCGAAATAGTGGTGATTTTCATGGGTTATTATACAAGAAAAAAAGACATCCCATCCGTGTTTTATATTTCACACACCCATTCTATAGTTCGAAATTTCTGCTTGTTTTGATCCCCTACAACCACACGGTCTATGGTTGGTATTGTTTTTTTTGTGGACGGGAGATGGAATTACGTCGATTCTATAACTAGTGGATACCTCGCGGGTTTTTTGGTCTACTCCGAAATTTGAACAATTAGATACCCTCTGGTAATTTAACATAGCTATTGAACATGACCATTTATAGTGGATTTTCCCATTGAAAATGGTGATTTTCCATAGTTATGTTAGTTTACCACAGTGTAAACTATGACAAACGTGTATTAGTACTCATTTTTTTTGTGGGGAGCCTGCGCCAAAAAGCCATGGTCAGGGTTGCGCGTGGATAATCAAAGCTGGTGTACACCACACAATGTTCCCATAAAGAACGGTCTTGCCCAACTGTGCCCTGTTTGTTTAGAAGACGATGAAAAATGAAAAACAAATTAAACCTTTGACATTTCTTCATATACCATTTTTCCTGGAAGGAGCTTGGTAGCTATATAGGGATAGTTTTAAGAATTAAGCCTTGAAACTCTTGGCTGTTTTGACCGGGGAAGAGATAAGCAACTGTTGCGTACGCCGCCAAAGTTTGGCGGCGCTAACTGAAGTGCCCGTGAGTTCCTCTAGCCATAAACCAACATGTCACCCGAGTAGTTCCTGAGTAGAAATGCTGGTTGGTAGAAATGCTGGTTAGTAGCTCCTTAGTAGTTCCTCCCCCACTACTCACAATTTTTGTCCGAAAATCCTGTAATTCGATGTAATTCGACCATTTGGGTTTTACCCCGCTGATGGAGAAATTTCATGGTAAGAAAAGGGCTGTAATCAGTCACTGGTTTGCTGGAAAATCCGCCTGCAATACTTCGATGCTATATTTTCCCAGCGAACTAAACCTTAATAGACCTCCATTTAGTAATTGTCACACCTAGTTTTCCATATATATCACCATCGTTTCATCGATTTTCCCCACATTTTTTCATATTTTTTCCACGTTTTTTGTTCATGGTTTCACTTGGGAGTTCAGCCCTTGCCGGATCTTGCCGGCCTGCGGGCAGGTCATCCAGGGTGGGATCCTAATGCATCAGCTTGGAGGCCTGGGAAATGGATGGATTAAGACTAAGATTGGCAAATGGATGAAAATAATACATAAATGGTCCCAATGGAATGTGGAAATTCCCTAGTAAACCATGGTTTCTAAGGGGGTGTTTAATACTAGGGGGAAGGGATTAGCTATGGAAGATGGAAAGACTGGTAAATGGAAGATGGATTAACCTATAGGAAATATTGGTAACTGGATTAAGATTGGTAAATGCATCCATTATGAAATGAAAAGCATGCTATCTCTTTTTTTTTGTTATGAAACATTTGTTTTCTGGTCAACATCGATGGATGAACATGAATAGTTTTATGGTACATGGATGAACAACAAAAACAATATATCAACGTGGGTTAGTCAGAAAATCTAGGACCGACTGGATGGGTAGTTTTTCATCCTTTATTCGTTTAGATGATTTCCATAGGAATATCTACTAACCAGCTAAGAATGTTTCATATTGTGTAGGGCGGGTATCTACGATGGGCAATGATTTTTTGGATGAATCAAGCACCTATCCATATTTAGTTTGTTCTTTCCATCCATTTACCAGCTATTTTTATGTTTTGCAAATATTTACCAATGTACAGTACTAGGGTTTGACCCAGAACCATATAATATAATTCAATGTTTGATACTAAGACATAGACCAAGAATTACCAGCTCACCAGCCCTGTGCATAAACATGTGAATTTCTTGACCAACAGACTTTATCCATAGAGTTGGGAATTTACAACTACAGAACTCGTGATACAACAGTGAGATGGGAATGGAGACGGGTTGATCTGGGCCGCATAGAGATATCAATTCAATCAGTAGAATAGGGACTGTGTGACTGTGCACTCCGATGATCTATGATGATCCTGGAAGATCGAAGATGTTGCCTAGTACACTCCAGTAAATCAACATGACGACCCTGCCAGTTGGGGCTTGTTTTCGCTTGGTTTCCACTAAAAATTGCCTATTTTCTGGGTCGATGCTAATTTTCCAGAGGGTAACTGGATCGTAACCCTCTAGATCTGTCTGAAAACGATGTTACCCATCCAGGTATGGCCATTTGAAAAGGGATCATATGAATCACATGTCAACCAAGGGATAATGATTATCAACCCGGGGATTTATATGTGGTTAAAACCATGCCATTTTTACATATTTGTTACCACCCATGCCTGGGAATGGTTTATATACACCACCTATTTTCCAGGTGAAACTGGAGATTGTTTATTATTGTTTTACCAACATTATTAGCCACTACTAACCGTCATTACCCATTATCAACCATTATCAACCATTATTAACAATTATCAACCATTATTGGGAATGGTTTTACCAACATTCGTTGTTTTTTTCTCCCTTGTGGGTTTGCCCTGAGTTGGATTGTTTACTTCCAGTGGTTTTTTGTTCCCATCGGGATCGATTCCCCTTTGTTCCCCACGGTTTTATACGGCTTAATAGGGATAGGTAGTATTAGGATAATCATTGGAATCAGAAGAATGGCGATAATCCCGGGATAATCATGGGATAATAAAAGGATCATCATGGGACAATAATGTATAATATTATATATATATAATAATCATTATTATTATTATTGATAATAATAAATAAATAGATAAATAGATAAATAGATACTATATAAATAAATAAATAAATAAATAATAATAATAATCATGATTATAAGAATAATAATATTGGGATAATAGTGGGACAACCAATACATTAAAGAGACACACGATTGCACCAGCAAACTTCGTCAACGTAAATCGAATGCCACAGTATCACCCGGATGGTTTGCACTAGGATCCAGGCTGACAGAAAAATCTCATCGAGACCATTTCTGCACGACTTGACGGGTTTTGGTGGAGGCTTAGGGCGTGGAACCATTGCAGCAGAAGTGAACAAACCCAGATGTTCAAGTTCATTATTTTCCCAGGTTGACAAGATCCCAGCTTGCAGTTTTTCCCTGTTCTCTCATACCATGGAAACCATGGGCAGATTTTTTTAACCGCCTCTAGATTCGTAGATTTGCCAGTATTCCCCATTTGAGAGGCATGGAATGGTATGAATCGATTTTCAACACCGAATAGGTCCCATTCTGACATGTTCTGAGGAGCAGAAGGGCTGGACCCATGCCCATGCCCATGCCCATGCCAATCCTACAGGAAAGCTTTGTAGCATGGAAAAGACTGCTCATCAGGACATGGTGCTTGTTCTTCCGCTGTGCCAGGTATGCTGAAGTCCTCCGAAGCAACACTGGATGTGAAAAGGGGTGACTGATGCAGTGATAGGAAAGATCATTGTCAAAACTGCATGATGTTACCTGTATTTCCTGATGACGGTGACAAAAATATGGCTTATCATTAAGTACTGAAGCATCCATCATATAAAAGGGTGGTCTCATCAAATCTTGAGTCTATCTCTGATGGCTGAAGCTGACTTCCTCATGTTTCCGAATATGTAAGAGGGATACAGAACTTATACACTCGAGCAGAGACAGCCCAGCTTTTTTTGTACCTTCTGCAAGTATGTGACATCATGATATGTTTCAGGAAACTGTAATATGTTTTAAAATTAATGATATCAGACCAGAATGATAATTCGGACTATATGCAGCTATTTGAGCCTATACAAAAAAAAAATGGCCACGTGTCAGACTCCGATTGCAGGCCAAGTGAGACGGATGATCCCAAATCGACTCAAAATCGTCACAATTGAGCCATGGCCCGTTACGTATTGGGTTTCTCCAATGTCGCAGAGAAAAACATCGCGATGCCGTTGATACCTCTCCTTCGTTTCCCAGCAAAATGGCCCTTGCCAGAAAGCTTTGGCTCAAAATCTGCGGAAAATGAAAACATCAGGTGGCTAGATATGGAGTATATGACATTATATGATATTATATGAACTACTGTATGTGAATCTCTTGGGCATTTCATGTAGAAAAACTGCCTTGTTATTGGATTATTGGACAATTGTGGAACATCGAAATCCAACGTCAACGTGTTTCGCTCGTGAATCAACCAAGAGCAGTCGAGCAGTCCGGCCGACCTTTGGGCTGGGAGAGTTTTCTGTAAGGCTGCATGCGGGGGGTCCTTGACTATGGGTTTGACTAAAAATGTGATAGCTATTATATGGTATTATACATATAATAATAATAACAATAATAATAATATACACACACATTATATAGTGGTCCTAGTATACACACATTAATACACACAGGTATTCTACTAGGGAACATGAGTGGTGATCAACCAATGGATTGGGGCCCAGCATAATTATGGAGTATGGTACTAGCACAGGGGCAGGAACATAGATATTCGCTTTGAGTGCACAAAAGCAGATGATATGAATTTATTTGAAATAATTATGTTATGCGATGTCAGCATAGTTATATTTGCAATGTAGTGTATATATGTATATGTCTATCATGCTGTTATGATATATAAATGTTTATATTAGTGTAATATGTTTATACACATATGACAACATAAGTTATGTATTCGTATTCCTAACATATGCATGGTTTTTGCAGATCGATATGGTAAACATATCCAGTTTAAGACTGTGGTTAGTCCCCAGTAGTCACCATGTTCATCTGATCATGGCACAAAAAATGATATATAATGGCCATAAATGGCGTGGTATTATACCACATGTTCAGACATTTTCAAACGAAAAAATAAAGCCATTTTGGAGGTCCATTTGCAGATTTGAGAGGTTTTTATGGGAAAATTGGAGGTCGGATGGATGTGAAATCGCAGCGTTTTCTCGAAAAATCGAAGGCTCGGTTCCACTTGTTGCTTCGCATTGTGCCAGGCGGCAATGGCTGCCAAGGCCTCTTGTCCGGTTTTTTTTCTGGAGATTGTTTGGGTGGTTTTGTCTTCATAAATGTTGGGCAACCCCAGAATTCCATAGTTAATCCAAATTTAGGTCCCTGTCTAAAATCCCTGTAAAGAATTTGTCATGTTCCCTATTGAATAATGTTAATAAATATGTGGGGGGGGACTTTTCATACATTTTCAGACAGACATATGGGACAATGAAGGAAACTGGGGTGTATATATCCCAGTTCTGGCCATTTTCACAGCGAACATGAATGAAGATGATGATGAACCAATGGATCGAGGGGTAGCCCATTTTCAGACAAAAAATCAAATCCTGGACCTTCCAAATCCTAGGAAATTCACGGAATTCTAGGATGTGATGTGCCCCCTTTATTTTTTTGCGCAAAACAATGTCAATTTGATCAAAACTCCTTATTTGACTCAAATTCCTTGAAATTCATCCAAAACCAATGAGTTGTGGATGTCGCAGGCTACAAGGTTTCTGCATGACATATAGTATTATTTTCAGTTTTTGACGTTCCAACACCTCCCACAAAAAAGTGTGAAACTCCCCTTAAAAAACGTCAAACTCCCGCAAATCCTGAAAAGTCATACAAACAGTTTTTCTAGAACCCACCTGATCACATCATTGTGCAAGGTCGCTAGGATTAACCCATAAGGAGGGATGGTCATCTCATTTTGGTGATTAAAACCTCATAATTCACTGTGGATTTCCATGGATGGGATGGATATACTACACAGTAACCGTGGTTAAACAGGAAGTGTTGACCGCAAAAAAATAGCGATGTTCATCATGTTTAGCCATCAAACATGAGAAACATGAGGTTGTAGCCACCACCGCAAGAAAATCTGATCAAATCAAAAATTGCTGAACTGCCCCATACCATCCCATATCTCAATTGTGCATCCCATTGTTGCAGCGTCCTGTTGCTCAGGGAAACTATGACAACCGGCATTTGGATGAGAATCATCCGTATGACGGCCCTGCACTTATTGGATTCTGAGCAACCAGTTTTTGCGGCCTCATGGTCCAAGATCATCAATATTTAGTGACCTTTTTCAGGGATAGTATGTATATATATATATACACACCATATTTATTATATTTATAGATATAAATGCCCCCAAAAAGGAACAAAAACACCATGAAATATAAGAGTGTTTCCTACTTACGTCTTCTATCTTTTTTGATGTCATATACCCATAAACTAGCCCATAAATGATTATTTGAATGGGACACATTGACAAACCATTGAATGTAGGGTATCCTATGTTGAAAAAAATAAATATTGTATGAAAACAAACATTAAATGTGGGGTATCTCCGAGTTTTGCCGTTTTCTCCATGGGTTTTGGACCAAATGGAACCCTTTTTCATTAGGATTCTGGGTCGAAGACTAAAAAACCCTGCTAGGATCAACTTGACCCTTCACTCACTGGATTGGTTTAGTCGGGAAATCGAAACCGGAAACCATGGTTTTCCCCATGAAAGATGGGGGGTTCCTGTAATTTTTTCCTTAAACCAATCCAGTGATTGACCCCAAGCCTTTGAGGGTTGTGTTTCAGAAGACGGGTCAATTTTTAACTCAATGACTGGGACGATGGGCCGTGTCTCTGATGGAAACCACATGGACAAGACATGTTCTCGTCGTCCAAGGTTCGGGCATGGCCACCCGAACCTGCACCGATTTGCACCTTGATCTGAGAAAAAGCCGGGCGAAAAATCGAGGGTGTTACCCGGATTTCCCGTAGTCGTTTACTGTGAAAAACAACATTTAAGGTGTTGGATTACAATAATTATTATGTATGTATTTGTTTTTCCTCAAGATCTCTGGTATGCTCCTAGGACCATCCAGCACTTCCCCCATGGAAAGCCAAGCTCTTTGACCAGAAAACCAGAACTTTGAAAATAGGTTTTTGTGCAAAAAAGTGCCTAAATGAGTTCCCCGTAAAGAGAGTGTAACCACATATAGATAGGGAAAATCATGGGTTCACCAAGAATGAAATACGATGAGATGATGTTCCCTTATAATTGGTTTCGAATGTGTTCTCTAGGTCCTTGTACAATTGGTTTATAGAAAAGAAGGCGCCTCTCTCCATTCCTCCCATCTAAACGTTTACTCAAAATGGAACGCCTCAAAAGTGTCAACCTCCATAATGTAGAAATGGTTGAAGGGGACATTCACAGGAGCCTTCGACCCCTTTGAGGGTCAACACCATCTCTTTCCCGCTCTGTTTTGGCATAGCCTTGGTGCATCTCGGTGCTTTGTTCGTTTCCGAAGGGTTGACCCGGTGAGGCCATGCCATGCCCATGTTGGTTGGTTTGCCACCGCCGGACCCTCCGAGTATCCAATGAAATGATGGTGTTTTATCATGTTTTATCCCATGATTTCAATACTTTTTAGCATTTTTCTGGGGTACTTGGAGGGCTTGGAGGGTGTAGGCATGGCCACAAAATGAGGCCTTGTATGGTAATCTTCATCGGATACATGATTGGTATGGGTTTTGACCTCAGCCTTGCAGGGTTGCTGTGGCTTGATGGGACTGAGGCTGATATAATGTGTAAAGATCCTGGAATGGGGCACTAGAAAGAAAGGTATACTTCAATCATACCCAATATATCCAATAAATGGCCATGTTAATGCTTGGGAAAAATGCTGAACAACTTTTGGAGTTTTTGAGGCGTTGAAGGGTAAACCGGGGAAGGGACAAGCCCAATGGCCAAGTTAAGCGCCCAGGTCTCCAATGAAAAAACGCAATCAAAACATAGATTATCACACTCCTGTCCTGCGTTTTTTTTTGGCATTTTGAGCTACCACTCTTGCAACTGGTGCACTACAGCCCGTATCCCATGGCAGCTTACGACGAGACAGTCCGGTTCAGGGCTATCCCAGAAAACCGGTGACCCTCAAAGGACACACGGTGTATCTCCTCAGTCACCGGGAGTTGTTGTGGTGCGGAAACACCACCACAGCGACCCTACCCAAGTCATCAGCATTGTGGGTGCTATGTAGAAAGCATCCCCATTGAGTTTCCCATATTGTATCGATATGTATCGATGGCCTGATGGCCCAAAATCGTGGACCCTTCAATTGGATGGGGCGGCTGGTGCCACGGCTAGGATCGCACAAGGTTTTCGAGTTTGTAGCTCTACATATGTACAACTATTGTTAACTGGTGGATTCCAATGTTTTTTTTTCCGAGTTGTGTCTGGTTGATGGTTTCAACTATGCTGCACTTTTCAGCCGTAGAAATGGGATGTTTGTTTGATTATCAACTTTTTTTGGGGGGGATAAGTTGAAACTACCAAGATATCATATATCATCATATCATCGTATATATGTCAACCCATCCCAAAGAATTTCAATAAGACATGTTGGATGATGGTTTTAAGCAAGTTCACCGTGATGCTTCCAGCTTAATTTTCTCAAAGCTATGCCAGCCCCTGTCGCCAGGTTTCATTTCTGCATATGGCTTTGAGAATGGCAATCCACGTAGACTCACACATGCCTTCAACTACAAGGGAGCACCTCTGGCTGGTTTTGAACGTGAGGAAGATGCAGCTGGATCATCATGCTTCCACCCCTTTAGCACCCTATACTACAAATAAATACATTTCTTCATTTTGCATAATAAAACATGTGTATGTATATTATATATATATATATATGTAGGTTTAGAGTTACATGTCATGATATGATTATTTAAAGGCTTACGCCTGACAGCCGGGCGCCGGCCAAGCAACGGCTTTTGGCTTATGGTGTGGGAAGATTGGGCCGAGATTCTCCGCGCAAACCCAGGGAGGGCTATGTTGAACTGAGGCAGGCATAAGGCGCAGTGCTTGCCTGTATGGAAGCAGTCTGGGCCTATGTTGAGCGCAGGTTGTGCCCATGTTGGGCCCATGTTTGGCCTATGTTGGGCCTATGTTGGCCTATGTTAGCCCCATGTTGCCCCATGTTCAGCCATCTTGGGACCTATGTCGGGGCCTTGTTTCAACCATACGACTTCAAGATGCATTTTTTCCCTTCCCGCCTCCCCCCTCAAGCCCAAAACCACGTAAAAACCGAGGTTTTTCAACATTGCCAACATGAAATCCGTTCCCGCCGAAGGGCTCCAAACACCGTAAAAAACTATGCTTTTGATCACCGCAAACACAAAACACCGTAAATTACGTAGGCTTCAGTCGGAAGCTCATCAGATTGCGAAATCCGACCCAGGGGCAGTTGAAGCAGAGGGGTGTGAGCTGGCGGCTGGTGCAGCAGCACAAAGGTGTTCTCAGAGGACGTAGGTGAGGGGAGGGGGCATTGTATGACTGGGTGGTAGAAGGGGGTCAGTTCCAGCACCTTGCTAAAAGCACCTCATAGAAGAGTTTTTTCCCAGCATTGGTAAGATAGGGCAGCGTCAGGCCTGCACGGCACGATTTATATTACAGCGCGTCTGTAAAGGGTTCATGTAAGGACCGCTTTGAGGATGTTGTCACAGGATCTTTTCTTGTACCTTTCACACATGTTGACAGTCCAGAGTGCAAAATGTTTGAGAAATGACAATGCTTGGTTGGTTTGTCAAGATTTTGCGAGGCAACTGTGTTGACTCGGCAGTACGTTCAGCTGTTCTGTGCTTCCATGGCTTGCAGATTGCGAATTCTCCGTGAGCGGAAGTGTCAGGGGCAATGTGAACCAATGGAAAGATTGGGAGCGCGCCTTAGGCTGGAGGCAGACTTGATGGTGAAGCTCCGTGAACGCAAGGTGATCAACGTGACGCGGCGAGCAAGAGAAATGAAAGAAGGATGGGTTAATGTGGATTTTGTCATGACAAGTAAAGGATCTTGTTTGAGCTAGTGGTTAGATTGTCAGCGAGTATGGTGGACAAACTTCCATTTGCATCCATTTGCACTACTGAGGTAGATCGTCGGGATGATCCTCCGTACCGGGTGCTGGTAAATTTGCTGCGGCACTTTGGAATTCCATCTTGATGCGGGTCATTGCTGTCACTACGACTCGGTGGCGCCCTTTGCTGCAAAAGGCGCCATGGGTGAGGAGCCGAGCTGGTTGTCGCAAGCATTTACAGCTTTTGCTGCAGAGCTTGCGGTGGGTGCATAGTCAGCACACGTACTTGCCGTATGAGTGACTCGGCCTATGGGGTAATGTTTTGGTGAATTGAAGCGGTTGGTTTAAATGGGTGAAAATTAGGAAGAAGGGTGCAAGAAAATGGGAACAGTGTTGCCATGTTGTTGTAAGACACTTGACGCGAGTTGAATTAGTTTGGTGGCAAGGTCGCTCGGTCGGGGGCACACAGTCGAGTCCTGGTGCCAGAAGGCATTCTCCATATTGTGTGTGGCAGCGAGCGCAGAGTGGAGTCGTGTTCATGATCTTCCGTGCTTGTCAAAGCTGACCTTTGCAGTATACCAGGCGTGGAAGTCTTGCATGGGCCAGTATTGCATGGAGGGTGATCAGAAGATTGCAAGAAGCTACAGTAGAGGGCTTAGGTCGGATATGTGGGGTTTGCAAGGTGGGAATTGTGAAGGGTTGCTTTCACAGCTAGAGTCATTTCGGCGAGGGAAGATCAGAAGTGAAGCTTTCTGTTAGCGTCAATATTGTTGTGAAAATCTTGGGTTGGGTTGCAAGGGTGTTGTTTACAATTCTGATTCAGTGTTGTAAGCAGTAATCGCATGAATGATTAGCATGGCATTGGTGACATGGTTGTGTGCCGCATTACTCGATGCATGGGCCAGGTCGAGCTTGACATGATGTGTCAAGGATTTCAGAAGACGGCTGCGCATGTTGTGGGGCCAGGGTGTTGCATAGACAAGTGCCGTTTGTCGAAACAACAAGTGTCGACACGCGGCCGCATTCAGCGTTGTGGGAAGAGAGGGGAACAGTAAGAGAGCAAGAGTTGCAGTTTGTCCAGTGATCGTAATGATGACAAAGCATACTGACAAAAAAATGTGACAAATATGTCGAAATTGTTTGGTGACAAATATGTCGAAATTGTTTGGAATGAGATATGAAATTTTATCGGAGATTAATGCGAACATTGTACACGACATTTCTTCTAACATGTATATTCTGGTATTGTCTCCGGCCTGCTATCGGGTGAAGACAGAATTTGAATAAATTGAGTTGTGCGGCTCAGGAGACTGGCAACAAAAGCGCACGAGCACGACAACGCACAAGGCAGCACAAAGCGCGAGCGCAGAATGGGCTGCGTTGGGGAAGCCGGCGTGCCAGCTCGACTGGCACACCTGCCAGAGTTGGGGCTGCGAGATGCGCAAGCTCTCCTCTCGAGGTTTGCTTACAATATCACCTTCGTCTACCTTGCGCGTGCTCTTTCCCATGCTCTTCAAACCCTTATTTAAAAAGCGGGAAAAGTGCTTAATGTTGCTTCTGAAAGCCTATATATATATTTGTATTGTATATTTTTTGTGTATGTAGCATTTCATGGCTGTCTTTGGCGCTTCTTGTCGCTTTGCAGCCTTCAACCTTGCAACTTTGCGACTCTTTCTGTGGCTTTGGGACAAGAAGGAAGAAAAAGAGTTGCTTCCTATATCACCTGTGTCTACCTTTTGCGTGCTGTTTCCCATGTTTTTGAAACCCTTATAAATGGGAGAAGTGTCTAACCTTGCAACTTTCCGACTCTTTCTGTGGCTTTCCTATGTTATTGAAACTCTTGTAAACGGGAAAAGTGCCTAGCGTTGCTTCTAAAACCCTAGACAAAGATCCCAAACGTTGCTTCTGAAACCCTAGAACAAATGCATTTTTGGTGTATTTTGCATTTCTTGGCTGCCTTTGGTGCTTCTTGTAGTTTTGAAGCCTTCAACCTTGCAACTTTGCGACTCTTTCTGTGGCTGTCCCATGTTCTTGACATGCTTTTGGTTGTTGTGGTTAGGGTTGTGGTTGGGGTTGGAGTTGAGGTTGTGGATGATGTTGTGGATGATGATGTTGTTGTTGTTGTTGTTGCTGTTGTTGTTCCGAACCTCTCTGCCCTGACGCGCTCCCCCTTGCCGTCGGCCGGGGCCGGCGGATTTATATTTATACAAGCGAACATATGATCGCATCATATATAAATATACATACATAATACAGATATAGATATAGATATATGTCTGTTCGTGTATAATTGTAGATATATATATATAATCATACAACATACAACATATAATCATATCATATACGATTAGACTATATATATAATATATAATATACAGTTCTATTGTATTTATATTATTGTAATTGTAGAATCATATCATGAGTTCCTAAGACGCCCAGCCAGTCACAGCCAGGAGTTGTGTGGTGTGGATTCTCAGGCGCCGAGAACAATCGGATCGGTCCAGGAAGATGGGGATGTTGTTCCGATCTGGACCGCTTATGGTAGTTCTATTATGGTACCCTCTGGTAAACTAGCACAGCTATTGAACATGGTCATTTATAGTGAGTTTTCCCATTAAAAAATGTGATTTTCCATAGCTATGTTAGTTTACCAGATGGTACTTATATGTTGCTTACAGGGTACTTATATGGTACTTTAATATATCGGTATGATATATGCTACTTCTATTATATATAATTATATATGGTGGTACTTACAGGGTACTTGTATGGTACTTATGGTACTTATAGTATGCTACTAGGATACTTATATATATACGTCTATGGTACTCATGTGGAAAACCCAGAGCATTTTTTACAACTCCCATGACTGGGGATGGTTTATACCATGTATGGTGATGGCTTGGAGATGGTGCAAAAATGTGTACATGGCATTGGGTGAGTCCCACAATAAGAATGGGGGAAAGCAAACCATATGGATATCTTCAGGCCACGCTTGGGTCCATCTCCCATGGAGAATTCCGAACTGTCTCACGCTTAGTCAAATCGATTTATGAGTAAGTTAGTCAGTTGAGAAATTACTTTACACTTCAAAATTGTATATATATATATATATATGTATACATATAATTTGATACTACTGACCTTACTACAATGTCACTACAAATGATTCTAAGGAAGCGGAACAACGACAAAATGGCCCAACATTTCAGGTTGCTGAACTAGTAGAATTCAACATATATATATATATATATAAATATATATCTACTTGGATCAAAAGCTATATCTAGACCCTCCGTTTGCACCCTTTGAAATGGTGTTTTACTCCACAATGAAATACTACTTTTACTTGTACCATTTTTTGAGGCGGTACTTGGAGGGTCTGAGTATATCATACCTAAGATTCAGATCATTTTCTATCCATAAATCTGCCATCGCCAGGTCTTTGACAAACCTTTGCTGTTTTGGTGTCGCGCCAGATGCCTCAGGAAAATAGATAGGGCCAGACCTCAGCATTAAGTAAAATCTCTATAAATGGAAGTTTTTTTGATGGGAACATTATCTGTAAATGGATTGGTTTAAGGAAAAACATGTTCAAGAAAACCCAATATTTCATGGAAAAACATATGTGGTTTCCGGTTAAGATTTTCCCTTAAAACCATTGATATCTGTAATCAATGGCCATTTCAGGATCATAAATTGGAGGTACCTACCGTATATAAGGCCTAAATGGGAGGTCATCAGCTCTGGTGTCATCAGCTCCGTGGTGGAAAATCAGCAATACTTCGATGATTTTCCTGGCGAAGTAAAGCTAAAAAGACCGGGGATTTTCCAGCGGAGCTGACGACACCAGAGGTTACCATGGATGGGATATTGATTGGTAATTTATGGTAATTATACAACAATGGGGGATAACTACGTTATTTTATGAAAATGTAATGTACATTTTCAATAGCTATGTTAATTTTAGATTGTTTGCTTTACAACCATTTACCATATTGGATGGGAGAATACCAGTTTGTACAAACATGGGCCAACTAGCAAAATTGAACACTAAATATTGAAGAACTATGTAATACCAGCTAGACCATGAACAATAAATATTGATTTAATAGTTTGCTTTGCAACAATGAATGAACATGGCCCATTTAGTTTGATGATTTTTATTGTTGGGACGGGGTGAGTTTGCATAGTTATGGCATAGTTATCTTAAATTATCAGAGGGTACCCACCAATTTCTTGTTTGATCATACTAGAAAACATAGAAGGAGATGTATTATAATAGTTGTGTTTTTAGACATATTGCATAACACGTGTTTTTTATTCAGACAGCCCTGTTTGGTTAGTTGGCTGGCATTGTTTGCCGTAGGTGTCAATTACCACAAGGTGAATAGATGGGAAACAGTTCATTGTGTTGCTAGACATGAGGGGAATAACACACATCCCATCACTAGATATGGCCATGAATCAATACTACTATTTTTATACCATTTTTAGAGGGATGAACATCGATTTACCAGTTCTTTTATGCTATTTTGATGTTCACCAGGGCATGTTTTGACCCATCCCCATATGAATCTCTGACTGGATTTAAGGTTAACAATGCGCAGAGAATGGTTGTCTAATTGACTGGAAGGTGGGCCTGAAAACAGTTTGCGCAATTGGCATGTTGATACCTCCTCAACACATTGACCTTCTGATTTACCGAAGCCGCGAATATCCTCAATGGCATCTTTCTGGGCCAGTAAACCAAGCGCAGCAATGATACACAGTAACATGATAATGTTTAAGATTATTGGTAAATGGTATAGGTTATCATGAGTGAACTCTCGCTGGGGTTGAAAGATGTCCTATACCGATCCTATTTTGCAGGGTACTGTATCTAAAGTTCACCATGAATCCTCTATGAGTTTGTACCGCTTGATGTATCTCGCCAAAGCAGGCTTAGGAGCAACGTCATTACAGCCGACGTTCTCAGGAGGATTTGCATGGTGAGCAACCTCTCACCATCTGCATATCACCGCAGTAAGCGATGATCTACTCGCAGAAGCTTGCGTTCCAGAGCATACTAGAATGTGGTGAGCTGTGTAACAAAGAGTTTACAGCCTAGTTGAAATGAGTTTTGTAGAAACGGTGGAAACAGATGTTTGTACACGGCGTGACTTGCGTAGTGGAAGAGTTACAGCACGATGATTTACAAAAGCTATGCCGCACAACTACAGAGAAACTTTGATATGTGTGTAGTCGAAGAGTTAGTTATAGTACAACATGCTACAACCTAACTACAATAAGAGTACGTCTTGAACAGAAAGTACGTAAGGAAACGCGAAGAGAATTGTTGGGTGTTATGATCCGAATGTGTGGGGTTATTAATCCTATATAACCCTCCTAAGTAAATTGGGGGGATTTCTTGGTGGATCATCCCACTTACTCAGTAGCTTATAACATATTACAACCCTAAGTATAACATACTATCACTGACTAAGTATAGACCATTTTTCATGTCATCACTGTAAGCATAACTTCTTGGTGGATAATCCTACGTTGTTTCACCATGTTATAACCCCACTGGCAGTGGATTGACCTGATGATCCCGCGACTTTTTGAGGCCAACGGAACCAGGGCCAACGGAGACCCTGAAGCGCTGGACCTGGACGGTGCAGTTTGCGCCGGGAAGCCTGAAATAGAACAGCAAGGGTACCCTCTGGTAATTTAACATAGCTATTGAAAATGGCCATTTATAGTGGAATTACCCATTGAAAATGGTGATTTTCCATAGTTATGCTAGTTTACCAGAGGGTAGCCGCATCCTTGCATACTGTGGAGGTAGCCGCACCAGCATTTTAAGGCGTGGGTAGCCATATGTGGCTACACTTGCGGAGCAAAGTATGTGGCTAGCCTGACATGAAGGTAAACTAACTTACTGTGGATGGTTGCGAAATCCGATAAACCACCAAAAGGATGGTTGAAAGCCTGTAAACAATGGGATGTTTACCACCTATCAACTGGTGCAGCATTTCTTCCCATCGTAACTATGGAAAATCCCCCTCATTAGCAGGTAAATCAACGAACTAGATGGGCCATGGCTTCAACAGCTATGTAACAAATTACCAGAGGGTAAAACCAACGGTTCTGGAGACCCTTTGTATTTCTCTAACTTAGTCACTTTTTTGTTTCAGTAGTATGTTTTAGCTGTTCTTTGATTTGTTTGTTTCGGAATGGACCAGGATTTATCAGAATTATGATGAATTATGTTGTTTGTCTTCGGATGTGCATGCGACATTGCATGATAGTGCATGTATATGTAGGATAATGTGTGTATTTATATTGAGAATGTATATGGTGTTATTATATTTATATAATTACGTAAATCTGTGAATACGTACTTGTTCGTTCAATATTGAAAACAAAAGGACAATTCAAAATGACCCGGCACTGCCCCGCACGAAGCAGCTTCTGGCAAACGCGGAAACGCACATGGCCATCCTTGTCCATATGACCATGTTATGTTGCTATCTTAGTTCATTTGAAAATTGAAATTTTAAAGGGTATTGACACCCAAAAAGTGCAAGTTGAATGCTGAGACTCACCTTTTTTGTTGATCCGCCGCCAAGATGTGGTTTAGGAACTGACCCAGATGATCCAGAGGCCCTTTAAAGGGAGCGTAACTTGTCCACATACCTGGAGGATCACTTCACTTAATCAGTGGTTCATAACTAACAGTAGTTAGAAGCCACTTATAGATGGGAACCATGATAAACCCTTTGAGGGGAGCTGCCATGGTTACTAACCAGCTTTTTCACCAGCTAGTGGGATGATCCTCCAAACGCTGCCATCACGAGGTTGACAGCTGTCCCGATCAATTCAGCTTGCTGATGGACTGTCCTGGGGAACAGACCTATCAGGTCAGGGCTGTGACTTTTGGAACAGGATATGCCCTGGGGCCTTAGGGGTTGCTGGAAAGTACCCGACCTGGTAAACATACAAAAAACGAATTGGAAAATCACCATGTTTCATGGGTAAATCAACTGTTTCTATGGCCATTCTATGCCATTTTCACCAAGTTCAATAGCAAACTGTTAGTTTACCAGAGGGTAACAGCTCCTGTGACGGTCTTCCAGGCTGCTGACTAGGGACTGGGGCTGTCATGACTGTCATGGGCTACTCCTGAGCACTGCGTTTCGGAATTTTAATGGTACCAAGATGTTCAACAGAAGCACTCAAAAAAAAAGCAATTGAACAGGTGTAACAGGTGTAGCAGGTACTTGTGACAAAGTGTGTTAGTCTAACCCGTGACGGATCTATGGTGCTGCTATATATGGTAACATGGATCCCATATTTTACCATCAATATACCCCAAATGTTAGCATATATACCAGCACCATGGATCCGTCATGGGTAATGTTAGCGACCAATCCCCTGTTTGCATCCATGTTGTATGATGCGACCAGGCGCCAATTCTGAATCCTCCGATGAAATCTCGGCCCCAGGTGCGAAATGATGAAAGATCAACGGTCACCACCATCACACAGAACAAAGTCTGGGACCCGGACGACGTTTCGAAGATGTTTGCTACGTCTCGACCCTCCAAATACCCCCTGAAAATTTGTAAAATCTACTAAGATGATTGGTTAAAACTTGTTAAAACACAATCTTTAAGGGTACTTGGACCATTGGAGGGTCCAGGTATACATATATATATATATATACATTATATATATACATATATATACATTATATATATATATACACGCTGTACTGTATATATGATATCGACTTGTAGTGTCCTACATATCTCGCTGTTCAAGGTGGTATCTAAGGTTTAGATCGTCTCGTGGTTGCCATGCTGGGTGAACCCTAGAATTTAGCCACTCCTTGCGATGTAACTCTGAAGGCCGGGAGATCCACAACCCGACTGTGCAGCTCTAAAGATTAACATGATTAGATGAATGAATGGTCTGAAAGGGCCGGACATGCCGGAAAATCGTCACCGTTTGTCCATGCATTTTTCTCTAAGCCGGGTGACAGCCACAGAAATCAGAGTGGAATGTGAGAGATCGATTCATCTTTGGGTCAAAAGATGGAGGTACTTGGGGGGTTCCTTCAAGGGAACAGCTGGGCCATCCCCACTTTCTCCTAGAGATTAAGAATTCTGAAGCCAAGTGCCCTAAAAGCGCGCGCGTCTTTTTCATAGCTTGGCCTCGGTGTGTCTGTGGGGTATTCCAGGAAGTTGCCCTGAATTTCCAGACGGGTGCAGTTGGAATCATTCGTGGGTATAACCATTGTAATACCCCCTAGAAGCCTAGAAGTTGCGATTTGGGGCCCCTATAACCACAATATATATATATATATTATATATTATATATATAATATATATAATATATAATATATATAATATATATAATATATATATAATATATATAATATATATATAATATATAATATATATATATAATATATATATATACAGTTATATATATACATATATATATGTAAAAACCAAGAGGCATACAAACTATGCCAAATTACAACTATAACCTCAACTGCACCCCACCTGGTAGTTGGACTCGGATTTTCCGAACCGCCGTTGCAGGTGAAATTGCAGCTGGGGGCCTCAGCAGAATGACTTCGATTCTGAGACATACTTTGGATGGTTGCGAAATCCTGCACGAGTTGGTAACTATTGGTATAAAACTCTGCAAAGAATGGGATTATACTGGGATAAACCATCTACCAACTGGTGATTTCTTCCAAGGCTTTTGGACTTTGTATCCCTCCAGCTCGGGTTTTTAGTCGCTTTGAGATAAAGTTCTGGATTCACAAGCATTAAATAAACTTCGTCGAGACCTAGGTACAACACGACAGTAAATCAATGGGGTAAACACAAGACTAGGCTCTGGCAATCAGCTGCCAGATTTGCCGGAGGGTATCACTGACAATCATTCCATGGATATTCCATGATCGTATCCCAGGTCCCGTATGAAAGTCCTTAGACATGAAGAATTATCCCGTTCGATCGTCATGTAAAACAGGTTCCCCATGGTTTGATGGCGCCATGAAGGCCCCCATGACTTGAAACAAAACAACAAGAAACTGAGTTATCCCAATTTATGGCTATGACAAAATGGGGAGCATAAGTAACATGATGGTTTAAACATCTTCGCCGCAACCCGGACGTTGCTCCACACTTACAGTCATCATGATCATCATCATCATCATCATCATCATCATCATCATCATCATCATCATCATCATCATCATCATCATCATCATCATCATCATCATCATCGCATCATGATCATGATCATCATCATCACCATCATCATCATCATCATCATCACATCATGATCATCATCACATTAAAATTTGCCACCCCTCTGAACAATATGTTGGCTGGGTAATAACATCAACTTCATCTTCATGAGGGATGAACATTTGCCACCCCCTCTGAACAATATGTTGATTGGGGTAATAACATCAACATGCCATTCACGCCGAGGTCATACCCGACCAAGGAGTTCGCAGGAATGTTTTGCGCACGCAGCTCAGTCTTTTTCGGGAGCCCATTCAATCTGATTCCATGTGCCGCCTAAGACACCAGTCGCGCGAATGCACCTATTTCCCACCCTGTGGAAACAAACGTGGATGGCCTATTGCTTGGCTCAGACCCCATCCTCACTTTCCCGACCCGAGTGGCGATGTTAAGATGCCCTTGGTGCCCCAGTTTGGAATCACTAAGTTGGTGAACTTAATTGCAACTACTTGGGGGCGTAAATAAAAACATTCACATTTCCCTGGCAGCTTGTGATGACCTTTGGTAATATAATTTGACCTGGGCTTTGCAAAACCCTCGTGTGGTGATGATTTACGTTATTCTCCATGAAGAATGTTCCAATATGTGTTTTTGAATGTTCCATGATGACAGTTGTTCCATTGTTTTTCCCCATTTTTGGGTTCCAGCTTGTTCCCAGGTTCCTCACAACAAGCCAGAGTCGAAGTACTTGGGCAACGATCCTTTGGTCGAGAAGCTTCTAAGTGAGGCAGCACAGAGACGACTCGCGGCGCTGGGTCAATGGGTCATGGGTCGGCGGAGATGCTACGCGGTTGATGAACGAATCTGATCTTGACGATGTGCAAATCCAACCTGGAAAGAAAACAGTTGCATGATCAATGGCCATTTCAGGATCCTAAATTGGAGGTACCTACCATATATAAGGCCTATATAAGGGAATTTCCATTGACCAGCCATCAGGATTACCAGCCAGTTAACCTGGCCGCGGGTTCATCGGCTATAGATTGCATCTAGCTTCAATTCCATGCGCTTTCCAAACAAACTACCCCTAATCCCTAAATAAAGCCAAGACAACTGCTCAAATTCAAAAAACTTCCCCTTAATCAATAGGTAACATTTTGCACCATCTCCGCAAGAAAACCCTAGAAAACCCAAATCCTGAACAATCACCCCTATATATGGCTTGTAAGTATCCATTGAAAGCTTCCTGGCAACGTAACTTCAGGAAACTCGTGAATTATGATCACTCCTAAATGAAGCTACTATTTTTTGATATTGCTTTCACCTATCCACTTTTATTTTCTGATTTGTTGAAAACCTCCAAAACATTCCAAACACCATTTCAGCAAGGTGCTGCCCGAAGCCTTCTGAATAAACACTGCGCCTCAAGAAAGCTAAAACATGCTATAGATTCTGTATATTGTTGAAGATGCCTCCTACTCCAATTTCTTCTTTTTGTGCTGATTTGACGACATGTCCAAACACTTGAAAATCAAGAATCGTTCAAAGTCTCAAAGCTCCAATTATATCCAATTATATCCAATTATATATTCCGTAAAGTATTGGGAAGAAAGCTTTTGGATACAAAAATCAATCAAAGTAGGCATGCTACAACCATTCAGTGAGGTAGTGAGGTGGGTTATTAATCAGAGGTCAGCATTATGTTCCTTATTCTTCACACAGACCTAGCCTTATTCTTCACGCAGACCTAATGTGATCTAGTTACGTGTCATGTGTGATGTCGCGGCCGATAAGCACATTGGTTTCATAGGAAAGAAACGAACTTGAAGTCACATACTGTGAGATGTCAGAGAATAACGTGTCCTCATGTTTTCTAAACATGTTTTTACTATCCCGCTTCGACATCAGATTGATCCACAATGTGGCAAGGAATGTTCAGTGAGATTCCAGTGAAAAAATATTGGAACTGCTAAGACCACATCTGGTTGGTGGTTTGGAACCGTGGAATTTTCTGACTTTCCATTCAGTTGGGAATTTCATCATCCCAACTGATGAAGTCATATTTTTCAGAGGGGTAGGTCAACCACCAACCAGCCACATGTTTTCACATTCTCAAACTTTTCACCCACGGTCCGATGCGGTCAACAGTTTAAGAAAAATTAAGCTGATCATGTTGCGAATGTAGATTCTGTGTTTGCATGGCATGTTTAATCTCGTTCTTACACACTGTTACACTTGGTTTATTGTTTATTATTATATATCCCTTCTAACTATAGATTAATATTATCATGATATATCTCCCATATATTATTACCTACAATGTGGGCCCCCTCAGTTATAAGTTTGTATATAAATCCCATTAACTATAGTTATTTGCGTATCATAAACCATAGTTATTGGAATTATAAACCAACTTGGCTATCTAGGGGGCCCCACATTGTAGTTATTGTAGTTGTAAACCAAGTTGGCTAGGGCTCTTTGGTTCGGGAAGCCATGGTACCGGCTATACCGGGATCTCCAAGGTTCAGATGGGCCGTTGGGAAATGTCCGAGCGCCAAGTGAACGATAGATGGGGACACCGATGCCGTAAAGCCACCATGAATAAGATGGTTTATATATGTTTAAATACGTTTACATATGTTTATATATATTTATTATATATGTATATACTTGTTTATATACGTTTGTATATGTTTATACCATCCATCTATATGGTAATATTATGTAATGTTGGGGATGGTTTATTATTGGGTCTAGCACATTAGTTTCAAAGAGCAAGAGATATTGAATTGAATGGTAACCCATATAATCAATATAGCTAAGTTGAGTTCCCGAATCGACACACTGAATAACCATGGCTATACCAGTTCATTGGTTGGTTGGTTTGGTCGGTCGGTTGGGTACAGGATTTATCACCACTACCATAGACCCTCCAAATATCTCAAGGTAAAAGTACTCGTGCAAAGATTATAGGGTAAAACTTTATATAAAGCAGCAGTTTTCAAGGGTACTTAGAAGGTGTAGTTAGATATGTTAGATAAATGATGATCACCAGGCCATCAAAAACCAGTTCCATTCTTGCTTGACCTTGGGCTACTCGTTAGGATTTTGTCCAAATTCTGGAGGGGTCATGGCTTGCAAAAATGAATAAAACACGGATCCGCTTCAGATGAAGTCTTGGCTATTGCGGGATGTCAAAGGTTACGGATGACAAAGTCACTTACCTTGAAGGGGGCCTACGCATCTTGCTTTGGGGGGTTTATTCTGGTGGTGTTGCAGACCAGGGTTCAGATGTGCTAACCGTAAATGTCAGGAACTACACTATAACATGTCATAAATGGACGATCTGGCCATGTCTGTTGGATAGAAGTTCCATGGTTTTTGATTCCGTATTTTTTTTGTTGAAATGTATTTGTGTGATTTTGTATGTGCATATGCTGCATTTTCAAATATAGGCCCCACAAAGAGTACCAACAAATCCTGCCAGCGCACACTAAAAGTAATGCAAGTCCCTTAGATAGATACGTTGATTGCATGTTGTTTTTGCCTTCATTCTTTTAGATGTGTGATGTGAGTGGTTTTGGACGTGTATGTCACATACTATTCAAAAATATCTCTGTATATTACATGAAAATAACTGCGTATTGAATAATAGTATTTTATATGTATAACCATACATGAAAACTATGTTAATGTCACATAGTATAACTGCGTAAAGCTTGTTGAATGGTTGTTCATGGCTCGTATTGGAGTCAAGTGTTTTCCCTTTCGATGGAGGAAAAAAACATTGTTTTTTCACATGGGTGCTCCAAGGTGCCGCCCCAGATCAGCAGCAACGTTACCTTTGTACATCTCATGAGATAATTTGATTTGATATTTAAAATGATAAGATTATATATATATATATAGTTATATGTATATAACTATATATATAATTATATAACTATATATATAATTATATTATATTATATTTATTATATATATATATAACCACATACAATAGAATATACCACAATATGATATGATGTAATTTAAGGTAATCTATGTATAATTATATAATGCATGGATATATGTGTACATATTTAGTCATTTATAGCTGCATAAGTTTCCAAGGGAACCTGAAAATAATTGAGGGACTTGTCATTTTACCTTCAAGTCATGTGCAACTTCGCTTGTCCCAAACAGGAGATTGAAGAGCGAAGTGCCATGAAATCTACTACATCTATGATGCTGGCTTATATATATATATACATATGTTAGCATTGATATGACTATATACTATATACATTGTATATATAATATGTCTATACGTGTCCAAACTACATGTTTTTCCAGCAATGAATCATATGTCTATTCCTGACATCGGCTGATATGGTGACCGTTCAAACGCTGACCAGCGGCTGAGGGCTACTTCCGCGTGGCCTCGGGCTTTGGCAGCCTACGTACGGTTGCACCGGGGAATTGGATTGGGGATTTTTGATCAACCCCGGCCTCGGAAAATGGGGGAAATTCACCGCAAAACCAGTGGAAAATAGTTGGTTTATAGTTGGTTTACCTAACTTACGGTGCTTTTTTCCAGTTCGCAAACTGTGTAAACTTAGTTTACCAGAGGGTATAGATGTTCCATTGATTTCCCAGTTCGAAATATACAGGGGGGTCCGGTTTCATTTTTCCCTTAAACCGATCCATTGACCAACTGGCCAAACTAATCTGGGACATGGTTGTTTTGTTTTTTTGGTTTGGGGAGTGATGAAATGTTTTTTGTGAGTACGCGTCGTACTTACCATCCATCAAAGTGAGTTTAATTTGAATCCTCATTGGGCCATGGAGTCACATTTGTTGGGTAGGAAGTTGGAGACAAGCCATGACAATCCATGACATAACCAGCAATCAGATGCAATCAGTGTCTTTTTGACTGACCCATTCTTACAATAGTCAACAATCTGTGGACCATCTGTTTCTCAACGGGAAGAGAATATGGGGAGTGTCCTCCTGGCCCCGAGATATTGTTGGATAGGGTGAAGTACTTACCATCTGGTTATTTGACATAGCCATGGAAAATCACCATTTTTAATAGGTAAACCATCTACAAATGGGCCATTTTCCATGGCTATGTTAAATAGCCAGTGGTTACTTACCATTGGAGATTAATGAAGTCATGCAACTGCTAGGCTTAAGCCGTATCAAATGACCTGAAGTCGTATCACACCTGCGCGTCCGCGTAGTGTTTCGTATAGTATAGATTCTGATGGTTCTTCGTTTGACTGGCCATTGGTTTGGATCCTGTTTCATCGCTGTGCGCAGTGTTTTGTTGGCATGATGCTACCTATGACTGAAAGCCATATGAAATTGAATATTCATGAATGTCCCAGTCCCATTCATTTTCATTTTCGTATCCCGTGTATCAATAGGTATATATATTATATTATTATATATATATATATATTTATACATTTTATATATATACATAGAAATGTATATGTATATCCCATGTTCATCAAGCCCATCGAGAGAGTCTCTGCATCCCATGAGAACCAGAATCATCACAGGGATCCGGTCCTAGGTCGCTCCTGGAAACTGGTCCTGACTGGCGCTGGTGTCTCTGTCTTCTTGAGCCAGGGGCCCCCAGACATGGAACAACAATCCTGTCCATGGGCATCTCGTGTCTATCGTAGTTTTTTGGAGTATACAACATATATAACTATATAAATACGCATATACATACATATGGTGTATATATATATGTTGTGTATACAATATATATATATGGTATATATATATTGTATTTATATATGGTATATATATATGTATATATGTATATATATATAAGGTGTATATATATATATGGTATATATATATGGTATATATATATATAAATGGTGTATATATATGGTATATATATGGTATATATATATGTGGTGTATATATATAAATGGTATAATATATATATGGTATATATATATGGTATATATAAATGGTGTATATATATATATGGTATATATATATATGGTATATATATATATGGTGTATATATATATGGTATATGTATATATGTGGTATATATATAGTTGGTGTATATATATGGTGTGTATATTTTTATTTGATGTATTTATATATGATGTATATACATATATATATGGTGCATATATTTATATGGTGTGTATATATATAGTGTATATACATATATATATATATGGTGTATATATATATATAGTGTATATTTATATAGTGTGTATATATATATATATATATTTGGTGTTTGGTGTAATATATATATATATATATGTCTGGTATGTATATATATACACGGTGTATGTATGTATATATATATATGGTGTATATATATATATATATGGTGAAAGTGTAAGTGTATATATTATGGTGTATATATGTATATATGATCTCTATATATATATACGGTAAATACATGCCAGACATCAGTCCTTTTTAAAAGGCCAGTTCACCATGTGGCCCCCAGGATAGCCGGTTTATCCCAGGAGTTGGTAGACCCATGGATTGATTTTCTGTAATCTTATGATTCAATCTGTCTAAATCACAGATCACAGAAATATTAGGATTTAAGGTTACATTCTTTTGAATCTGTAAAATATTAAATCTGGCATGATTACCTCATTTTCGGACACAGCTGTCTATTCTTTAGTACTGTAGAATGTCTCAGAGTTGCTTCAAGTGAACATAATTCCCGGAATGTCCTATATTTTAGCGTATGAACTGTATAAACCATGGTTGGTTCTGGCAGATTTTTTCACCAATCCAGTGAGTATGGTGACCCCAGTGATCTCGTTTTGCTGAGTGTGGTATGGCCACATGTCGATTTTATTTTTTCCGAAATCGTAATGGGAATCCATGTTGGGAATCAAAATCCAAGATGTTACTACAACCTTCAAAATAGATATTTACAGATACAAGATATATGAACAAGATTTCAACTTATGGAGCATGTCAGGCATATTTGGGTGCGCAGCTACGAAAGCTGGAAATTGAGGGAATTTTTGTGTTGTTTCCTCCAGGTTGTTTGAGAGAAAATTCATAAGGGCCCTCACGCCGTCGCCTGTTTTTCCGGTTCCCTTGTTTGAAAGTGTTCACAATTTTCTCTGGATAACTCAACTCAACTCTCATTTGCTCAGCAGTAAGGGAATTCACTGGTTGGTGGTTTGGAACATGTTTTATTTTTCATATATTGGGAATAATCATCCTAACTGACTTTCATATTTTTCAGAGGGGTTGAAACCACCAACCAGTTCATCATTCTCAGTTGTTTTCGATAGGGGCTATGAGGAGCCGATATGTCCCGGAAATCCAAACTTCACAGGGGTCATTGAATTGGAATTGCCAAGTAAAACTGGAAAACCCATCCTGAAACGACGATATTTGTGTATATTTGGTGTAATGTAATATATATATATATATATTATATGTATATATATTATGTACATGTATGGTTTCCAACGTTTTTTCGTTTCTTTGTGCAGGTTATTCTTCATATTCTCACTATCTCAGGATACTTATCAACTTCAACCCCTTCATCAACAGACTCATTTCAAGCAGAAACTCACGAAAAAAATCTGGTAACTGGTAAGTTCCACATACAAATCCGGGCATTTTCCATGGCCACTTTGGCTGACCAAAGGTATTCATTCTCAGACTTACTGGTACCCCAACCATGGGCAACATAGGGGTCACATAGAGGAATCATAGAGGTGGGGTGACCATACCCCACCCTTTGGTTTTTTTGGGGTAGTGTTTTTGTATCTATACAGTACTCTACATGTCTATTTGTAGACACATTTGATTATATGTTGATTCTACGTTGATTCTATTAACCCAGAATATTCCCAGCATATCTCTTCGCACTATATCCCAAGTAGATTACAGGACGATTTTTTGTGGTTCAACATCCCATGGCGGTTACAACAGCATTTCGACGCCAGGCTATGTCTATTTGGCCATGTTGAAGATGGCCCCATATTCCACCGCTTTCATGAGTCGGGGTGCCCCTCTGGGCGGCCAATTGGTATGTCGGTATATATATCTGGTTGGGAATAATCATCCCAACTGACTTTCATATTTTTCAGAGGGGTTGAAACCACCAACCAGATATGTGATATGTGTATATATATATATATTTGAAAATCAAGTGTAAATGGAAGTTTCTAGCTGAACAAAATCATAGGAAAATATGGGGAAATCCACAAGAAATGGAGGTTGATAACTGGTAAGTGGGGGATTTTCCATCACCACGTTTGATTGCCAGAGGGTGACTAAAGTAACAATTAGTAACCTCATGCAAGCTCCGAAGAGATGGAAACATAGTTTACAGTTCTGTTTTTAGTTAGATTGTCTGGGGATCCCATATTTTCGCAATTTGAAGGCTTTTTTTTACTCCCCCATCTATGGTTCTATTTTTGGGGGCAGCAGAAAAACCTATAAAAACCTTCAAACCCTGCGAAACGCGATGTGATAATCCCTTGCGTTCTCGGTGTTCACAACGGGACAACGTTTTGGCGGCGATTCGCCAGGGCCAAGTTGATACGCCCAAAACGCAAGGGGGCCAACGGTTGATGTTTGTTGGATGGTGGCATCATATTGATGACTGTGATACATTCCAGTGGTTTATAGACAATTTGGTGCCTTGGGTCCCAGTATTCCCCTAGGCTCACAGCTGGATTAGCCAAAGGTTTCATGTTTCAACCTTCAGGGTCTAGTCCAGAACTGTGTGGGATAGCTGGGAGCTCACGGAATGATCTCAGGCTTTACCACCAAGTTTCAAATCAATGATATACCAAACCGGTTCCTCTGGTTTTCCCAGGAATCTCCTGGTTGATGTTGCCAGTTAATAAAATCGCGTTGCGCTATGGAACATCACCGTTCTAAATATTCTAATATTCCTGATAGGTAAATTATCATGAACCATCTATAAATGGAACATGTTCCAGTGCTATGTTCAATAACCAAAGGGTAACATGTTCCCTGCAGACGCCAGTCATATCCTTGCGTGCTCTCTGCTGGGATGGACATCCATTGAAGTTCGTCTTCCGCTATGATATACTGTACTAGAGATATAATCGAATTGTATATACTATGTCACAAACATCATATAATATATTATATGATAAATAATATATAAATTTAATGTACTATATAATATAAAGTATATAATACATAATACATGATATAAAATTATATAATATCTTATATGTTGTAAAATGTATAATCCATTATATATAACATATTAAGTACGACATGTTCATTATATACAATATGACATCAAGAAAAAGTATAACACAATATGATATACAATATATTATAGTATAATACAAGATAATAAAATATAATATAATATAGTGCAATATAGTGTATATATATAACATGATTCTATAAGTAATATAAACAAAAAAGTATAATGTCATTAAATACAATATAGTATGATACAATAAACTAATATATATATAATCCCAGTTATGTATAAATATATATATATACAATATAATACAATTCAGTGTAATATATAATGTTATAATTAACATTAATATTGTAATATAATATAATATGATATAGTATTATATAATGTAATATGATATATATATATATAATATATTAAATTAGTGGTCTCTTGTTACTATATTTGAGGATATATCATAGCATACCATCATACATTAATATGTATGTATATATATATATATAGCTATCCATGTATGATGTGTCTAATCTTTATTTTTTTGTTCCCCGGAAGTGGTTAAGGGTCAAATCTGCAAGAGACCGCTTCAGATCGGCGGTAGCTTGTTTTTGCCTACGGCCTGAAAAACGGCCCAGCGTTTTTGCGGTTTTTTTTTTGCGTTGTGATACGGTAGATGGACGAAATACTCAAACCTTTGCTATCCAACACAACCCCCTTGCCCCCAAAGTTCAATGTTAATGTAGCTTGAGGTGCATGGGCCCCAGTGGATGAAAGAAATCAAACCCCCAACATCACTTTGGCGAACACGCGCCCTGAAACATTGAGATTTGGGGTGTGGGGGTTCAACATTCTGTGGTTCCCAAGGGTTTGAATATTTTGTCCATCTACTGTATTTTGGGGGGTGGGGGAGTGTAATAATGACCTATGTCTTTGTTGTCTTTGACTTACTTCGGTGGACACACTTCATGTTAGGTTGGACACGTCTTCTGTACTTCGGTGGACACACTTCATGTTACTTTGGAGACGTCTTCTGTACTTCGGTGGACACACTTCATGTTACGTTGGACACGTCTACTGTACTTCGGTGGAGACACTTCATGTTACGTTTGGCACGTCTTCTGTGGCAGAGAAGTTGAATGAATGTTGCAAACGCCAGGTTTTCAGCAGAAAGAAAGAAAAACTGATCTTAAAAATGATGAAAACGCTGGGCCGATTTCCGGGCCGTTCGGTTGTTTGTTGTTTCCTGTAGATGTTCCCTGTGCTAACCCATTGGAGTGAGCCAAACCCTGGTTTATTGGTTATGGATGGTTATTGTAGAGGGTAATACTTCCTGGTTCATTGGGGACTATTACAACCCATCATGGAACAACCCTCAGCAGTACAGCGGGATGACGGGTTTTGAACACTGCTTATCTATTCGAATCCCTTCCCCCAAATATGACATAGCTGCTGAGAAACACTGGTGTAGATCTACCCTCTGGTGAACTAACATAGCAATGGAAAATGGCCATTTATAGTGGATTTTCCCATGAAAAATTGTGATTTTCCATTGCTATGTTAGTTCACCAGAGGGTATTTATTTTGGAGTTTCATAATTATTGGAGGAGCCACCATAAACGCAAGGGTGATCAATGAGGGTATCTGGGGGATTGGACTATTGGGAACTATATTTTTTTGTTGGGGGTTTCCAATACTAGTTTCATTTTCATAAACACAGATATGACCAATAGTTTCATATCAATGGGGGATTGGCCCTCCTGTAAACACAGATATGGAAGAGCGTAATAGAGAAATTGGATACAATTTGATACACTATGTATAGTGGATATATATATATATAATTTTAACTATATAATATAACATGCTATAATATAGTATAATATGATATAAATTGCTTCAATATTACGAACTATAAGATAATTTGCGATATGTAATTCACTATAACAAATGATATGCGATTTCCTATATTATATAGTTTATGATATTTTGATATAATATAAGTTAACCTACTTTAACATAATATGATGTAATAACATAAAATATAACACAAACAAAATATTTATTTCAACATCATATACTATGTTTTAACAATATACATGTTGCTATAACCTAATATATTTTTGTGTAGTTGGACCACGGTGCATAATTCGCCGTGGTAAAATATGCATTTTTTCACCATTCGAGCGGTTACGCTTGGGTGGGGTGGGGTGGGGGGGTGTATTAACGTCCTGACGGCCACATCCTTGATTCTACGTAGACAACACATGTTGAAGTAACTTGGAAGACGCAGCTCACCAAAATTTGGTGAAGACCGCACCAGCTTACCCGCATTTTGCAGAAGAGAAAAAACAGAGTTTTTGCGGATATTCAACGAAGACGAGACAGAAATCCCAATGGAATCGCGATGATTTCAGCACGATATGGAAATGATCAAATCGTCATTTTGACTCACGGCGACATGTAAGCCGTGCACCGTGTAGTTGATATAATCTAATGTTATTTGATATACACAAATATTATTTGATATAAACAAATATTTTGTGATATAATCTGATTTTATATGGTATACTGTAACATATTATAATAATAGTCGATCATATACAATATAATGAAATAGAATAAAATAGAATATGATATGACATTATGATATAATATAATAGGAAACAATATAATATGAAATAATCTAATGTAATGCTATATAAGTTGATTCATATATGCGATACAATCATCCAATCATCAATCATGCTGCTGTTATTTTTTCTCTATTACGCCTGGCCATTCCACGGTCGTAGTGGGGGGAACGAGGTTTGTGTCTCACCATCTTGGCGACCTTTGCATTGTCCGTGTACTTTCTCTTGGGAGAGGCGGTCCGAAAAGGTCGAAGGAAATGGATAATTTTCATGGAAGAATCACCATGCTCAGTTTATCTTAGTTTATCTGTACTACAAGTGGATATCAGTTTTAACATCAGTGAGGATATTACAAAAAGATCTAGAGATAACTGCTGACTGACAGTGATACTTCATATGACAAGCTTCCCCGGTGCCCCGTGAACGACAGGAATCCAGGTAATCGCAATCCAGGACGAAACCAACCCTCGACAAGATTCTACGTTGATATCATTGCTATCACAAACTTTGGCAAGGATTGGCTACAGTCAGATCAGAAACAACCATAAATGGTTTTGTATACCTATGACCTATGTTTATTGACAATGATAATCCTAATTCCGTTGGCATGCACCTGAAACTCATGGCTGTTGTTCCGTGCAGGTGCTGAGTGGTGAGTGGATGGAAAGTCTTCCTGGCTTAAGTTTTCTCGGGAGGGATGTCGCCTTTAAAAGTGTTGGGTCAATTTGGTCAATGACGTGAAACATGTTAAACTATTGAATGTGAATTAGTGCATGGTAGGTTTAACTATTTCTTCCGATGTTTGTTTTGCCATGTTTTTTTCCTTCCGGAGAGTCTGCAGTGGTATCACCCGATGTCGAACGTTATGCCAACATTAGGGAGATGGTACCATCTGGTTATGACAGGGCTAGCCATGGTTAAGCCATGCCCCTAATCGAAATAGATGGTTTACCGATTTACCGTTCTTAAAAGCATGGTGGATTTTCCATGGCGAACTGTGAATGCCATAACCAGATGGTGTACAAAAACAACATGATGAGTTTACCAGAGAATCCCTTGCTGCATACCATTGCTGTGCCAACAAAAACTGGCATCATTTTGTGGTTTTCACCCAATTTCCGGCCTCATCCGACGCGAAGATCCAGGTTATATGAACAGCAACACCTTCTATAAGCTGCAGCTTGACTGCGAAACTTACGGCCAAGATACCTCCCTGGGTTGTGATGATGTATGATGTTTCCAATGGACCAGTCACAATCTGAGGAGTCGACTAAGGAAATATATGGTTTATTTTTTGGGGAACACTACGCTGTGGTAAACTAACATGACTATGGAAAATCACCATGCTATTAATGGGTAAATCCACTATAAATGGCTATTTTCAATAGCTATGTTTGTTTACCAGAGGGGAAGCAAATCTAAGTCTCCAAATCTTCTACAACATGCTTTCGCTGTAGATTTGTCCGAAAAAAACCCAATGAATGAAGAGGCGTAGATGAAGGGTCTGCATATTTAGATGCAGGAATACACCATCATGCGATTTTGTTTGAAGGCTATTTGAGATTAGCCATGTTGACGACACCTGTGAGATCCACCATCGGCATAAAGTTGGCTTAGTGTTGTTTCTGTTGGCGGGCCAACGAAGAAATACAATACGAATCAACAAAATGAACATCATACTCTATCCATGTTCAGCAAATGTCATCAAATCTGGGTAAGCTGAGACGGATTGGTGAATTGGTGTGTTTTCTTCTAGCAATATTATTGATGGAGGAGACTCTGAGTAATATTTAATGTTGTAAATTCAATAATTGTTTGTAATTGTTTTGCCTCATTTCCTTTGTTGTCTTTTGCTTTTTTTGTAGCGCTTAAAAAGACAGTACAAAATGATATTTGGCTTAGAGTATACCATCAACCACAAATGGTACTTTACATGCCCTTCATAAACAAAACATTTGAATATCAATGGGATATATGGGATGAAAGAACTCACTTTCCATCAACCCTGCATTGGATCTGCTCCACTTCCTTGCTGAACGTGTATCCTGACTTCTCACAGATGAGTGGATAGTGGGTTGACCAAGCATATTGGACTGTTCAGATTAGGTTTTGGGCATGGTCAGAAAACTTCTGGATGTTCTGCTTGTCGCAATTCTAAAGCTCAACAGAAGCCTGCTTGGCTGATACTGGGCGAAGTGCTTCAGGTCGGAAAGTGGAATAGCTGCATAGCTCATGGTTATTCCTAGCCAGTTCCTAGCCATCATTCTTCCAGGAATCCAGGAATATTGATTGTGTTTGATGATACTTGATGGTTTTCTATGATTTTCTTTTTTAAATGTGTATAAATAACGGTTTTGCAGAGAAACCACGGTGAAAATTCATCCCTTTTATCATGCCTTGGAAGGTTTTTTCCATGACTTCGGAGAGAAAAAAGGCCGAGCCTTTTACGCCGCATCAACTCGATGCAACAATTGTGAACAACAACAGCAACCATGACACAACGGTCATTTAAAACCATCATGAAACTACTTGTCCCGAAAAATGATCAACATGTTTTTTTTTTGCCGAATTGTCAGGGAAGATCTATGAAGATCTGCAAGCACGCATCATATGTGATGGGATAAGAACAATTAAAGACGCCATGATTTCCTCCCGGGGTTCCCGTTTCGCCCGATGCGCCATCGTTTAGGTTTACCATCGAGTACGCAGCGATGCTTTCGAAGGCGGGGCGTGGGAAGATGGTTCAAGTCACTGGGCATGAGAGTCATTATGTATATATGATAGATGACATGATATGACATGGTATGATATAATATCATGATATAATATCATGATATAATATGATATAATATGAAATAACATGATTCAATATGATGTATGATATGATATAATGTGATATAATATGATATAATGTTATATAGTATGATATATATATATATATATTATATACACATATGTGTATATATATATGTATATATATATATGTATATATATATATACATATGGGTAGTTTCATATCATATTATATAGAGCTAACAAATACATTTATATCATATATAGAGAGAAATATGACATACAATGACATATACGGGAATGAGCTGAATATGTTTGTTCTCGGTCAATTGAATTGATGTCCCATTCAGAGAGCACTGTACAGGGTACCCTATTTGGAGTTGTTACCCTGCTGTAAAACAGAAGAAGGCAATCAAGCATTTTATCCACATTTTTTTGTTCGTTTACCCTTTGGGTTCGTGATCATTTTTCCGATGAAGTGACCATGTCAGCCATGGGAGAGATAAATTAAGATAGATGTGGAACATCCATGGATTCCCTATGAACAAAATCTACAATTAAATGGTATCTACATCCATGTTAGTTAATCGCAGGGTATCAACAAAAAAGGCTGGTATGTTCCAAAAACGATGGTGTCTAGCGATTGCATGTACACACGATGTATGGTGGGATTCTGTATTACGATGAGATTTGGGCCCAGAAAGCCCAATAATTGCAGCACAAAGTGGAGAACATGATCTCTAAACCGGATTTTGGGTCGCAATATGCCTAGACCAAGCCAACTACTTGGATGTGAATCCCACTTAGCAAGTGGCTTGATAATTTTGATCCAGATCCCCATGCGAAATGGGCGTGCCCAGTGTGGTTGTGTAAGTGTTTTTTTTATTCCAACGGGGTACCCCCAAATCATAAAGTTTTTTATTGTTTATCCATTTGAATAGTATGTTCAACAGTATGTTGATGTATTTTCCATCATAAACCATCCAGCTATTGGTGTACTTCCATTTTTGAAAACTCCCAAGCGTTGCAAGCGTTGCAAGCGCTGGCACTGGAAGCTGAGTTTATTCACCCTCTAATGTCCTCCAGAAAAAATGTCAGGAACATCTCTGACTCTGACGTTTGTATCGTTCTTACATTCACATATATATATATAAGGAACATGATAATATAATAGTAATAACAACAATAATAATGATACATATATATATATATATACATATATAGTATGTATACTCTCCGCTAACTTAACATAGCTTTGGACAATTGTGATTTGACAGATGACCTATTGAAGATGGCCATGTTCGTTACTTCTTGCCACAGGTTGTTGGGCTGTTGCTGCTCGCGTTCAGATCCCAGCGGTAAAGCATCTATTTCGATTAGGGGCATCGAAAAACCATGGCGAACTGTTAGTCATAACCAGAGGGTAGATGTTATTTTTTTTATACATTCACATGGCTATGATCAATAGCAATGATACACAGAAAGGTCGATAGATGTGTTGCTTGATTGATGCATTGGTAGAATGATGGAATATTATCTATATACCCATAGGATCCCTGTATGGTATATATACTAACATTGGGGGTATATTGATGGTACATGTTACCATATATAGAATACATGGATCCTATGGGATATATACATATATTCTCGCAAAAATAATAACGAACCCGTCAAGTTTGGTACTTACATACATGGACTTGTCTATAATTTGCCTAGAGAAGGACATTTGCAGAAGTCATTTGCGCTAGTCTAGTAGCAAACGTGTGATGAGATGAGTTGAATTGGACGATCCTCCCCTAAAAAATCAGCGGCCACGATCTTCGGAACCGTACGGGATTACCGGATGGTTCTCAAGCGGTGCAGAGTTGTGGACCAAAAGAAAGGGGATAGGGGGATTCAGGGATCTTTGATTTTAGGATCTAGCATCCATTTTTTCAGGCAAGAAAACTTTGACCCCATAGCCATATCCGATATCTCACTGGTTTCATAGTTGTTTTTTTTTTATAGTGCTTTGATGACTTCGTGCCTTAGGAACGGACTTGGACAGGTGACTTTCAGAAACTATAAGTAAAGACTCAGGACTCCAGTGGTCCTTTTGTTTTTTTTAGCATTGGAACATATTGGAAACATTATCAAGGGCACTCGGATTTTCCTAAAGGGATGCTAGCAGAATTTCTTCACGCGGTCAGTGGCCGCGCATTGTCTCAATACATCCAATGGTCCGTAATTACGGCCATGTGGAATTTATAATTTGTACCTAGATGCGCATGCAAAAACTGTATGATGTGTGCGTAAAGCAATGATAAACCATCCCCCAGTCATCACAATTTTTATAGTTGGTATGTTTACCATTCCCAGTCATGGGTGGTAAAAATCACATTGTTTTACCCGCATTACCTCTGGGTAACGATGTCCAGATGCGCAGAAACATAAATAGAAAGAATACTGGATTTTCATGGATTTTCCATCCTGAAGTGCATGTAAATGCTGATGTTGATATCCTGTTGATGGTCCATGAAAGCACAGAAAAAAGAATCATGACGGTATGTACATATATATATATATATATACCATATGCTCCATGTATGGAATATTTACCAACATGTGCACTCAAAATCACCCAGTCATGTAGGTAAATATACCATACATGGAGCATATGGGTATATAGGTTTCCTCTTGTCAGCATCTGGCACCCCAAGGCTCTTTTGCTTCATGGCAGTTGCCTTGTCCTACATGAAACGCTCCATCACCAAGGCTTTAGGCCGGGCCGGGCAGATGGTGAAGCTGTTGGGATGCCTGATGTATGTGTGATAATCTGCATTTGTCTTGAAATGTGTGTTTTCTTTGTGCAAAAGTTCGATGATTAGAAAACACCTAAGTTGCGAGACTGTGTGTAAGGTGCAGGTCCCTAAATGATTGGTTTTATGTGTTTGTTTTCTGTGACCAACTTGACATGTTATTGTTGTTTACAGGATGCCAGCAAAAACGAATCGTGCCTGTGGGTTCTTCTGCAAGTAGAGGATACCCGCAAATGGCATTGTAGGAGGGGAACTGATAGTAGACCTTTGGCTTTGGAGGTACGTTTTTTGTCAGAGAAACCATGAGAAACCTATCCTGTTTAGGCCCGAAGGCCGCAGATTCATAATTACTCATACAAGGACAAAGTCCAATAATAATCGCTCACTTGAAATCTGACGAGACATATGTATAGACACCCAGGTGATTTACAGCAACCACAAGCAAGACTTTGCCATACCTGATGTTGCATGATGCTTGATGTTGGAAGAAGCTTTCAGTGATCCAACAAATTTGGTGTGGTATCATAGTATATCCCCCAAAAAAGAATCGAAAGATTCAAAATCACACTAAAATGGTGATACATTGAAGCGTTTCTATCTTTTTTTGGGGGTTATATACTATGACTTAATCCAGCACAGTTTTCTGCAGTTTTCTTGTTAATGCTCCAGCTGTGGATTGATGGGGTTGATCACATGTGATGAATCTGCCCAGAACGTAGGTTCAGAACGGGCTTTCCAGTAATGGATGATACGTCGGACTAGGATCTCATCCATAATCATCCATAATCATCCATAATCATCCATAATTCCTCAATAAATCCAATAAATCCAATAAATCCAATAAATCCAATAAATCCAAAGATTCGGTTGCGAAACTCCCGATGTTAACTTTCAACAAACAGGGAAAGTTGAACTGAACTCTTCATGGCGAAAATCCATCAATTGAAGTTTGATTTTTCAATGAAAAGCTCTGGATGTACTTGGAGGATCATACCACAGATCCTTTTTGTAGCTGAATGTTCACCACCAGGCTGAAGTCAGCTGCGATTCCTGGGATGCACCGAGTATGTACCACCCATCAAAATCCCCATGTTTTAGAAACTCATGGAACATGGCTTACGAACATGGATATAAATGATCAATGGTTTTTTCAAATGGGGTTTCCCAAGAAGCCCCAAGAAACCATATAGGGAAATCCCCATGATTTTCTGAGAATTCCCCATGTCTAATGGATATTGTCCCATGATTTTCTGAGTTTCTTTCCGGTCGGCCATCCCCACGGAGGCTCTGTGAACGCCACCGTGGAGTGTATCTTCAGCATGTTCTGGGACCCGGCGCAAAAAACGACGTCGAAATGGGGGAAATGATGGAAATTGTCAGACCCAAGTATCATATATATATATACATATATATATATATGCGTATGTGTATATATATATATATAAATAAATAAATAAGTCGTTTCTTGGAAACGTTATATTCATGCTATATCCGGATTACTCCAGATTGATCTCCAGATTTGATTCTAAGAAAACCAGTCGGGGATTTTGGCCTTGGCTGGGCGTGTGAGGCCGAGTATGATGTTGACTCCGATCATCGAGGTGCTACCGGCTACTCAAGCCTGACCAACAAGGACAATCATCAAGGACGAGCTTTGAATAGATATGTTGATTTATGATGATTTATGGTGTGAATTCAAGGTATTTAAAGGGATTTAATGGGAATTAATGGGATTTATGGTGATTTAATGGGACATAATTAACCAAGAATCTGGGATTTGGCTTTGTTTGAAACTGTGGTTTACCCCCAAATGGCATGCCATGTTTTTATTGGGAAAAATGATGATAAACCAGTGGAACTGGTCTTGGAATTGTTGGACGTTGCCCCGAGATGATGCGGAATTTGGGGAAGAACAATTTCATTTTTTTTTATAGCCAAACTCCAAACAAATTGGGTTCTGAAAAGGCTAAGTTTTCGGAATTATAGATATTATTTTCGTGCCAGGGCCATGTATGAAAACAACTATGGTAAGAATTGGGGTGCCAAGTTTTTTCCAAAAACGGATGGGGGACCCCTTCTTTGGACAAACCTGGCGGCATAGGCCTGTGACGAAAATTGTGTCATGTTCCCCAATATGGGATACCTCCAAATGGCAATGTCAATAGGGAAAATGAGGATCCATTGGAATTGGGAATATCCATGAATATCAGAACTATCCCATAATTATATATAATATATATATATACGTATATAAGGTTTGGGTTCACAGCAGGGTGCCCACGTTCCCGACCTTAGAGGGTTTTGTTCCCACCACCCTCGGGCAATTGCCGCTGCCCTGACTGCTTTCGTGTTCTGAACTGGATTCGCCCTGGAACCGATTGCATTGCGCTCTGCTGGTCTAGCCAACCAGTATTCGCCTCGCGGCCTGTGGTCCCGGCCACGTACAAATCCGGGTGGCTTCGCGAACTTGCTGAAGGTCTTGAACATCCTCTACATTGGCCTCTCTGAAGTTGACTTCGTCCTTCAGTTGCCCTTTGTCCTGGACCACTTCCTCAGCATCTTCATGCGCTTCAGCCTTTTGATCTTTGCGGTGGTCATCTTCTGCTTGCAGGATTACTCCGTCCAAGAGAAGGAGGCAGAGACGCCTGAGGGCGTTAGCGCGGCACAATTGGTATCTGCATCGACGTGGCTTCAGCCCTCTGACCAACGAGCAGCTCCACATCATCTACAAGCGACTGGCGAGCCATCACTCCAAAGACCCTGGTTTTTTGCGCCGGCTGACACTAGCAATGGCCACCAATTCCAGGCATCCTTGGCGTTGTCACTGGTGCAAGAGGCTGAACAAAGCACTGGCACCACAATGCGGCTCATGCCATACAAGCTGGGACAAGTGCATCGACATCCACTATGTCCACGGCCAAAAGACCTATCACCCGACAAATGTGAGAACACGCTCAGTACGACAGCAACCACAAGAGACATGGGAGTCATGGGACGACTGGGAGACTATGCCAGCGAGATCCACGACTTCACCAAGGAGGAGAACAAGGAAAAAGACTCCAAAGAAGAAGCAAGCCGATACGGCCAAGGAGAACTATGGCGTCCCAGCCATGGACCCTCCATGGCAATCGACAGCCTCTACAGCGCCAACACCGACGCCAGCAGCTGCAGCCACAGAGACAGTGGAAAGCGTCGTGCTGAAGGAGCTAGTACAAGCTCTGGAGTCCTCCGACAACCCGCTGTCCGAGGAAGTCCAGGCGGTTGTGGAAAAGGCCAAGAAGCCCATCGAGCCCCCGCCAACGGCGAAAGCTGTCAGGCAATCTTGGGACAAGCTGGAGAAGAAAAGGAAGCAGCTTCATCAAGCCCAAGTTGCACGGAGCAATCTCCATCGGTCATGGGCCAAGTACATCGAAGACTCTGTCAAGCGCTGGAAGTCATTTGCCAGCGATTTTGCAACAAAAGATCAGGCGCTCGAGAAGAAGGTCGTCGAGGCCAAAGAAGCTATGCAGGATGCCAGGGAGAAGTACGACAAGGCCCGCGATGCCATCGATCGGCAAGATGCGGTGACGCTCGAGGCAGTCGAGGACATCTCCGATGGCATGGACGAGGAGCCCACAGATCGCATCGCAACTGCAGAAGAGATTCAGGAAGGCATTGCGACGATGGTCTCCTCCCTGGAAGCAATTCGAGTTCGGCCTTCAGAAGAGCAGCCAGAGACAGAGCAGGCCAACAAGAAGGCCAAGCTTGGACACCAAGCAGAAGCTGCCAAGTCTTCTGCATTTGGAGCATCTGCGCTCCAGCCTTTTGGAACGCCCGGCAAATAGACTGTGAATCAGAGATTTGTCATGGGCATCAGCGTCAAGGCTGTAGCCAGCCCCAGTATCCAATTTTCCAATGGACGCACTCCATTTTGGAGGAACCGGCATTCACGACCGAGTGGCAAGCAAGCATACGGGCTCTTGACCTTGAGTACGAAGTTGCACAAGCTGAGCCTTGCAGGACTACCACATCAGTCACATGCCTCAAAACCAGATCTTTTGCAGAGAGAACTCACCGAGTAAGTTTCAACCACCTTGTTGAGCTCTATGTGGGAGCAGAGCTCGACCATGACATGCAGCGTTGGAACCACCTCATTCAGATGCCTGTCAATGATGCCAAGATTCTACGCCCACTTGAGCGCCCCATGATGGACGAGACCTCATTGATGGCCACAGGTGAGTTCCAAAGAGATCGCACACCACGACGTTTTCCGACACAACATCATCGTCTACAAGATGATCATAGAATTGCTCAGGATCCGAATGATCCTCATGAGCCATCTGAGCCCTCTGATGATGAAGAATCAAACAATGATCGAGCAGAAACAGATGGAGAAGACAATGCACCAGATTGGTTTGCATCCGTCCTGTTCGCCCTCAACTTCCAGCCGCAGCCTATGAGAGTCAATTGGAATGACTACGAATCCATGCATTGGGATGCTGCAGTTGCGTTGGGCGTGTCCAGGCACCATCTGTATACATTACATCACCTACCATTTCCTCCCCTTGATCTTGCAGATGCCGGAGTTGAAGCCCTCATTGGACATCGATACAATGATATAGGGCACGGATCCAACCTTCAGCTGGTCCTCATGGATGTGGAGTTCCACAGTGCAGTTCCTGATGTCCAGCCGGAAGTGGTCCGAAGAGTTGTGAGGCTTCCCAGACAGATCGGCAGAATGGCGATGCTGCAAAGACTTGGACTCCGTGAATATTGCAGAACGACACAGCATCCATGCATGATTTGGCACAACCGAGATCTCCTGTCGCCTACGAGTGCGCGCCCACTTGCACTGGCACATGGACACTACATCAGGGTTGCAGTGCCGCCTGGAGGCGATGAAGTACTACACATTGCCACACGCTGTGTTGCCAGCGCTTGTCACCAGGGCATCTCTGCAGCTGAGCTCTGTGATCGTCATGCCCTCTACGTGTTGGGATGGTACGACACGATCATTGGACCTCCACTTGTGCCTCTGCCCCCTGATGAAGATGTGACCAACCTGATGCAGCTCAGTACGGTTGTGCCACCTGAAGAACGCTGCCCATGGTTTCTCCTGCGGAAGCGCCAATGTTTCATTGATGCCTGGGAGCAGCCCTGCCCTTTTCCGCTGAAATGGTCAAAGCTTCCAGCCATTGAGTTTGAATCAGGTGAGGAGCCACGAGATCATCTTGAAGATGAACCTCCGCACAGGAGAAGCACTTCACCGGCCTTTGAAAGACCTATTGGGCAGCCTGCCAATCCTCTACAAGGACAACCGGCAGTTATTCAAGAGCTCTTCATGCTATGGTTGCATGTGGCAACGACGCAGCAAGGAGGAGAGGACACGGTCATTCCTGTTGAGACCTGGTATCTGTCCGAACCTGGACATGTGATCTGCAGTGTCTCCCGTACGGTGAATCTGGGCAGGGACTTCCAATCGTGGCTTGGGCAACTCATTGAGGAGTGGGAGGACGTTCTTGATCGAACCACCACCATACAGCTGCACGCTGTGCGCCCAATGCCAAGAGCCACCATCGCAAGACCCACTACCAGACCGCACATCATCCTGAAGCAGCGCACACCAGCTGACATGGTCGAGAACCTGTATACGGTTTTGGACTCTTCTGGTGTCACCCTGCGTGCCAGCCAATTTGCAACATTTGGCCCTCGGCCTCAAACCTGGTACATTGCCATCCGCCAGACAGACATGCATCGACATTGTGACAGACCTGACTCTGCCATTCAATGCATGGTGTGGCATGGTGATTTCCAATTGCGAGCGCCCATGGAGATGGACAACAGGGATGGATTTGAATTCACTGTGATTGTGAACCCGATCCCAACCACTCGGCACCCGCCAGATCAAGATCTATGGCAAGAAGAAGATGATGATGCACTTCTGCAGCTGTCTTCAGACAGGATCACATTGCATCTTGAGAGCCTCATTCCTGAGACAGTTGCAGTCAGACTGATTGCCCCCATTGGCACACATCAATTGCCGACGCCATTAGAAGTTGCTGCACCTGGCGAGCCACATCAAATCGCTGCAGAACTACTGCATTGGGGTCATCACTGCCAGGTGCATGATTGCTGTCCTCAAGATTGCTTCCTTTGCCTTCCTGCCAATGATTCCCCATCAGATGAGCACTGGCACTACGTGTTCTGTCATGATGATGCACAGGATTGCAATGGTGTCTTTTGCCACAGTGCTGGCACTGACCTTGACGAGATTCAGCTCATGGCCTTCCTTTGCGACATGGGATATCCAAGAGCAGTCATACTTGCACAAACAGTCATTGCGCAGCGTTGGAAGAAGGTGCTGTTTCATCACCGTGAACCAGAACTTCACAAGAAAGCCCAGCCTCAGCGCACAATGACTCCTTGGCCAGCGCGGGGTGAAGCACAGAAGACCTCAAGGTGTCTCTTCATGCCTGCACACAGAGGTGAAGTTCCCGTGTGCGCACTGAAGACACCTTTTGACCAACATGACCTGGATGAGCTCTTTGCCTCTAGCATTGATGTACTTTGCACCGATCTTTCTGGCATTGAACTGCCGCCTGAAATCAACGCGCAACTTCAGGCTGTGCCTGTGTGTCCTTTGACCAAGACAAGTGACCTTGATCAATATGACCGCATCCTGATCTACACTGATGGGTCGTCAAATCCAACTATGCGTCGCTGCATGCCACAAAGAGCTGACGAACTTGGCTTCCCAGACACATGGGCCATGATTGTCATCGGCGAAACCTTCATCACCTCGGAGCACTCCCAATGCCATATCCTTGGATGGACTGCACACCCAGTGAGATATGCAAAAGAAGGAAGTGCATACATGCAGATCGATGCCATAGGGTCTGATCTTGCAGAGCGTGCTGCGTTGATTGGGGCCGGATCATGGCGGCTCGGCCTGAACCACGCTGTCCCCACGGTCATTTGTACCGATTCAAGCAATGCGGGACTGCAAGCGTTTGGGAGAATTGGAGCATCCCAGGCCGATGAGTCATTTGACCTGCTTAGAGGCATTTTCCAAGCCCTTGAGGCGGCACTGGGCCCTTCCCAGCTTGTCCTCCAGCATATCAGATCCCACGCTGGGGACTGCTTCAACGAGTTTGTTGACGCAGCAGCCAAGCTCGAAGCTAGAAGGTCATTGAACATGAGAAGACAGAGAATTGACATGCAGCAATGGCTTGAACGTTTCAAATGTCTCTGGATCATCTTTCAGCACAGCAACGGTTTACCCACATGGCACGATGGCGTCATGAACGCAGCAGCTCCGGAGCTACCAGTACCTGGCCTCCGACTTGACCAGCGCACTGGACTGTCGCATCGTGGCAAATGGGTGGACTTCACACTCAGCCTTGGCACCGCAAATGTCAATGCTCTATCCAGAGGACCTGATGGCTACGCAGGCAAGTTGCACTACTTGCAAGATCAAATGCGTGCCCTCAAGCTCAACTGCGTCGCTGTCCAAGAGGCCAGATCTGAACAAGGATGCTCACGACGAGCCAATATCCTGAGACTTTGCACTGGACATCAAGGAGGGCAATATGGCATGGAACTATGGATTGACCTTGAAGCTCCATATGCCTCGGATCACAAGGGAAGAGAACAATGTTTCCGTGATTCGCATTTCCTCGTTGTTCATCAAGACCCTCGCAGATTGCTGGTGCGATGTGATGCAGGCCATTGGTCCTTTTGGCTCTTTACCTTCCATGCACCGCATTCTGGCTATCGTGGCCTGGAACGTGAAGCCTGGTGGGCTGAAACGATGGAGATTCTGCAGCGATGCTATGACGATGATCCTCTATTCGTACTGGCAGATGCGAACGCAGAACCAGGAGATTATGATGGAGAGACAGTGCAAATCCGTGGATTCCCAACCACTGCGAACACACCTGCATTTCGTACGTTGTTGCAATCCTATGGCCTGTACTTGCCAGCTGCAAGTGAAGCCCACCGAGGCCCAAATGGCACTTGGTCTCATTGCAATGGACTTAGTCAGCATTGCATAGACCACATTGCGATTCCACTGGCATGGCAGCAGCGTTGCACACACTCTGAAGTCCTGGATGCATTTGACATGGCCACAGCCCATGATGATCACAAAATGGCAGCTGTCCAATTACAATGGAGAGGCCGCCTTTGTGATGACTCTGTGGCCTGCAAGCAGAAGCACATCAAGATGGCAGTGAAATATTGCCACCACTTCGACATGCATCAACGAATCCTACAAATTGCCCCTCAAGATTGGCATCGTGATGTCGAACACCAAACGGAGCACATCACGCAAGAGCTTCATGATCTGCTAGCAGCCAACCAAGCAAGAGAATGCTCCTCTGGCAAGAAGCCATATGTCAATCAGGAAATCTGGGAGCTTCGCAGTCAGAAAATTGTGCTCAGGAAGAAGATCAAGGCAGTCAACTACAGACTCCGACGAGAGCTGTTACATGACTGCTTCCTGCTCTGGCAGAAACAGGACCAGAGAGAAAGGAACCCAGAGCTAGGTCAACAGACCTTCAACTACGGTGTCACTCTCAGATGCAAGTCACTGCACTTTGTGGCGCGACTTCGTGCGGTTGGATGGCGTCTTCGGCATGAACTGACCCGTAGCAAAAGCAATGCCCTTCAACGACACCTTGATCAACTACCTGAAGACACCTCTGCAGCAGATTTCCTGAGGGAGCTCAAACCTTTCACTGGACCGACGAATCCCAAGAAGGCCAAGCGTACCACTCTGCCCATCGTCAAGAATGACCAAGGAGAACACTGCCAGCTCCCGTGTGAGGCCACAGAGACCTGGATCAACTTCTTCCAGAATATGGAGGCCGGCAAACGCATGCCCTATGAGGAGCTGCGGTCAATCTGGATCCATGAGCTTGCACATTTTCAGCAGGATGACTTTGAGGTAGACCTGTCTGCTCTACCCAGTCTTGTCGACCTCGAACGTGCACTACGACGAGTGCCACGTGGCAAAGCTCATGGACCTGACGGCCTCCCAGGTGAATTATGCCATCATCAACCGGCAGCAGTTGCGCGACTGCTGTATCCGGGGCTTTTGAAGACCATGCTACACGGGCATGAGCCCCTGGTCTTCAAAGGTGGCAAACCCATTGCAGTCTACAAAGGCAAGGGAGCGGTCGACGATTGCAAATCGTTCCGATCGTTGCTCATCTCCAACCACCTGGGCAAAGCAGTGCATCGCGCTATTCGCCAACGCACCGCATCGGTCTATGAGGCCTTTCTACATCAACAGCAGACTGGAGGCAGACGCGGCATTCCTGTGCAACTTGCACTACATCAAGCGCGTGCTTTCTGCCGTCAAGCGAAAGATGCTGGTGCCTCCACAGGCGTTTTGTTTGTGGACCTGACTGAGGCATTCTATCGCATCCTTCGAGAAGCTCCTCTAGGTGGTGAAGTCAATGATGAGGTCTTGGCTCACATCATGGCAAAACTTCGCATGCCAGAGGACTCTTTGCATCGCATCTACGAACTGCTCCAGGAACCACCTGCGATTGCACAAGCCGGCTTGGCGCCGACCTTTCAAAGGAGCTTCATTGCAATCCATCGCTCCACTCATTTTTGGATGCGTAACCAAGGTGACGTCTCCCGGACGTCCCTTGGGACGCGCCCTGGCGATAGTTTCGCTGACATTGTGTTCGGGTATGCATGGACCACTGTATTGGCCAAGCTTGAGAGGCATCTTCTGGCACATGGCTGGTTACCACCTCTCCCTGCACATCATCAGCTTCCGCTATTCGGGCACAGCTTCGAGAAGGATCAGATTGCACATTTTTTGGGACCGACGTGGATGGACGACCTCGCCATCTGCGTGGAAACGAAGCAAGGCGAGCGACTGCCCAACATCATGGCCAATGTGGGTAGCTTTCTGATTGACCTCTGCGCCTTCCACTGCCTCTCGCCAAATCTGTCTCCTGGGAAGACGGAGTTGCTTTTGAGCTTTAGAGGTGCTGGCTCCCGCAAATTGAAGACGCAGTTCTATGGCCCGAAAAGCGATGGAGTTCTCCCAATTGTTTGCGAACACTTCACACAAGCACTACGCATTGTCTCCAAGTACAAGCACTTGGGTGGAGTTTGCCATCACTCTGGAGACCAACGGCAGGAACTGAAGCAGAGAGCAGCGATGGCGCATCAAGCATTCACCAAGCACAGGAAGCTCCTGTTCCACAATCGCTCGGTTCCCTTTGCAAAGCGCATCGAGCTCTTTGAGATGCTTATCCTGTCCAGATTTCTTTATGGAGCTGATTCCTGGGTGGCTATGGACAATGCGACGCAGCAGACCTTCCACGTGACGGTCATGAAGTTGTACAAGCGACTTGCACAAATCAAGGTGGATGACCATTTCACGGACGCTGAGATCCTGTCCAAAGTGCACCTCCCGAGCCCGTCTGAGCTCTTGAGACGAGCCAGGTTGAGGTACTTTGTCACACTGGTCAAAGCAGAGCACGAAGATATCTGGACGCTTCTAGCTCGTGACAGTGCATGGCGCCAACTCCTTGAAGATGACATGATTTGGATGTGGCATCAGCTTCACCATACATCCGACTTGAAAGACCCGAGGGAGCACTACCCGCAGTGGCTCATGATCGTCCAGACCAGTCCAAAGTACTGGAAAAACCTGGTGAAGAGAGCATGCGCACACAGCATACAACAACGTCAGCGGGTTTTGCACGTTCAAGGTCTTCATCGTCGTGCTCTCCCTCTCCTATGGAGTTTTCTGCCTGAGCATCTTCAACCCGTTTTGGAGCAGCCGCAGATCCCTGAGGTATTTGGTTGTATGCAGTGCAAGTTGAGATGCAAGAGCAAAGCTGGGGAGGATGCACATCTTTTCAAAAGACATGGACAAGTATCCAGACTGCACATGCTATGCGATCACCCCACATGCCCTTGCTGCTTGAAACATTTTCACACGATGCAGAAGCTCAAAGGACATCTACGTCATTCGGCCAGATGCAGAGAAACCCTGGATGGTCGCAACATGAACTGTCCGCTGGTTCCTGGATGCGGATCGACTGATGATGCCGAAAGAGAACATTTGCATGATCGCCTACTACCTCCCATTCAATGCGAAGGCCCGATGCCTCCAGCAAACAGAAGAAGGCAAAGACCAGACATTGATGGTGAGCTGTATGATAATTTGATCGACATGATCGCAGACGCAAGTGCAGCCCCGGACTTGTTCGTCTCCGCTGCTGATTTGATCTCTGAACGGGCTATTTCATGGACACGATTGCGAAGCACTTTGCTCTTCCTCGTGGACACGCTGACCCAGGAGGACAACGCGATCCTGCCCATTGACGTGGAGACGATCAAAAAGACCTTGCACAGTCTGATTGGGCCTGAGAATTGGCCCTTTCTGCAGCAGGATAAGGTAGAAAGCTGTAGTGATGCCGATCTCACCACACTGGAAGATCATTGCGATCGAGCGCGACGATATTTGGAGCGTGGAGCCCTCGCAGCAGTCCCGCGACCATTGGGACGACACAGGGTTATCTTACACCTCTATTCTGGAAGACGCAGACGAGGAGATGTACAATTTTATTTGGACCAGCTGGCGAGCAGTCAGACCCATTTCATGTTGCACATCGTATCACTTGATATCGTGATTGACCCCATCTACGGCGATGCCATGCGTGCTGATACTTGCGATTTTTGGTTGACCTCCATCCGGAGCGGCTACATCATTGCAATGCTCGCCGGGCCCCCGTGCGAGTCCTGGTCTCGAGCCAGGGGGGTTTCCCTTCATGGCAAGCCCGCGCTTCCTGGACTAGTGCAGAGATGCGGACCACGCATCATTCGTGACATCCAGCACCTCTGGGGGCTGGAGAGCGTCACCATTCGTGAGCTTGAGCAACTTCAAGTTGGGAATGCGCTGCTTGGCTTCACCCTTTTGGCGCTCCTGGAAATGGCACTGGCAGACGGTCATGGCATGGTTGAACACCCTGCCGAGCCTGAAGATCTCCCCCATGCGGCTTCGATCTGGCGGCTCCCGCTCGTCAAGGCCATCATGCAGCTTCCGAACATCGAATTGCTCAGATTTTCCCAAGGGTTGATGGGCGCGAAATCGCACAAGCCTACCCATCTCCTCCTTTTGAATTTGCCACAGCTTTTGACGTGTCTCCATGCCAATAGGGTCAGATGTGATATCCCCAGGGCCGCCACGATTGGTAAGGATCAGTCTGGCAACTGGAACACGGCTGTGTTGAAAGAATACCCGCCTGCTATGTGCAGGGCTGTTGCTCATGCTCTGTTTCAGGCCACCTCTGACCGACCGGTCATTGAAGGAGCCCCTGAACCACCCGCAGTTTTCATTGACACATGCAAACGCATGCACGTCACTGCATACGGTGAGAGCATTGGAGCTGACTATGTACAAAGATAGCTGGTGGGCACTTCTTTTCTGAATTCACTGAACCTGAGACAGGCCGCAGCGAGCAGCTCCATTGTGCCTCTTGGAAAATATACGTATATATTATTATTATATATATGTATACATACACAAAAAGAATATATATATATATATAGGATAGAATAAATGTATAAGTAGTCATTGGGGATGTTTGGGGATCATCATGTGTTTTTTTTGCAACGGGTTGAAAGCACCACGCAGAATAGGACACCTGTATAATGCGGCCAACTCATCGATCAGCCATTTCTATAATGATATTATATATATAGATATGTGTCCCTATGGCCCATTTGAATCAGTTTGGGAGCTTTTATCTTGAGCTATCCCCATTTTTGCCTTAAGTCTACCCAAGGCATAGCCCTCAGAAGTTAACTGTCTTTATAAGAATCTCATATCATATCTGGCTTTCCAAGGGGTTCCTATATGTTGCTATCCTGAAAGCAACGACTTGGAGGCCGTCTGCAAGCTGGCGCTCTTTGCAGCTCTGATAATGGGCCTGGGACTCATTGGAATAGGAGGAAGTGAGACCCCCCAGTGGTCAGTTGGGTTTATTCCTAGGTGAATTTATGGCTTTACTATGCTTTACTGAGAATATGATCTAAAGATATCTAGAGTTGAATGAGTGAAACTTCATCAACTTATTACTGTATCTATGGGATTTAACCCCCAAAGGGCCAATCTGAACCATCCTCGGGAACTTACCAGATACAGGCGTTTCTCTTACAGGGTTCGTGTGGGGAGGTTTATCATTGGACGAACGGTGACCCTGTCCCAGATATACCCAGATGCGACTATGGATGCGCCGGAGCACTATGTACCACTGAATTTCAGGGCTAATTTCTGGATACCTTCCTGGTTTCCAAACGCAGCAAGCTGCAATTGGCGGTGGTTGATTTATCTGGTAGATTGTATATCGGCTATCAGTCGAAGTGGCTTTAGTCAAGCCTTTAGTCAGGGTCACTTAGAAACCACCAGCCTAAAATGTCACTGGTTCATCCTGAGTCTCCTCAAATTGACATGACTAATTAATGACCCAAATGACCATATACCCTCTGCTAAACTGTTACATAAAACTATGGAAAGATCCACCATGTTAATGGGAAAACTCACTATTTCGACTGGGCCATTTTCAATAGCAAACTGTTAACATAACCAGAGGGTAACCGGAGCTTGGATCCCCCATTTACCCAGCAACGTCAACCGAGGTTTGACCTACCTGCTGGGTACAGCTTCCATGATCCCCGAGATGTCGCTGGGAGCCGGAGGTTCAATTCATGGCCACGGATGACCCATAGGATCCATGTATGCTATTTGAGCTGTGGTCAATACTCATGGTTAATAACCATTAATAGGGGCTAGTCATCCAATGGTTCATAGGGATTTATAATAACCATTATAAGGATGCTTATTATGGATGGGATGACCATCAACCATATAGTGAGTATTGACCATGGCTCATATATGGTAACATTTACCATCAATATACCCCCAATGTTAGTATATATATATATACCATACATGGATCCTATGGATCCTATGATGAATTTCGTGGGTCACCATATGTCACCATTTTTTAGTAGCAGATGATTCATTTTTTATGAATGTTGGTGTATTGATTTTTAGGGCCTTGGTATATTCGCAGCATTGCTGGATGTGGATGTCACCGTGGATTAACAGGCAAGAAATCGTGAAGTTGATATATAGCAAATGTAGCTGATTGGTAAATTGTGTCCTTCCACAAAAACACGTCTCCATCTGAAAAGTGCATGCCTCAGGTGACTGATAGTCTTGGGATCACTGCTCACCCACAACACACCAGTGCCGCACTTTATCGGCCATTGGCTAACGTCGGCCATTCATAGATGTCCTTTACTGTACCTACTACTTGGTTCATTCATAGAGGGGCACTACCTTTGAAACAAAATGAAACAAACATGTGGTTGAATTCGCCATGCATTCGAAGTCCATATCCATTTATATACATGGTGAATTCAACATAGTGAACTCCAAAAACCATGGCGAACATTCTATAAATGGATATAAATGGCAAAAACATAATTCAACTCAGAAATATTGCCATGGTTTATATACCATTTATATACCATTTATGAGTGGCACAACTTTCTTCAAACCACCAACTTGCCATACCTTGGCACTTTTTTCATGGCGAATCCAATGTAGTTTTCGTCAAGGACACCTGGGAACACATTGGCGAAGTGGACTAGCTGTTATTTGTTCTTAAAAGGGAATAACCAACAGTGCGTATTTAATGATATTTTATGGCTAAATCAGTGGCAAAAAAAAAATAGGGATGCCGTATACTACCAGATAGCCTCCATATTTTAGTTGAACAACCAGCAAAAATTATGCCAGGAAAAATCACGGCCGTGAAAAGCAGAGACCCCAGCTGGAGATGAGAACGTTTTCTGGTGCTCGCTGGTCATATATGGCATGGTCATATTATGTTTACATCTTAGATCTATGTATTATATCATATAAGAATCTGATATTATCTGTATGTCACCAGGGGATTGACATAGCACCACAAGAAACACAAAAAAACAGGTTTACATTATACACATTCCCATGGTCGAAAGTGATACCATTGGGTTGATGCTCCCTACTTCCTCCATCTTTTGACGCCTCAAACGGAGGACCATGGAACGGATCCGAACTCGTTAGGACCATCATCATCATCGTCATCATCATCATCATTATCATCATATATGATATTGTATATATATATACATGCATGTGTATATATATACATACATATGTATATATAATAATGATAAGCCAGTTGTATACGGGATAATCCTCTGAATACTAGGGCTATCAGCCACCTATAGTGGATGATCCTCCAAGCTTCCATGAAATCCAGCCACTTTGACTGGTCATAATAAAGTCATGTCGATCTATATAGGTAGATAAACAGGATAGGATAGGATAGATAGATAGATTTATATAGATAGATATATTATATAGATAGATATATTGTATAGATAGATATATTATATAGATAGATATATTATATAGATAGATGTATTTTATATATATACATTGTTTTTATAGATATATATATATATATTCTTTATAGATAGACATATTTTATAGATTGATATACTTTATAGATAGAGATATTATATAGGCAGATACATATATATGTATATATATATAGAGAGAGATAGATATATAGATAGATAGATGGATGGATGGATGGATGGATAGATAGATAGATAGATATTACAAAAGTGGCCTGATAATATATATATATATATATTATATTATATATATATATATATATATTATATTATATATATATATTAGTTCGCCATGTTCACAGGGATTATATGAATATGACCGTTTACGTCCATGGTAATTTGACGTAAGGTGTATTAATGTCTGGTAGATAATTGCATGGGTCAGAATTAGGATGTAAAGAAATGGATGGTCAATCCTTGTTGATATTGAACATGATACCAGCATTTGTGGGTCCAATTTGGCCAAAAAAATATCCACACCAGTGTTTGGTCCAGAAATTCCGAACTACTAAATGGTTGTTTCTTGAGAGAGCAATTGCCAAGGCAGGTTGGTGTTCAGCCATGAGCAGTATGCCATGTTCTTTTACTATGTGCTGAGCCCAGTTGGGAGCTGGCGCCAGAGGGATCACTTTTTGCACTGATGTTTGACAGACGGCAACAGTGATGAGGTGTTTCTTCTTGCTCAAAACAAAAAAATGATGGTTGCAGGTTGCAGGCTGCAGGAACAAGTCCAGGTGTGATTCCCTGTGTCGCTGTCCATGAGGGGACAAGCAACAGAGGAGTGGATTCACACATCCCCAACTCATTTTAGAACATCCTTAATCTTCCAACCAGCAGTTGCATACAAAAACCCACGATGTTGCATGTTGCTGTTGGTTTTCACTACATCCCATTGAATCGCTGTTAAGATCCCATTTAAAAAAAAGGACCTTGAAAACCCCAGTTGGCGTGTTAAATGCTCATGTTCGAATCGTAGATCGGATTTCTATGGATTTCTGACAGTTTTTGACCTCCAAAAAGTACAAATATCACCACAGTGGGTCCGCCACGGTTCTTCCCTGAGGTCATTGGTGCGATTTGGCTAATCGAGATGAGTCGCAACATGTTCTTGGGCAGCATGGTGAATTTCTCATGAAAAACGCTGGGGACTTCATGGGATATTCATGGATATGTTTACAGTACCCTCTGGTACTCAAACATGGCAAGCTGGAAAAGCCAATGGAGGTTGAATTTGCTGGAAAAATCTTCCAACTAGTGCTGATGTTCAAGCTATATGACTGATACCACGTGGGTAAGTCTCATTAATATCCCAATTTTCGCTGGGTAAAGTCCTACTAATATCTACTAATCATATTTAATCACCTATTAAATCCTATAAACTCCCATTAAAAATCCATGGTAATCCTATATTTAAATCCCCTTCTGAAATCGCAGACTTTTTCATTCCGCTGTCCCCTCCATTTTTTTCCGACGCTGATCCAAGGTCCAGTTTCGTCATTTCCTATGTCCGGGGCCCCAGCGGTGCCCCAGGGCTCGACGGTGCCGACGACTCGATTCGGTGTCAAAGCCTGATCAAAAGCCAGAAATGGGACGTGGAAACCATTCATCATTTGCTGTTGATCATTGGCATTACCCTTAGTTGAGTTTCTATATTATATATATTATATATATATATGTCTATATCATTTTTGTGTTAACATTCGCAAAGATGATGATTACCCCAGTGAAAAAGTGGCTACTCGTTTTAATCCTAGATTCGTGTTGGACGGAAACGGAAGCCGGTTTGGAGATGTTTACAGATGTTTAGAGATACTTCATCCCCCCAGCCCAAAATATGGGTCGTTTTTTTGCCGGGTCTAAGAGATGAGCAATGCTTCCCATGGTGGCAACTATCGACCTTGGACCAACAAAAATCCCATTGGGATTGTCGTGAGGTGAAAAAACGCTTTCTTGAAGCCCCACTGCCACTGCTGGTTGGTGGTTTGGAACATGTTTTATTTTCCATAATATATGGGATAATCCTTCCCAACCGACGAACTCATATTTTTCAAAGGGGTAGGTATACCACCAACCAGAACTATTTTGCTACTCTCCCAACATGTTCCTTGCAGTATCTTTGAACTCTGACCTTGGAGAAATGCACCGAATTTTGGAAGTCATTGTAATGTGGAAGGCCCAGAAAAACAAATGAAATTTCAGGAAACCCAAAGGTTTATTAAATTAGTAATGTTTCCTAATGTTTCCTATTTGGACATATTTGGACGAATTTACCAACCACAGGCGGCAGTGTCACTACCCGGTACCACATTGGTATTTTCAGTTGGACTTCGAAAAATTACTTTACTTCGTGTGATCCCCACCATGACATTTATACATTTTGTTACTGGCAAATCTTCTGGCATTCTATCTGACATATTTTCTGGCATTCGATCTGGCATTCTATCTGGCATATCTTCTGGCATTCTACCTGGCATATCTTCTGGCAGATGTTCTGGCATATCTTCTGGCAGATGTTCTGGCATATCTTCTGGCATATGTCTCGAAAGGTAGCGGTGAGCTACCTGAGTTCCCCCTTGCGTAGCAAGTATTAGGGGGCGAGCGGTGCAAGTGCAAGAGTTTGGGCCGGTTATGTCTCGGTCCGCCTTTCAAGGGGGGGGGGGGCCCCCCCCCTTCGATTCCCCCCAGGTCCGCCTCTAAAGCCGGGTTTGCAACATAGGCGGACTACAAGGAAACGCCAACAGCCGCACATGCACTTTCATCCACCACGTTTACATACATCCCCACCCCAACCGAAGTCAAGACCCGCACTGAAACTCGACAATGTCAGATTGCTCAAGAACTTTGTTTCGTTCACCCTAACAACCGCGATGAACAATGTCGTAGCAAGAACGTTGCGACGGACTGCGTTGCAGTAGTCTCAAAAATCGTACATGATATACCAGTAGTACCGCACAAGGCGGTGGCGGAAGTTTCAAAAATAGGAAACCTATAGGAGAGATTGGTTGTTGTGAATCAGAGATGGCAGAGCGAAGCCACTGCTGGACTGAAAGGCGATTGATCTCTCTCACTCTTGTCTACCTGTCTATCTATCTATCATATCTATCTATCTATCTATCTATCTAGCTATATCTATCTATCTATCTATCTATCTATCTATCCATCCATCTATCCATCTATCCATCTATCCATCTATCCATCTATCCATCTATCCATCTATCCATCTATCCATCTATTTCTCCCTCTATCTATCTATCTATATCTATATCTATATCTATATCTATCGATCTATCGATCTATCGATCTATCCCTCTATCCCTCTATCCCTCTATCTATCTATCCTATCTATCCTATCTATCCTATCTATCCTATCTATCCTATCTATCCTATCTATCCTATCTATCCTATCTATCCTATCTATCTATCCTATCTATCTATCCTATCTATCCTATCTATCCTATCTATCCTATCTATCTATCTATTATCTATCCTATCTATCCTATCTATCCTATCTATCCTATCTATCCTATCTATCCTATCTATCCTATCTATCCTATCTATCCTATCTATCATATCTATCATATCTATCCATATCTATCATATCTATCATATCTATCATATCTATCATATCTATCATATCTATCTATCTATCATATCTATCTATCTATCTATCTATCTATCTATCTATCTATCTATCTATCTATCTATCTATCTATCTATCTATCTATCTATCTATCTATCTATCTATCTATCTATCTATCTATCTATCTATCTATCTATCTATCTATCTATCTATCTATCTATCTATCATATCTATCATATCTATCTATCATATCTATCATATCTATCATATCTATCATATCTATCTTATCTATCTTATCTATCTTATCTATCCATCTATCCATCCATCCATCCATCCATCCATCTATCTATCTATCTATCTATCTGTCTATCTATCTATCTATCTATCTTTCTATCTATCTATCTATCTATCTATCTATTCTATCTATCTGTCTAGCTGTCTACCTGTCTATCTTTTGTGCAGTGTCATTCAGTGTAATGTAGTGTAGTGTAATGTAGTGTAATGTAGTGGAGTGTAGTTGTAGTTGTAGGTGGTAGTGGAGTGTAGTGTAGAGTAGTGTCGTGAAGTGTAGCGGCAGGTAGTGTAGTGTAGTGTAATGTAGTGTAGTGTAGTGGAGTCTAGTGTAGTGTAATGTAGTGTAGTGTAAGGTAGTGTAGTGTAGTGGAGTGTAGTTGTGTAGTTTTAGTTGTAGTGTTGTGGAGTGTAGTGTAGTGTAAGGTAGTGTAGTGTAGTTTAATGTTGTGTAGTGGAGTGTAGTGGAGTGTAGTTGGGTAGGTGTAGTTGTATTTGTAGTGTAGTGGAGTGTAGTGTAGTGTAATGTAGTGAAGTGTAGTGTAGAGAGTGTAGTGCAGTGTAATTTAGTGTAGTGGACTGTAGTGGACTGTAGTTGTGTAGTTGTAGTTGTAACCTGTAGTGTTGTGAAGTGTAGTGTAATGTAATGTAGTGTAATGTAGTGTAGTGCAGCAAAGTGTAGTGTCATGTAGTGTAGTCGAGTTAAGCGAAGCAACATCTGAACCGCCAAAAGTGGTCCGAAACCCTAGTGTTTTTAACATGTTAACTTCCAAATCTGCTTCGCGCCACAACGGCGTGCACTTTTTCGAAACTCGACATCTCAGCCTCCAAAAGTGGTCCGAACATGGTGTGGTTTGTACATTTTGACTTCGAAATGTGCTTCGCGCCACAGCGGCGTGCACTTTTTCGAAACTCGACCTCTGAGCCTCCAAAAGTGGTTCGAACCCCTGGTGTTTTGCACATTTTGACTTCGAAATGTGCTTCGTGCCACAACGGCGTGCACTTTTTCGAAACTCGACCTCTGAGCCTCCAAAAGTGGTCCGAACCCCTAGTGTTTTTAACATTTTGACTTGGAAATGTGCTTCGCGCCACAACGGCGTGCACTTTTTCGACATCTTAAGTGCCAAAAGTGGTCCGCACTTGGTGTGTTTTCTACATTTTGACTTGGACATGTGCTTCGCGCCACAACGGTGTGCACTTTTTCGACATCGCAACTTCCAAAAGTGGTCAGACCCTGGTGTGTTTTGTACATTTTGACTTGGGGATGTGCTTCGCGCCACAACGGCGTGCACTTTTTCGACATCTGAAGCGCCAAAAGTGGTCCGATCCTCTGGTGTTTTGTGCATTTTGACTTGGAAATGTGCTTCGCGCCACAACGGCGTGCAATTTTTCATGTCTCATCTCCCCATATGTCTCCGCACCCGCCGCTTTAGCGAGCCTACTTTTCGACCCTCCGGAACCACAAATCATTGGAAAAACACAGTGAATCGCGACTTTCCTACCTTTTCGCGCATCTGCATCTTCTTTCTTCTGACTCTTTCTCTTCTGAACTTTCTCTTCTCTCTGCCTCTGCCCTGCTCTGCTTTTCATCTGTCCATATTGTCGGAAGTTTAGCTTCTCAACTTCCTTCGACAATATAGTTAAAGATATGTATCTATATAAATATATATACACATAATAATTCCATGATATATATCCATATATACTAAATAATCTCAATATACATATAGATTCGTATATATATATATATATGCATACTCTACCCAGCAATTGTGGGATATTGCGCTTTGGCTAGTGGTTGCCGAAGCATAATCGCTGCCCCTTGCTCAGCATATCTAGATCATTTGGTGGATTTTCCGCAAGGGTTCCTCCAAGATATTCTCTTCAACCAAAAGACTTCGCTAATGACATTTCAATATGTTTCATATATATGTATATTCGTATATATATAGTTATCATGTATAATAACTAGAACACCTATAATGACTAGAATTACTATAATAACTAGAACATAATTATCACAACTATATTGAACCCCCCCCTTCGATTCCCCCAAGGTCCGCCTCTAAAGCCGCGTTTGCAAGAAGTCACCCCGCGGGCCATCTTTTTGCACCAAGATTCCAGCACCAGGATAGCCCTAAGTCAGTTGCTTTGGGTACATGCTGGGGTCAAAACACCACGTTTGTGAATCCCACACTGTTCTACACATGTACACACCAGAATCAACCCCATCCGCGTTGCAACAATGTGCTGCCCCCAGTTACACGTTGCCTCGCAAACCCCATAACCTGATATTTATACATATATCTAACTATATGTATGTATTTATATATATATATATATATGTCTGTGTGTCTGTGTGTGTGTCGTGTCCCCCTCCCTGAAACCTACCTTTTTGGTACCCGCCCTCGAGTCCAAGCCCAGAAGACTTTTTTCGATATCCGCCCCAACTCCACCCACGTCCGTCCGCAGCGGATATGCCTCGTTCCCTTGCTCTCTTCTCCTGTTCCAACCCACGCCTACCTTTCGATCTTTCACCCTTCCCTCTCAAGTTCTGGCATATCTTCTGGCATTCCATCTGGCATTCTATCTGGCATATCTTCTGGCATATTATCTGGCAAATCTTCTGGCATTCCATCTGGCATTCTATCTAGCATATCTTCTGGCATATTATCTGGCAAATCTGCTGGCATTCTATCTGGCAAACATTCTGGCACTTTATCTGGCATATCTTCTGGCATTCTATCTGACACTTTATCTGGCATTCTATCTGACACTTTATCTGGCATTCTATCTGGCATACCTTCTGGCATTCTATCTGGCATATCTTCTAACATTCTATCTGGCATATCTTCTGGCACTCTATGTGGCATATCTTTTGGCGTGGATACTCGCGGTTGAGGTCCGGCAGGGAACACTGGGCGTGGATGGTCGTGGTTGAGGTCCGGCAGGGAACACTGGGCGGGGATGGTCGTGGTTGAGGTCCGGCAGGGAACACTGGGCCCGGATACTCGCGGTTGAGGTCCGGCAGGGAACACTGGGCGGGGATGGTCGTGGTTGAGGTCCGGCAGGGAACACTGGGCGTGGATGGTCGTGGTTGAGGTCCGAAAGAGAACACTGTGGATCGCGGGTCGCAGTTGGACGAGGAGGACGACGAGGAGGACGACGAGGAGGACGACGAGGAGGAGGAGGAGGACGACGAGGAGGACGACGAGGAGGAGGAGAGGAGATGAGGAGAGGAGGAGCAGGCAACTGACATAAAATCTAACAACCCTCACCTGGCAGGTGGGGAAAAACATCAATTGTTGGGTTCTGACCCCCAAGCACAAGCCATACCTTTTTGGAGGTGCTAGAGAAAACAAACACAATGGACCTCACAGATTCGTTTCGGACGTTTTTTGGGGTCGCGTTTTCTTAGGCGGTGATCTTGTGGTACTATACCGAGAAGCCCAAGAACTTTGGACCGATGCTTGGCGTGAAGTATTTACGGAGGATCGCCCTAGGCTCCGTGAAGGGGACATTGGCTGTAAAGAAGTATCAGATGTTTCCAGTATATATATATATATTTATATTTATATATTTTTTTTAATGTGATGTTGTGTGAATCACATTTGTTCATATGTCCCACTTGTAGCCATAGCACCGGATAGCAACTTAACACTGCAAATGTCATCCTCATAGGCAAAATGCATCCTGATCATCCTGGATTCCACAGCAAAAAATGTCCAAGACTGAGCCTAGAGTACGGCTTGGTTAGGCTCTGGCCGTTTTCTGCATCCTGGAAAATATCGCTCCAGATGCCAAGCATACTACGTGTATAGATGTGTATATTGTAAATATGCAGACATAAAAATGTATGCAATGGATGCATTTTTTTGCTGAGCATTCTGAGTAGGACATAATATAAGGCACCTTTTGTTCGATCCATTTTTTTCTACATATCTCTCTGTCTACATATTTATATATTATACATTCACATACCTACATGTGTCCGAAAGTATATATATATATAAAATGCGTGAATATATATATATAGAGACATACACATAATTTTGGATTTCCACACATGTTTGTTTGACAAAATATCATGTCAATGTGATTCAATATGTATATTACATATATGCATAGATGCACTATGATGCCGGACTATCAACCTTTTTAGGCTGTGTATGTCCCTGCACAAGAGCACTCAGCTGCGAAAAACAAATACATAAAAACAGGTGTTTGTGTATATATATATATACATGTATATATACAATATATATATATATATACGCATCATATATATATATACATAACATATATATATATATACATGTACATATAATATATTCATACATATATATATACAGACATATTATATATACAATATATATATATACACATGCAAGCAGATAGACATGCAGACTGATATACATACGGACATGCAGAAAAGCAATAACAAACATAGATAACATCAGACAGTCAATCTAGATATGAACAGATATATCGAAGGATATATCAAATATATCTAAAATATACAAAGTCTGTCCAGATGTTTTTTTGTTAATATATATCAAAAGATCTCCAGAAATCTTCAGGTCGTTTGTACTTTCGCGCGGTTTGAGGAGCTTCCCAGTCATGCGGGGCTTCATCATTTGCACCTTCTTTCACCTCGGTGCGCCTCTCAGTGAATAGCTGAAGCGAGCTGGGGGCATTTTTTTTCGGTCTGTATGATATGATATGATATATTATAATATATTATATATTATGATATATGATTTTATATGATATAATATGCTATAGCTCATGATATATTATATATGGTATATGATACGATATGTCTTTCCTTACGATAAGACATGGTTGTATTTTGGGAGAACTTTCGATGGATCGGCTGGCGGCCATAGAGGCAATGTCGCTCCTGCCGCCAGGAAGCAACATAACATAGATGTGGCAAAAGAACATTTTTGTATCCCCCTTGGAGTTTCCTCTAGGAAATGGTGACCCTGGGCGGCGCCATTTCCTAGAGAGCTGAATTTTATGGATTGCCCATCTTTGACCACATGCATTCTTTAGAGGCATATTGGTCGCTATTTGACCTGATCTGGTGAAAGTGCGGGGTTCCATTTTCTAGATTTCGGGGTTATCATTTGGGATCACCTCTAAATTTACAATGTCCCATTCTTTAGACTCCAGTTGTGTGTTTCCAAAAAAAAACGAAGTTCCATTTTTTAGAGCTCACTGGTTCAATGACATCAAGGGGTATGCCCTGGGGACCTGCATTTTTTAGAGCTCACTGGTTCAATGACAAGGGGTATGCGCTGGGGCCCTCCATTTTATAGAAAAAACGTGCGGAAACACTGACATATTATAAACATAATATCATATGTAATATGTTATATGATAATATCATATAATATATTAAAACCGTACAAATAATAATATATATAAAATATGTACAAAAATGAACATCTAATTATGTTGTATTTGTCATGTTATTTCAGATTTTCCCAAACTCTTCTGTGCCACTGAAGAACGGAACTTTGAACGTTTTCAAGGTCGATCAAGAATATCCAGACAACTACTAAAGAATGGTATCCCCAGATACTGCAAAACAAACAAAATGTTCACATAATTTTACAACAACTCTGTCCAGCATTTCCTAGAGGAAAAAAAGGGGGAAAACATGAAATTAAGCACTTTTCAAGCCAATCACCTGGTCCTCCATTTTATAGACATGCCTCTGTTTGTAGGACCCTCGGGGTTCCATTCTATAGAAATTGGGGTTCCATTCTATAGAGATTTGTTATGATATGTTAGTCTGGCCCATCCATTCTTTAGAGCTTGGGGCTCCATTCTTTAGATGTTCCACTTCTAGTCCCCCCTCCCCGGTCCACTATAGAATGGCGCCACCCACCCTTTTCACTTAACCCAGAGGGGGATACAACAAATCACTATATACTATAGAATGGAACCCATAGGCATTGGTTGGCGCTGTTGAACAGACCATAACGGACCCACAAACTCTAAAGAATGGAACTTTGAACGTTTTCAAGGTCGATCAAGAATATCCAGACAACTACTAAAGAATGGTATCCCCAGGCACTGCAAACCAAACAAAATGTTCACATAATTTTACAATTTTACAACAACTCTGTCCACCATTTCCTAGAGGAAAAAAAAGGGGGAAACATGAAATTAAGCACTTTTCAAGCCAATCACCTGGTCCTCCATTTTATAGACATGCCTCTGTTTGTAGGACCATCGGGGTTCCATTCTATAGAGATTGGGGTTCCATTCTTTAGAGATTTGTTATGATATGTTAGTCTGGCCCATCCATTCTTTAGAGCTTGGGGCTCCATTCTTTAGATGTTCCACTTCTAGCCCCCCCCCGGTCCACTATAGAATGGCGCCACCCACCCTTTTTACTTAATTCACACGGGGATATTTTTGTTATAGGTAATTCATCCATGAAATGGATCCTTTTCCACATCTATTTCAGTTTACCCTAGGGTAAAGTATTAAGTAGATTTTAGTAGTAAGTAGTAATTACAGATATGAATGTAGATATTTTTAGATGCTTGACTTTTGGGACCAATCCGACTCCTAATGGTTTCAATAGATGGATACTATCCCAGTAGATCAAATGGAAGAGGATTCCTGTGAGAAAAGGCCATGGAGGCCCGGACCAAAAGTCCTGGATTTGCTGAGTCGATGATTTGTTTTTCTTTTTTGCTCAATATATATATATATATATATTTATCTATATGTATATAACTATTTACATATATAGCTATATATATATAACTATATTTATATATATAACTATATATATATATATATATATTTACACATGTAGCTATACATATATATATATATGTATATATATATATATAGTTGTATATTTATATAGTGAATTGAAGCTTTTCTGCATCTTTTCTGTTTTTTCTTCACATGTCCACAATGGCCACAGCAATTCGACCTCGTCGCTTTTGCCGAAAGGCAGCGTGGCGGTTGGTGCGCTGATCATCGCTCTTTGCCGGCCCTTCCGCATCGCCTGGGACCCATCCACCCATGGGAACCTCTGGTAAACATACAAAAAACTATGGCAAATCACCATTTTCAGAGGTAAAACAAGGTAGGCGGTTGATACGGCGCCCTGTGAGGGGTTGCCGATTTTAATTTTAAGATTTTCACGTCAAAAGCTGGAAACGTGGTATTTGTGGGACTTTGTAAAAGGACATTTCAAAGTCATGATCATTACAGCAGCGTAGCATCATGTATGTGAGGAAGTGCAAGACAATATTACAGCAGCGTAGCATCATATATGTGAGGAAGTGCAAGACAATATTACAGCAGCGTAGCATCATATATGTGAGGCAGTGCAGGACGATATTACAGCAGCGTAGCATCATATATGTGAGGAAGTGCAAGACGTGTTAGCAACGTGGTCAGCGTAGCAGTACATGTGCAACGCAAGTGCACATGGACGTAGCGTAGCGTGGCGTGTTACATGTTACGCAAGCGTTCATGACGTTAGCATGCCCCACCCCACCCCACCCCACCCCACCCCCGTGCAGCCGGTTGATACGACGCCTAAAACATTGCACATACGAAAAATATTGGGACATCAAAATTCAACACACCCTCACAGGGCGCCGTATCAACCGCCTGCCTAAAACAACTATAAATGGCAATTTTCAATAGCTATGTTCGTTTACCAGAGGGTATGATCTTTTTGGGTTTTACTATTGAAAACTACTAACATTCAGCAAAAGGTAGAGTTGTTTATTTTCACTAGGCTACAATGGGATGACCCCCGCTCGAGTCGATGATTTCCCCAGGGGATGATTTCCTAGAATTTATGGGAAAGATGGTCAACATCCAGTAAATTTATATCCGGGCATCCCTTTCTTTCATTGATGTGGGGGAAATCCTATTAACTGGGCCAACCTTGGTTCGATACTTTAGTAAAACTTTAGTACTTGAATCTGTTGCTATCAACGGTAAAATGATGTAAAATGTACATTCACCAGCTAAAAAACATGTTTTTTGACAGCTATCTAAGATTCAGCTATGGTATTTGCCATGGTCAAAGCTTGGGACATCTTGAGATTCCCCATATGGATGGTCATCCAATGTCATGCACCCAGGGTTCCTTCGAAAGCCTGGTGAAATGTTGTGGATTTTGGATGTATTAGATATAATGGGTTCATAGTGTATGGGTTGTATTCAATATGATCAGGGAATCGATAGATAGATAGATAGATAGATAGATAATAGATAAATAGATAGATAGATAGATAGGTAGATAGATAAGAATACCATCATTATCCAGTTGCATCAGTTCAGGCAAAGGATCATACCAGTACTTGATTCAGCAAGTGGTGAGAAATGCAAAATGATAGGTTTGCTGGGGTTTGAAATTGGTTTAATTACATTTAAATCTAATACTAGTCATAAAATATAGACTTGTTTGATCTCACAGCAAAACGTAGTTTTGGGCAGACAATTTTTGAAAATTACAGTAATGATATGTCTATAGATCTATAGATCTATAGATAGATAGATGGATGGATAGATAGATAGATAGATAGATCCATAGATAGATAGATAGATTGATTGATTGATAGATAGATTGATAGATTGATAGATAGATAGATAGACAGATAGATAGATAGATAGAGTAGATACAGTAGATACAGTAGAAATGCCATCATCATAGATTGAAATCCCCAAAAAATCCTCCATGCCCAAGACTCGCTGCACCTCCGTTGAGGTCTTCCTACTTCTTGCTCGACATGCGAAAGTCATGACCTGAATGCGTGTGCGGGAAAAGCCAGTCTAAAGATGTCTAAAGTCTATAATTGGACTTCATGAACCGTTTGATTCTTGGGGTATCATCTGAAAATCTGATTCCCGTTTCACAGCTGGAACCCCTCAAAAAAGCGTTTCCGAAGCATTGGATCCGGGCATCAATCAAGCCCTCGTGGAGATGAAGCACAACGCTTCCCGCAAGATGCGGTGAAAACGAAATAAAGACACTGAAAATATGTGTGAAGACTAAGAAGGGAAAAACAACAACTGGTTGGTGGTTTGGAACACGTTTTATTTTCCATAATATATGGGATAATACTTCCCAACTGACGAACTCATATTTTTCAAAGGGGTAGGTATACCACCAACCACAACAACAACAACACCACCACCACCACCAACAACAACAACAACAAAAAAGATAAAACGCTCACTTTTGGAAGCGATTTGGGGATGGATATCCACCGATGGTCCTCATCGCGGGTTGTGGCCCATCGAGAGGACCTAAATATCAAGGTTTCTCCCGTCGTGAAGGCTACCCGCTGAGGAAACTGTTTCTAGCTGCTAGTGCATGGTGAAAACGGATTGATGTTGTCATGCCTAGAAACAAGTAAACATTGTGCAGGGTATCTAAGATTGTCCCTGCAACATCACAAAACAGTCAAAACGATTTTGTCTATTCTCCTCTTAAGTTCAGAAGAGTGTTAGAAAGTCCTTCTCGACTGGGGCTGCGCTTCTTTGTCTGAAGACTAAGGATGGCGGAAATCCCCTGCTGAGCATGCAAGGGAATCCCAGTCTGGGTCAGCATGTGGCACTTGCGTAGAATTTTGATGGACTCTCTATCTTTGGAAGCGATGGTTAACGAAGGTTTTGCTGTCCGTGTCCACCCCTATGCCTGAAGACTGGTAAAAATTAATCAGAATCGTTTTTTTTTTAAATTACTTCTCGGGGCTTAGTTGTGAAATTGAGGATGTCTATGTGCGCCTATGTGCGATGAAATGTGCGTGTCTATTTGTCAAGTTGTTCAGAATTGGCTAAGTGGAAGACTTGGTTCTGAAGTGAAATCAGTTCTGAACTGACCAAAAAAAACTGCTCTGAGTCAAAACTGCCAGTTGATTCAAGTTGATTCCCAATACACCATTATATCATATCTTATTACCGGGTAAACCTTTAAATCTGGGTAGATATGATAGCTATTTAATAATAAGATATGCTACACTAAAACGACATATACTATACTAGAATAGTTTGCTAGTCAATTCATCATGAAAAAATATCTATTTCTTTGACACATATAAAAGATTATAAAAGCATGTTTGTTATGTTTTCATACTGATAGATATTTACTAGCCATTTATTACATTTGGTTGGTGGTTTGGAACATGAATTTTATTTTCCATTTCATATATGGGATAATCATCCCCATTGACGAACTCATATTTTTCAAGATGGTTATTGCACCACCATCCAGACATGTATTACATGTATTACAGGCTAAAATGTGATTCTCTGGGATCATCCCATGGCCGTTCTTGCGTCGCGTCGCTTGCAGCAGGTTGGCATGTTGCTTCAGTGGCTGCATCAACTGTGTCCACTCCTCAGATCCCGAATATGACATCAATATGTTATTGATTGATATATTGAACATCCATATTTTGTTGGATTTGATATCAGGTTTGATATTTAGGGGGGATGAACATCACTAGCAGCTATTTGGATCTTCACCTGAGGTTTCAAACTCCCCTATGAGTGCTTGATTAAGTATAAACAACTGGGTTTAGAGACCACAGAAATGCCGTAAAAGGAATTTAGATGTCAAACTCAGAATGGATATAATCCCATGACCCGAATGAACTCTGAAGTCACCCTCTCCGTCACAACTTTTTGGACCCCAAAATCATCAGATTCCCTAAGCCAGACCCCTCTAGTACCTCAAAAAATAAACATAAACCGATAAAGCGATAAACCCCATGTTGAATAGGTTTTTATCATCTGAACATGGGTCATGAATTTCCATATCTTAGAGGATACCGATAGTTGATTGCGATTCATGATAAATTATATGGATTGATATTGCGTGTATCTTTCTTACATGTTTATTAGATTAAGGCCATCACATACGCTTGCAATGAAGGTTGTAACCCTCCTACGAGTGGTTTTCCTTGTTGAAAAGGCCCAACGATACCTGGAGTTCTTGACCAAAAACGTCTCGGCCTTGGTTGTGCTTCGCAGAAAAAATGGTGCCAGCAGGTTTGTCATTTCATGTCATTTCTGTGAGCCAGGAGATAGCGGAATACCATAAGCCAGATAAAGATGAAACTGTTTTCTTGATTTTCTTGTTGGTATCCAATATGTTGTACAATCCGAAAGTCTGTTGCTTATGATGCCTATAGACCCTCCAAATACCTGCACAAAACGGTAGAACTACTCGTGAATTACGGATTTTGAAGGGTACAAACGGCGGATGTTTGCAGCTTATCCACGAATTCCCGACTGCAAACGATGCGTGCTGGGTCCCTATAACTAGGACCTACATGCTAAAGCACGTGGCAAAACAGTTTTACTATTGGATATGAAAATGTTACAACTTGGTACACAATGTTAAATCATATGGCTTTTACCATTCTAAAATATGAAACGTTCTCGGTTTTACCATCAAATTTACCCAATCATGCCAAACATTCTAACACATCATGGGTGTTTAACTCATGAATCATGTTTTTTTTGTTACATTTGGTTACACATTGGTTATGTTCCCCCCAAAACGGGTGGAATTTCCTGTTACACCCAGCTTCTGTTGAGGCCTACATCGACACAGTGTTGTCCTCCAAAGATTTTCTGACCTCAGCGCAGAATGCGCATGGCTTTATGATGGCCGACAATGGCAAGGTTGGTGAACACATAAGAGCATAGACACAGATGGATGTACTTGGAATAGTATATATACATGTATACAGTATATACGTATATCTATACATATATATATATATATAATCACATATATTATTGTGAATATATATATACACATATTTATATGTTGTTTATATGTATACACATAATTAATCTGAAGTTCATAAAATAAGGGATTGTCAAATATATTTCCATTGTAGTGTTTGTTTTTGAAAAACACATGTATTCTATCTACTCCAGGATGATTCATACTTTCGTACACGGATACACTACTTGTTGATGGTTGCTGATGATTATCTTGAGTTATTCATGAATCTATGAAATGACATTAAGAGTACTAGCAATCATGTGATAAGAGTTACGATCGAGGTATGAATATTCACTATGAAAATCAACCAATATAATATATATATATACAGATGCATACACTGTTGTATCATGTGCGCGTTTTATGTGTCAATAGTTTTTTCGTCATTCCAACATGGCCTAGTGAAAATCACAGCTTGCCTAGTTTGATCTGAGAGCTCTCCAGATGGTTTTTTGTTGATCTGTTGATCTAACCACAGTTGCTTCAGAGACTGCAAGCGCAGTTTTCGTCAGAGTATAGATTTATAGACCCATGACGGATCCATGGTGCTGGTATATATATATATGCTAACATGACTGGGGTATATGGATGGGATCCATGTCACCATATCTAGCATACATGGATCCTATGGGACAGAATATACATGTTCAGAGTATATTTCGTGATCTTTCCAAAATATCAAACGTCAATCTTGCCAGGCAAATGTCATAAACTTTGACCGAAACAATCCATGAACGAAACAATCCATGACCCATAGGATCCATGTATGCTATATATGGTAACATTTACCATATTTTACCATCAATATACCCCAAATGTTAGCATATATACCAGCACCATGGATCCTATGGGTGAGTCATATCAGATCCGTTGCTCGCCATCCTCACCTCGCAAAAGATCTCGCAGGTTCGCGAACTCACTGGAGCTCTTTGGATTATCACTGTCTCGGTGGTGCCCGGGCCACCCAGTGTCGACAGGGCAGATCATTCCAGTGGGTCCCTGGGTCCCTGCCATGCTCAAAGCGTAGGTCATCGTAGGTCTATTCAGGTGGAAGTCAAGTTAAGATTGACCCTCACATTTTCAACAAATGCCCAAAGGGCATGTTGGAGCCATGAATTACATGCAGAGTCAGAAGTTGACACGTGACTTAGCAACAAACTGCTGGCCATGTTTAAGGCATGGTCACAACCCCCAGAGATAGCTGCAGTTCCGGGAAGGTTTTGGGCCCACATCGCAGGGCTCCCAACACTTCTAAATGAGTTTCTCCCGCAAAAACACAACGGTCCCCCAAATATGCACTGTTTAGATAATGTTAGAAGGCAAAATGATGATCGACAAGCGGATTTTCGGGCACTCTAACTTTCGGACAATGCGATAAAGCCAAACGAATTTGAATGGCAAAATGCCAACAGAGTTTCAATGGTGCATGGGGTGGCCCCTTACTGTGGTAGCTGTCGGATTTCAACTAGCAAACCTCATATTCAATGGCAAGATTACCCAACTTATTGAAATTATGGAGTACAGTACATCACCATTCTTACGAGCACTTGGAGGCTCTAGGTATATCCAAGACTCGACTGGTTTATCATGATGTTCCACGGTAAATGGCCATGAATTGAGATTATATATATATATATATGTTTTATAACTATATATATATTATAGTTATTCATATATATTATATAATTATATACGTATATTATATAATTATATACATACATGGATTTATATCTCATGTTCACGCGTGCATAATAGTACAAGGCGCTGTTTACCGAAAAAAAAAAAACTGAAAAATAAGCATTCAAGGTGGAAGTTGTTTGTCTATTCGAACTGTTGCCCATAATCATCATGATCATCTTCACTATTATCACCACCACCACCACCAGCATCATCATCATCATCATCATAATCATCATCATCATCATCATCATATTCATCATATTCATCATATTCATCATATTTATCATCGTCATCATCATCATCAGCAGCAGCAGCACGTAAAGTCACCAGGTCTGGCATCTTTGTGGTCTCCATCGTCATGTAGGGAGCCTGAGTTCCTGTCGGTGGTGATGGAAATGTTGAATTCCAGCGATGGAAATGTTGCCCAATTCGGATGTGTCATGGTCAAAATGGTTTAAGACCACTTTATTGCAGGAGTTTTTTGCCACTCCTAATAGTAGAAACTACTCAGATGTAAAGTATTTTGAAGGGAGCTCATATATATCGAAGTGTATATATATATATCGAATGACATAGTGCAGATAGAATGTGACACTTGGTTGCAATCAATGTATTTATCAGAAGCGATGAATGCACGGAAATCCTACTCTGGGGGTAAGCAATCAGACATGGCGGAATTTCCATTTCAAGGTTGCGACGTTACGGTACCCTCTGGTAAACGTTAACAGAAAGCTATTGAAAATGGCCATAGAAATAGTGGATTTACCATGATTTACCCATTAATAGCATGGTGATGTTCCATAGTTATGTTAGTTTACCAGAGGGTATGTATTGTGTCTCTGGGCCAACGTTTTATCCCTTTGATATGGATGAGATTAGAATATCCCTCCTGGTTTGTTCAAGAATTTCGATGATAATTTTCCTCCCCTTACCCTCAACGTACGACTAGAAATAGGAAACCACAATAAATTTTTGGTGTAAGGTAGTGATTTTTATTTCAATGGATTGGTTTAAGGGAAAATCTACAGGAAACCATGGATTTTCCTATTGAATATAGGGCTTTCCTGTAATTTTTCCCTTAAACCAATCCATTGACCATTCAAAAGCCAAATTTCTACTAACTGGGGTTAACTAACCATTAAAATCCCATTAAAATCCCATTAAAATACCATTAAAATCCCATAGTTTCGGACTGTTAGTGGGAAGCCATCATTCTGGCGAGATCTAGTGAGGCTCTGGACGCTTCTGACTCTTCAAGAGAGCCTGGGGCCCGAACTCAGCGGTTCCGATGAATCATTGCTTACAAGGTGGTGCACCATAGCTAAGTTGGTGAACATAACTCTAGCAACTATAGGGTTGATTGTAGATATATATATATATATATGTAATGATATAGAGATATATAAATACATATAGTTGTTACTATGGTTTATAGACCAACTTTTAACCGGGGGCACCACTGTAAAAGATCAATTCCACTATCTTAACTTGTACATGTGTTGCATCGATTTTTTTTGTGATTGCAACCAACATATGGAGCCCAATATGATATGTTTACACCCCAGATCCATCCACAGAAAAGTTCCAGAAACCCATCGATCTCGAAACGGGTTTGTGAATCCCGATTCTACAGAGACACCCAGTGAAGGAAAGTTGGTGACCTTGATAGTATACTGAACATGTGTGTATGTATGATTATGTATTAATATACATATGTATATAATATGTTCCAATATACGTGCCTATTGATGCACACGTTTGCGTATATAATATCTACCCAAATTGTTCAATCCCAGCAAATGTGTGGCATCTCCATCCCGTTACTTATGTAGAATGATGTAGATGGCCCATTTGTTGGGTTTTTTTCAATCATATCCAGGGCATACAAAAGGGGCATTCGCTTTGCGCCATTTTTTGCCCCAGCAAGCAGCAAGAGGTGCCAAGAGATGCCAAGAGCACCCGGCACCTTTTGAGGGTTTGTCTGACAATCACCAGGATTTCCCTCTGGTAATTTCACGTAGCTATTGAAAATGGCCATAGAAATAGTGGATTTACCCATTAAAAATTATGATTTTCCATAGTTACGTTAGTTTACTAGAGGGTTTGGGATGTGAAAGGAAGACATTCAACTTAAGATGGCCAGCTTCCCGTCATAAGTTGGCTTTTGTTTAAGACACCCCAAAACCAAGTGGCTGATCAGGATTTTTTACCATTTCAGATTGCCACAAAAGGGGGATATAGACCCAGTTTTGCACCCAACTAGTTGTGATAATCAGGTTATATAAATATCATTGTATGATTACACAAATTATCATAAGGATAGTACTACGTAACAGTAATAATAGTGATAATGTTAATGATAACAGTATGATAATAATGATGATATAATATTATGTTAGTCTTACTTCGCCTTGGCCTTTCTGAGGTTGGACAAAACCTTGATAACCGATAGGTCCGATAGGGGACGGCCTTTTGCCGATACCCCATTTGTGATACCTCCACAAGTACTGAAATCTTCACAAACGATAGGGGACGACGCAAATTTGTGCACGACATTAAACTTGTAGAACATATAAGTGTGTCCGCTACTTTATGTATATATGTATGCATACATATCCTATTCAAACCCTATTGAAATCCCATGAAGCCCTGTTGTTCATGGTAACCTGCCTCATTTTCAGACACACCCATCTACAGTATCCCAAAAAATGCAAATTACATCCTTCTAGAAAAACCTGTTCTTGTTGTTATCCTCCATGATATACCTATTTTAGCATATACCCTTCGGCTGGAAAACCCACCATTTTCGGTGATTTTCCCACCCTTTTGCCTCCATTGAGTTTTACATCCCATTGCGGCCGCAACAGCCTTTGGGTCAATGTAGGTCAGTTCCCAACTCCTGAGCATTCGGTGGAGAACCCTTATTTCGCCCGGGCACCGAGGGAGAAAAAAGCTGGGATTGTTTGGGTACCGTCTAGATCTATAAGTATGGATTACCTATAGATTAACTATAGACTAACTATAGGTTAACTATGGATTAACTGTGGATTAACTGTAGATTAACTGTAGATTAACTGTAGATTAACTGTAGATTAACTATAGATTAACTGTAGATTGAATATATACTAACTATGGGTTAACTATGGATTAACTGTGGATTAACTGTAGATTAACTGTAGATTAACTGTAGATTAACTGTAGATTAACTATAGATTAACTATAGATTAACTGTAGATTAACTGTGGATTAACTGTAGATTAACTGTAGATTAACTGTAGATTAACTATAGATTAACTATAGATTAACTGTAGATTGACTCTAGATTAACTATAGATTAACTATAGATTAGCTGAAGATTAACTGTAGATTAACTATAGATTAACTATAGATTAACTGTAGTTTAACTATAGATTAACTATAGATTAACTGTAGATTAAGTGTAGATGAACTATAGATTATTTGTAGATTAAGTATAGATCAACTATAGATTAGCTATAGATTTACTATAGAGTAACTGTAGATTAACTATAGATTAACTATAGAATAACTGTAGATTGACTGTAGATAAAATATGGATTCACTATAGATTATCTATAGATTAGCTATAGATCAACTATAGAGTAACTGTAGATTAATTGTAGATTAAGTATAGATGAACTATAGGTTAACTATAGATTAGCTATAGATTAACTATAGATTCACTATAGATCGACTGTAGATTAACTATAGATTAACTACAGATTAACTGTATATTAATTGTAGATTAACTATAGATTAATTATAGATTAACTATAGATTAACTGTAGATTAAGTGTAGATTAAGTATAGATTAACTATAGGTTGACTATAGATTAACTGTAGATTAACTATAGATTAACTATAGATTAGCTATAGATCAACTATAGATTAACTGTAGATTAATTGTAGATTAAGTATAGATTAACTATAGGTTGACTATAGATTATTAACTGTAGATTAACTATAGATTAACTATAGATTAGCTATACTTCAACTGTAGATTCACTATAGAATAATTATAGATCAACTATAGAGTAACTGTAGATTAAGTATAGATGAACTATAGGTTAACTATAGATTAACTATAGATTAACTATAGATTACCTCTATAGTAATTGTATATAGATTAACTGGAGGTTAACTGGATGTGGCCAATAACTTGTACCTCCCATTGAAGCGTGTCTCGTGCACCGCCACTATTGAACCTCAGTTTTGCATTCATAGCTTTCATGGTTGAACAAAATGGAACAATGTTTAGCACTATGTGTGTTTTGCATTGTGTTGCTATGTTTGTTTATGTTGATGTCCTTTTATACATTGGATCACGATTTCCCGAGCAGGTGAGAATCAGGATTGTGAACAACATACGTAACACGTACAAACGTTGCTTACGTACTTGGCCATATTTTTCTCTGTTATAAATCCCATGTTTGATGATGACACCTGAAACCCCAATTCATTTTAAATATTTTAAGGCCAAAACCCCAACAAACCAGGTTAATTCAAACCTTGTTTCGGGTGATATACCCATACAAAATCCTTTCGAAATTCAACATG